ATATAATGGGACAGTGATTGGCAATTTAAAGGCTGAACTAAACTCAGTTTATCCGCGTGAATTTCGATATTTTGCTTAAAGTCCTATGTAATAATGTCGTTTACACAAGCCAGCAACTTCATTAAACGCGCATCCCTTTATACTTACTTTTATACTATTATACGTACCGCGTGCGTTGGTGGTAAAATCGAATTACTTTACGATTCGACCACAATCATGTTTGACTAGATTGAATAGCGCACTCTAATCGATTTATTTATTGAATTTATATATATATATATATATATATATATATATATACCGTATATATATATATAGAAATACACGTATATTACAGACGCTGGAAATCCATTTGAAAGTACAAGCTGTAGTCAAACAAGTAAGTATTACTGTCTCCATTCAACGTCTCATGCACGCATTTTATTTTAATCATTTAAAACGGAATTGAATTTTGTTCTTTTCGCGTTGTTAATTTGTAATATAGTTTAATATACGCGGACGCGTCTTCGGGTTAATCTGTCGGAAAAAAGGGGGTGGGGTGGGTTAAAATAAAATAAAAATCTTGTCGGAGTGCCGTAGGGATTATGGGTTGAGGTGTTAGAGTGGCCTAGTCAAACCAAAAATGATTTAAATTCCCCTTGAAAATTGTATTTTATGCAATAAACCAGTCTAATAAATCACATAAATGCAAAAACGAAAATCTACTTTAAATTTTTACATAATATTCTATAGAACTTATTTTCAGATAATATACATGGTTTGTTGTCACTTGTAATTTTTCAAAAATAAAAAAACCACAACTTAAAGTCCTCGAACTAAGGCGTGTTTTTGATTTTTGAGGTACCTAAGGTCTAGGGAAAACCGGAGCGGCGTTTTTTACTTTTTACGACCGGATCGATTAATTTATTAAAAAGAAAGAAAACTATATATAATGATAACAATGTATTATAATAGTTTAATTTCCTGTAACACTACAAAAAAAAATTAATTCAAAACGTAGTATAATATTATGGCTTTTGTAAAATGAATGAATTAATTTAAAGAATGAAAAAATCATAAACTGCTGCGGTTTTATTTTAATGACATATTATGTGCGATCCCCTTTAAATAACCAATCGTGTTTATTTCAATTTTAATTAACTGCTTTACTTGAGGCATTCGAGATATTTCTTTGATAATGGATAAGCAAAGGAATATTCGATAGTTATTACCGAATTCACCAGTGGCGTATTTAAGGTAGGGGACGATGGATGGATCGCCCTCTCTTTGGAATTCTTTCGCTATGATTTTTCAATCGCGGCTATAGGCTATAGGTAATAAAATAATATAGTATTTATAATCGTGTTATTCATTATTTCTTAAGTATTTTTATCAACGTTATCAATAAATGGTGATACCGATATAACTACGGGGCAATTTTTGTCTATAATACACATAGGGATATCGACGTGGATATCCAAACACTGGTCATAGATCGGTTTTTAAAATATAAGAATATTAATATTGCTTTAAAATTGTTGTAAATATTTTTGTGTACAATTGTTTGATATGAATATATGTATACCTTACTGTCGTTACGGGTAAGATCAGAAACCGGTGCAAATCTCATAAATGCTCGGATAAAACGCGAAATGTCCACTATACTTGGGCAAAACGTCATAAAACGTCAAATCTCGGGTTTTTTCCGGACAAATCTAGTAGTGACCAGCAACCTCGTTTTGGGCGAAACTGTAACGTCCATAAAGTTCAATTTTTCGGGGGACGAGGAAATCCCTCGCGATATTTCTGGGGTATTGCAATTTTAAAACTTCACTCCCGTTGATTTAGCTTCAGATACGCCACTGGAATTCACTATGAATAAAATAAAATCACCTGGCCGAAAGTCACGCCGAAAATTCCGATTTCAGGTCAATATTGCTATTGCCCTATTTAAAGTGCGATCCTACCAAAATCGTATGCGGTAAAGTCCCGCATCGAGACTCGAAATGTTATTGTTATTTTTATTTTCTCGTAATGTCGCTCGGTCCGTCGGTGACAACGTAACTATGTAAATCGTTCGCGACGACGTTATACCTGTTTAATTTCGTTCGTTTTTTTTTTTATTTACGATCAAATATCGCGAAGATTAAAAAGCGTAAGAACGACTGTAAGTCGCGGCGGACATTAAATCCGCTGTCCGGGGGGAGTGGTGAAAAGAAAAAAAAAATTAAATAAATAATAATAATAGCGGCCCATTAAATCCGTTTGCCGGTCCCCCGAGAAAAACGGCCGCAGCAGCGTAAACGGCGCGTGTCCCTCTCGGGCCGCCGTCGCCGCCAACGTCGGCGGCGGTGATGCAAAAACCCGGTAATACGAGAATGTCAGAGTTTTAATGCCGCTTAATTAGCCGTCAACGTGCACGACGCCAATTACTTCTTTATTGCAGCCGAACCGTCCCGTGCGAAGAACTCCGGGGCGTTTTCCCGGGATATTTACACCGGTGTGCACGCTTTATCGTTGAAATAATATTATGATTACTATTACTGTAATGTCGCGCGTGCATCATTTACGCGTTTAAGCGCGCGTCGCGAAATTGCCCGGTCCCGCACCGCCCCGCCGCCGCCGCCGCCGGCGAATCGCCGCTTAAAATATTTCCCAACATAATACTGCGCACGATATATATTACGTTAACATTGAGAAAATCAAAAAGAAAATAGAAAAAAACCGCCTAACGGGATAATGGGGGCGGGTGCAGCCACCGTCATGCGTAGTTTAATGTGCATCTGCTAGCCGCGATTAACCGTCGTTGACGAAAAAACGATTCTGAGCGGAGTTCAGTTGATAGTGTGGCTTTGTTGCTTCAATATACGTATGTATTGTATTATGGTAAAATGATTGCAACAATGTGCGTTTCCATAACAACAGAGATTGATTGAAAAAGATTAAAATAATAAAAACATAATAATAACAAAAAAATAAATAAAAACGGTTGCTAATGACAATCTTATTTTTTAATTTTTCAATCTTTTTTAACCTAAAGAATCAGGTTTTTCTCTTTATCTCGAATATTAATGAGATTTAAAAAAATGACCTCTTCAAAGTACCACCCAGAGAAAATTTCCTTTAAGAAAAGGTACAGTACTTGATAGTCGGAGTAAACATTCTGGTGAAAAATGTGTTCACGTAAAACAAAAATACACATCATTGTAAAACCAATACATTTGCCGCTCCACTCAGAATCTAAAATTCAATGTTATCACGAAAATTCGTACGGATACACCGCAATGACCGTCACTGTGTCGTAGATTTCCCGTCCGAGAAAGTCCCCATAATATGTATCAGTGGCGTATCGAAATAGGTTTTGTTTTAGATAACCGCCTCGTGACTAAAATGGGTGGACAGATGGTTGACCAAATGTGTTGAATTTTGTTTAAGATTGGCTATAGTTCAGAAATTGATAAAGGTTATTTAGATGCCTTTAGTTTTGTGTATTATATTATTTTTATATACATATTATCTACTTATACGAATACGACATATTATTTATTCAATATCAGGGCCTAAAATACTGTGTGTCCTACACTTTGTGTCCCCTGCAAATCATAATGTGTTCCCTGAATTGTAAATGTGTGTCCAAAGTTTTATAACATGTTTTCAGTTAAATGTAGAAATAACAAACAATTTGGAATTTCAATACAAATGAATCTTCTTTATCTCAATTCTCAGTATGAATTGATAACAACTTTTTTTGATTACTCTTAGTTATGTTCTGTACGTAAGCGACGATAAACCATTGCTAACGAAAAAGCGGTTCTGAGCGGAGTTCAGTTTATAGTGATGCTTTACCGAGAATATATATTAGATCATATTATGGTAAAATAATTAAATAGACATTATATATTTTCTTTAATAATATTTGTTTATTATTGTACTGATTTTCCTGTTTTTCCTACGTACTTCTCGATTTTCTCATGTTTTTTCCCGGTTTTTCACATTTGCTGGGAAAATTGAAAAATGATCTAGATAAATACAGATTTTGCTTTAATTATTTGTAGGATGTATACAAATCCATGTTTCGAGTGGATGGGTCCTAATTTTTTTGTTTTATTTCAAGAATGAAAAATGTTCAGCACGCCGTCGATATATGTGTCTGGGACATTATCTTTTTAGTTAAAATATACCGAATGTGAAAAAAAGTCTCCTCGAAAAAATTAAAATCATAGAGACTCGCTTTTATCGAGCGTTGCCGCACGGTGCACAGCACGCAGTTTGGATGATTATTATCGATTCACCGTCTCGTATCGAACCTATAACAATAATTTTGTATGAACGGGTCTTGCGTTCCTATACCGATATATATATTAGTCTTTGAACGCGTATTTGGAATCCTAGTTCCAGTTCGTCCCTTTCCTGAAAATTACCTAAAGGCGTTCATGAACTACACTACAAATACATAGGTTCACCCTATTTAGGGTGGTCCTTATTTTGTTAATTTTAAAATTTCATTCAGAAAACTCGCCTATCCAGTGCCGTATAATGAAAAAAAAAAATATCCTTAAAGTTTGAGGCCGCTTAGGCAATATTCAGTGGAAGTGTAGGGCGTTTTAATATTTAATAACAAAAAAAATAAATTAAATCAATGAAAATAATGTAAAAACGACCACCGATCTTTATAGGAGCTGTCAAACGGGGTGAGGTGGAGAATGAGAGTGACAATGGGACATATACTCCCATTAAGACATTTTTCTAGAATATTTATAATAATATACAGGGTAGTTTTATAAACATGATCAGGAATTATTACATTTGTTTGGTTAAATTATGCATGAATTGAANAGTTTTATAAACATGATCAGGGATTATTACATTTGTATGGTTAAATTATGCATGAATTGAAATTGATATTTGGAATTTATCCAAAACAAATGTCACTAAAATAACTATATAAAACCCTTATCAGACCTGTAGTATGCTATGGAGCTGAAACTTGGACACTGTCAAAGGCTGACGCCAACAGGTTAATGATATTTGATAGAAAAATAGTTAGACAAATATATGAAGCATGGAATGAAGAAGGAATATGGAGGGTACGAAAGAACAAGAAAATAGAACAAATTTTAGAAAACGAAAACATAGTGAAATACATAAAATTATGCAGGATCCGATGGCTAGGTCTTGTAGAAAGAATGAATAAGGAAAGAATACTCAAACGGGTTATGCATGCAACCAGGAGACAAGGACGTCCAATGAGCAGATGGATAGACGAAGTAAAGAAATATTTACAACAGATGAGGATACGGAACAGGAGGAATGTTGTCAAAGACCGCGATAACTGGAGAAGAATTGTTTTGGAAGCCAAGGCCATCATGGCCTGTAGAGCTTATGAGAGAAAGAGAGTTTTTGATTCTGAGTTTAGCAAAGAATGTATTGGTTTTACAAAGACGTTTATTATTATAATTTTTGTTTTTTATTTATTTTTTTTTTTTATCTGAACACTTTTAGAAAGCTTTCTCCGATTTTCCACTTTTTCTGAAAGGAAATTTTCTCTGGGCGGTACTTTGAAGAGGCCATTTTTTTGAAATCTCATTAGTATTCGAGATAATGAGGAAAACCTGGTTTTTTAGGTCGAAAAAGATTAAAAATTAAAAATAAGATTGTCATTGGCAATCGTTTTTACTTATTCATTGCTATTATTAAGTTTTTATTATTTTAATATTTTTTAAACAATCATTGTTATTATGAAAACGCACATTGTTGTAATCATTTTACTATAATATGACACACACGTATATTGTTGACAAAGAAACTCCGCTCAGAATCGTTTTTTTTTTAAACAACGATAAACCCAATGGTTTATCAATGCTTACAGACGTATATTAAAGTCCCGTCTGTATCCTACCTTCCCAACTTCCCACCTACAACAGTGGCTGCGCCCACGTGTGAAGTGTGTTCGTCCTTTTTTTTTTTTAACATCGTTTTTTATTCTGCATTAAATACTAAGGATTATAACTGCACGGTCAAGATCTACGCCTAGGCCTGTAGTTTATTACGGACACGAATCGAAAGAGCAAACCTCCACTCCACCCTCCCACCACCACGCTGCCGAATGTCGCTCATGCACCGGACTCGCGATTCGACTGCACCTGAAATTAGTGTGCACGGGATTCAATTCAGTGTTGGCCTTTCCGTAACCGCCACGCCGCCGGGGGCGCGCTGCTACACAAACCTCATTAATTAACGAATCAAAAGCGATCGATACCTACGTATAACCGTCGCGCGTATATTATGTATTATGTATTATGTATATTATATTATAATATTATTATTGCATTACGGTATACGCGTCTGGGCGGCGACGGTGGCGGCGTATTAAATTACCATAATACGCGTTGATATTCATAACGGCGTGTCCGCGTCATACAAGACGGCGAATACACAAACCGCCGTAATATACTCGTAATAATAATAATAATAATAATAATAATACGCTATCCTCTTTCGCTCATTCACTCTCTCTCTCTCTCTCTCTCTCTATCGCTCCCTGTCCGGGCGACGAGAACGACGACGACGACGACGACGACGACGCCGCCGTCGCCGTCGACGTCCACCGCGCACGGCACATCGTACGCGGGCGGGACGGTGCACGGGTGGCGAGAATCGGTCCGCGCGACCCGACCTTCCCGGCCCCTTTTTTAGTATTCCGCGAGGCTCGGGTCGCGGACCATAGACAATGCGCTAAATGAAGAATGCGGACGTGCGATGATACCGCCGCCGCACAAACGTCCCTCGACCCCTGCGCGCAGACCGCCCTCTCGCGACTCTCGCCGAGCGTCACACGCGTTTTCGTCGTACACCGTATTATTATTATTATTTCACCGTACAATAAAATGAATATAAAATCTGCGCACAGACGGAAAACCGGGCGAAATGATTCGATTTGGCGAAACGCTTTTCTTCTTCTCTTCCTCCCCCTCCCTCCTCCTCCTCCTCCTCCGCCCCTCTTACTGTATCTACACGGGTACACCTACTGCTAACACGTCACTGCTACCCGCCCGCCCGCCCTCCCGCCTCGCACGCGTTTATTTAACTCGTCTTTTATACTACAATAACATACACGATATATTATTATTATTATTATTATCCACGAATCGCGCGGTAATATACCGGCGGCGGCACTGCGGACACGCAGCGATAACCCGATTAAAAGCCGTCGCCCTCCCCCTTATATTACACTGCCGCCGCCGCCGCTGCACACGGTACGTAATAATGTAATAAAATATCCCGGGCGGAGAATCGAGAGAGAGAGAGAGAGAAAAATAGCGCGCACTGTGTGTATACATACACACACGAGGCTGCGGCATTTTAGCAGAGCGACGATGACGGTATTATATAAGTACCTACGGGGTACCGGGATGCAATAATATCGCTCGGATCGAAACGCCGCGCGGACGTTGTTATAATATTATAGTATATCGAAATAGAATTACTACCGCTTCGACGACGGCGGCGGCGGAGGGACGGCGTATAGGGGCCGGGAATACCGTCGGGTCAATATGTTTTTCGGAACCCTTTTTTTTTTTTCCCCCTGAAAATCACCGCCGGAAAATCGTCCCCCGCAGTCTCGTCGCGCGTGTTGTTTTATCAGCTCCCCGAAAAACACGACCGCGCCGATGCATCACCCTATATATATATATATATATGTACGTGCGCGCGGAACTACATATTTCATACTTTAAATATACCTACCTATATATACATATATATATATATATGTATACAACGCTGCGGCATATACGCTAATCGCATTATTAAAAACGTTATTGGACCCTTTATAAATAATAACGTTTTCGAAACGCGCCTTTTGTTCGGAGTAACTGCAGCAGCACAAAGTCTTTATTGTAACTACCTGCTATACACGATACAATAATGTATTAAAATTAAGTTTTAATAATAATACGACGTCGGCAGTACGGTGTGCATACCTGCCTCGTCACGGAGCTTTACGTTATTATACGGAACATAACGAAAACGGCGAAACGTTTTTTTTTTTTTTATCTACGCTGACGTCCGGCGACGGTAGACTTTTTACTACGCGTCGTCCCTTCGCCATTCGGTCGTCGCCGCACAAGGGCATTCCGCGCGTTTCTCGCTCCCGACTACGATATAGTCCCGGTCGGAAGATTGAAGTCGCAGTAGCTTCTGAGGGCTTACCTGTTTCGACCTAACTGTACTCTCGGTCCACCGCGGTGGCTGAGGCCGAGACCGTAAAGGTCCGCAACGATCAACTGCCCCTCGATTCCTGTTACGAGATTTCGGGTTTCGGCCGTCGAACTGCGGTCAGAGTGACACGTGACGTGTACGCTCCGAAAATCGCAGTGCGATGTTGGAGAACGGCGCAAAAGTCACCCGTCGGATGACCAACGGTTTCTTCACTAAATTTCAGCTTTTCATCGTAAAACAGTAAAAATGTGTTGTGTTTTTTTTCCGATTATGTTACAATAATTTAGGTTTTAATTTATTAATTTTTTAATCGTTCAGCAAAATACTAAGAGATAACGCAACTATTTCAGACGATAACTAATATTTTCTTATAAATAAAAAAAAAAAAAACTGCCTGTTCGTTTGTGGCCATGGGCGCCCGCAGGAATTTTATCAGGGAGGGACATAATAAAACCAAACACCAAAAACTACGTAAAATAAAATCGCAATTTAAATTTTGAAGTCCAGGGGGGCAGATGCTCCGTCTTGCCCCCTCTCCCCTCTTAGTGCTCATGTTTGTGGCTGGACCATAGCCGAATCTATCGTACACGCTCAGGTCTGACAATTTACATTCAGAGGCGGATGGACGGTCACGTGTGCACCTTGAAGTCAAAGTTCCGAAATTAAGTCCTTGAAGTGTGGCATAGGGTTTTTAATATTTTATAAATGAAAATTTATGTTTATAACCTTGGTGACACGGACTAACAATATTTATTTATTGAAACAAGTACATTTTTTTTTTTTTAAATAATACAGTTATAATAATATAAATATTTTTAAAAAAATCGTATTTATTCAAAGAAATTTAAATACAAATATAAATTTAAAAACGTAGGTAAATAATTCCCCTTTTTGTACTCGGCATGATGATGAGGTTAAACGCGACTATCACTATCCACCATCCCTCATCTTTTCCAAGTAGTTCGCAATAACAATATTTCTCCCATAGAGCCTGATTAATTCTGATTTTATTCCCGTTATTCTCGCCATGTTAGAATTTTTAAAATCTGCTGGTTTTTTAATTTAACATATAGTTCGTTCCGTATTTTTATTTTTTTTTTGCACCTTTATTTGCTTTACTTTATGTTTGTAAATACAATTTTGTTATTATTTTAGGCTTCTGGTGGAATGTTGTTATTAATTGTCGAGCTGTAATAAATTAAATATTTAAAGCTAATAAAGAAAAAAAAAAACGTAGACTTAGCAAGTAACAAATGTAACAAAATAAGAATACTTTACATACTTTACAAGTGATTTGATCATATTCGAACGTTAACATATTCATATTAAATTACACGGTTTAATATTTTTTTGTAATATCGACAAAAAAAAAAAAAATTGTTTTAACAGGTACTGATATCAACTTGAATTTTCTTTAATAATTTTCTTATAATTGAATTCTTTAATTAAGCACATAATATTACATTATACAATAATAACAATACATATTGTTTCAACGAAAATTTAAAATTCATTTGACGTTTAATTTTTATTAGTAGGTGTACCTATGGAAATTATTTTCGATAAAAAAAACTTCTCGTTGCTTTTGTCGTTTTTGTCTAGAACAATACAAATTTAGGTTCGGTAACAAGGTTAAAAACAATTTTTATGTGTACAAAAGCGTTTTGGCACACGGAGCACAACAATAACCGGCATCAAGGGTTTCCGGTTTTCGTAAACAATGAACGTTTGAAAGAATGAAAAAAAAAAAAAAAAAAAAAAAAAAAAAAAAAAAAAAAAAAAAAAACACTACACCCCTTGACGTTGTGCCCTCATTATAGTTACGTATGTACTACGATGTAGTGATGAGACAAACTCATTATGTCAAAAGCCCACTAGACGTTTTATACGCAAAAACGGGCGAAAAGTGCTTTTGCTCGCCGCTCTATAGTCGTCGCAATGGGCCCGTGATGATGGCAAGACCCTAAAGACCTCTAAGAGTAAAGAACGTGTAAATTGAGAACGCTTCAGAAAACGTTTTGAATCGAATGCGCCCAGTGTTACGGAGACAATGTAGGTTAAAATATCGGAGTATCATATTTTCATTAAACATAATATGTTATATTATAGTGTATGGATAATAGTGCTCGGGTGGGGTGTATTGTAAAAAGTTAATTTTATAATTTCGTGTAATTTTATTTTACATGTCGCACAGTAGATTAATCATTCGCGGTAACTAAAATTTGCTCGGTAGTACGAAGCCGATTATTATTTACGGAATATTAAAAATGTAAAAATATTTTTCGATAAATCGTTTGAATTCCGGTCGTTTTCGTGTTCTAGTACAAATTGATAAAGATTTACACTCTAAGAGACTGCGGTGTATTCGCAACAGGACTTAATATAAAAATAGCAAATAATACAATTTTAACAACATTCGTACAAATTATCGAATAAACAAATGTTTGTGGTCTCGTCCCGAGCGCCACAACTTTTTTTATTTCGTGGGTAATAGTGAAATTTATTCAAAAACGCGTTCGCGCAAAATACAAAAAAAAGTACCTACTCTTCTAAGGTTTTTGTAAAATGTTTTTTTCTCACTGGTTTTTCTGCTTGATTTTTCGCATACGAATGGTTCTCTTCGAAATATTATTGGGGTTTTTTTTTTTTTTTTCAATAATTTAGACATTTTAAAATCTGTACATACATGATGTTTTTACCGCTGAATATCGTCGGCGATGAGATGTTCTTTTAAATTTAAATGCTAATTTTTGATCCGCTTTAATAAATAACTCGTGCTAATAGATATTATTAATAATATGATACAGCACGCAGTACTTCTTATATTAAAGTAATAATAATTGTTTACAATTTGTTTTCTCATACTGTCTGTAGTAAACTATTTGCCGGATTTACGTTATGCACAAATGGCTTTCAGAAAGCTAATATAAAAGCTAAAATTATTTTTGCATAATAGCTTAGAAGTTCAGTCTGTGATGTTGTTGTTTATGACTATTGGTGGTCGTCCGTTAATCGTCGTTTCGTGTCTTGCCGGGATCCCCGACGTGTCTATATTATCTTCGAAATCGGCCGGTCTGTATTTCACGCCGGTACTAAATCTAGCCGGGACATATATCTTCGGTTTGAGTATTCGCCCGAGTTCCCTGCAGCCCATATTTATCAAAGTGCCGAATACGAAAATACCGATCACCAGGCCGATGACAATGATGAAATGTCTGAGCCGCGTAACGTGTCCGTGACCGTGATTGGGATAGGAAGAATGTAAGTTGAAATCTTCGCAATCGATGTGATTGTTCAATTGCGATACTAGCGTACCGTTCAGATCTTTGGGCTCGTTACATCTGAAATATATTAAGCACACACACACAGATGTTTTAAATAAAAAAAAAAATATTATAAATGAGATATTATATTTTATTCCAATCAAAAAATGACTAGGTGGGATTTTGAATCTAAAAGTCGGTGCATAAAAGGATTGTTTTTAATGTAGTTTTTTTAATAATTAGAAAAACCGTAGGAAAAGCTTAGGAAAACGGAAAAGTTCACGGAATTTACAGTTTTATTATATTCGATTTGGTGGTATTGTAGTTAAGTAACAAATAATCGTGGAGACCTGAATTTTTTACCAAATATCTTGTATCGGCCTTTTCTAGACGTGGTAAAATGTTGATAACAACCCGTTTAGCTTTACTTGTTTGAACGACTAATTGGTCTGTGCACTAAACAAGGCTTAACGCCTTTTCTAGTGATTGATTTTAAGAGGTTGGGTTTGTTCATTAATTAAAATAGAATTGGATTTGTCCATTAAAGGGGTGGGTTAGAATTTTATGAACTGTATTCTTCCTTGTTCACGTCTAATTTCCCTTAAATGAAGAAAAGGAGAATAAATATTTTTGTGGAACATTGGTGTTGATTGCCACGTGATGATTTCTTAGATTGGTTTTGAGTTTTTTTGAGTGAAATAAGACTTCGTTTTTAACAAATTTGGAGGGACCAAGGTCTTAATGACTTTTTAGCTATTTATACGCATTTGACATTGGTTTTTTTTGAGTTATTATTTTGTTTTATGTAGATAAAATTACTTTTACCAAACAAAAATACTTGAAAATGTATATATAAAATAAAACTTCATTAAAAGTTTTATTTGACGGTAAAAACAGTTAAGGCTAATGAAGTAGGGTTTTTATATACGCATTTAAAGTCCAAATTGTACTGAAACCGTAAAAATCATCATATTTTTAAATATGTTTAACCAATCTTCGCTCAGAATTTTATTTCGCTAGCAATGATTTATCTTTGCGTACAGATTTAAATTAAATAACTTTATTTATCCCGTTTTCCCAAATTTCCACCTACAACAGTTTAGCAAACCTATCAGCAGTATCAGCTATTTATTTTATAATTAGTTTACTATAACTATAGTTTATAGTTAGATACTTTTTATAGTTTGGGTACGCCACTAAAGTCGGTGAAAAGTTAGGTCGGTATTAGATGATAATGTAAGATATTAATGCAATGAGAAATCGCAAACATTTGAGAAAACATTTTTTTTTCCTTTGAATTTATATTGAATATTTTATACGTTTTTCTAACTACTTGCAAACCAAATTATGAATTTTTCGTGTTTTTAATACATTTTATCGAGAATGTTAACTTCTAACGTTGATGATATTTGTTTACAAACGTTGACGTATGTGAATATCGTATGTGAAATGTTTTACTGACAGGAATATTATTATCGTATACTACGTTACCGATAGTAGAGAAGTATATCCGGGTCTTCGGTAAACGTGTCGTTTAAATAACTTGCCAGCCACGATAACCGACAATCGCACGTCCACCGGTTACTTTTGGCGTCGAACAAGTCGAGCATGGTCCACGGATAGAGCATCGAGTCGATACTGGTGATATTGGTGTCACTCAAGTATAACTGAAATCAAAATATCCAAAACTTACATACGTAAAGCGTACAGCTGTTTGGAAATTCGAAAAATCGCGGTCGGCATCATAGCATCAAGAGGTGTATAGCTCACTTTTTTCAGCGACATATGGTCGAACCTATAGTCCCTGAACGCGTCGGGATCGATGTTCGACAGACTGGGATTGTGAGTCATTCGTAGGGTCGTGAGTTTCTTTAGTGGCGCGAACGTGCCCTTCCCAATGTTGGTCAACTTGAGCATACTGCTGATCATCAGCTGTTCGAGCGTGTCCATGCCGACAAACGAATCGCCGTCCAATTCGCCGATGGGGTTCGCGTTCATGTTGAGAAACGTCAGTGGCATGTAACGGATTTCTTTCGGGATGCTGCTAAATCGATTGCCGTTCAGGTACAGCGTCCGGACATTGGATAGCCCGGAAAACATGTTCGCTGGGAATTCCATAATGTCCGTATTGCCCAAATCCAATATCTAATTGAAAAAATATCCGCAAAATGACATAAAATTTGAGCAGCACCGAAACCAAAGTTTAACTGCAGCGTATGTCACTCAAATGGTAACGCGAAATATTTCAGCCGGACGGACTTAAAAATTAAAATGGAATTTTCCTTTTTTTTTTTTGGAAGACCGGGCGTTCTAAATTTAACATTTTAATGCTTGAGGTGCGCGCGCTCATTACTTTCCCTTAAACGGAAACGCCTATTTTTTAACACCATATTCGAATATTGCTATTTATTTCTTAAGCAACTCTGACTATTGGTAATGCAATTCTTTTTTACCCAAAACTACCTGCAATACAACCATATGATATAATGCGCGACATTAAAAGAAAAGTAATTTAAATAATAACATACGGTTTAAATTTTTTAAAAATCGAGATAAACCATGTTTTTTAAACTTTGGATATCCTGTATCCCATGACAGTTTTTTAGATAAAAAACAATTCGTGGGGTTAACAAGTTAAAAAAAAGGTATTCTGAGATTTTAAATCTTCCTGAAAAAAAATCATTCCGATTCAAGTCCATTCGGATTAAACATTTCGGGTTGTCATTTGAATGAAACACACTGAACATATTAAGAATTTTACCTGCAGATTTGTTAAAAATCCTAATGCAATTTCTGTGTTTTCATCAATAACCGATAAGGGATTATAGTTCAATTCGAGCACTTCCAATTTTCTCAAATATTCAAAACAATCCGGCGATAGAGAATGGATATTGTTGAAGTTCAACTTGAGAACTTTTAATGGCGCTTCTTTACCGTATTGTGTAATTCGTGAATTCTGGCGTTTAGGACTATAAAACACGTCATGGCGTAACTCGTGACCTAAAAAAGAAACCAGCTATTATTTAATTTATCGCTTGATCATTTTTTTATAATATTCAACAATGATGATTAGTAATATTTGAAAACAAATTATTGAAAAATGTTTTTACTAAGAAATTTTTTGTGGGTTTTTAAACAACTTTTCTGCCAGAAAACTCGTTCTAACCAAAAACTTTATACAAACTTTCTTATATAATTTTTGATCTAGATGGCGTATTAAAGGGAGTAAGTTTTAAATTTTTCAATTAATTTTCTTAATAAAAGGGGAAAAACTGACGATTTTTGTATAATTTTTGATTGATTTCTAAATTATCTTCGTTAATTACTAATAACTACTACTAGTACTACTAATATTACTACTAATAACACTGCTCAAAATCATTTTTTGTTAACTATGAATTATTGTTGCGCACAGATGGAAATTAAATTACTCGACATATCTTCCTTTCCGACTTCCTAAAACAAGAGGTAAACAATAAAACAGTGGCACACCCATCATTAGTATTACCCTTTGTTTACATATGTTTAACTTTACTTAGATCATACATTTTTAAAAAATGTAGGGAAACCAATAATATATTATGATAATAATAGTATTCGAATTTATTAATAAAATACCTAATAGTTGAATTATTTTTCAATTTTCTGCCCTATATTTCCAATACATATGTAAGTTATATTAAATTGCATTGCATTATATTCACCTAGGTTTAAACTTTTAAATATATTTACAGTATATTTAACTTAAATTTAATTATTGACTGTTTATAATATAGCTGTGTAATTATATAGGAAAATATAATTTATGACAATATCAAATAGCTAATATAGAATTGTGTATGCACACAACAAATTCGCAAAATTATTTTATAAAGTTATACCAATAGGTACCTATAGATATTGCATTCTGAATATATCAGTTATATTAGAATATATATCAGAAGGGTTTATGGGATTGAACATCTCCCCTCTCTGAAATATAAAGCGTCCGATAATTTGTACAATTATAGTGATACTAACATTATAATATTTATTCTAACCTCCCAACCCCAAATGGATATTTTAAGTTTCAACTAGTAGTAATTTAAGTATACCTATTAGGTGACATAAATATTGCTCGCATTATTGTCACCTAGTTGTCTAATAGATAATATTTTAAATAATTGAGCGATATCAGATTTTTTTTTTTTTAAAAACATTATCATGCATTATGTACCATAAAAAGAATAGTGATAAAAATAGTTTATCAAAATAATTACAGAACAGGATAATATTGTTATGACCGAACAGAAATGCTTGTAAGCTTTTTAAGAGGTTCATAAAAAGTACATTGTATGTAGTAAAAAGAAAAATAATACAAAATTAAATGTAATTCAGTAATTTTTAAAAAATTTGTTCAATCAATCAAACAATAAAAACAAACGGACATACATTGCACGATGAGTGGCCCATTGTTTTAGGTGAGAATTCGGGAAAGCAGAGGGGAAATTTAATATATATATTTAATAATTGTTGACGAAAAGAAATTCTGAGTGGAGTTCAGTTATAGCTGTTTTGAAAGGCCATAATATTTACTAATTGAAAATAATACATTTCGTAAATTTCCCCGTTTTTCCTACATTATTCCCCGGGTTTTCTCATTTATTATGAAAATCTCTGGAAAAATTAAAAAATGACCTGCTTAAAGTACCATCTAGACAAAATGTCTTTTCAGAAAAGGTACCACATTTACATATCGAAGTAAGATTACAAATTTTTATTACAGTATATGTATATAAAAAAAAACATTTTAAAACGAAAACATTCTTCACTACACTTTGAATCTAAAAACAAAAAAAGTATTTCTTCGTAGTCAATTTGTTTTAATTGGTGTATTGAAGAAGTCATTTTGGTTATAGTTTTCTTAATAATAATGCAAAAACGGTAACTGTAATTATTCCATTATGTTTTTAGATTCGGAGCGTAGTAAGGGATTTATTGGTTTTATTATGATGGGGTTTTTTTTTTGTATAACTGTGAACAACTTTTCTACCAGAAAATTTGGTCCGAAATATACACTATAACTCTTTTTCAGAGAGGTTAGGTTAGGTTAGGTTAGGTGGTGCATTGTGAGATCATTTTTTAACTTTCTAAGAGGTTTTAAAAATAATTGGGAAAAATCCGAAAGAAAATTGTAGGTAAAACTGCAAATATTTACGGCACGCCACGGCGTTACCGTTTACATTGTTTTTAATTTTTGCAACTTATTATAATAATATATTTATTTATGAAGATTAAATTCCACTAAACTCCATTTTACATTATTTAAATAATGTATAACAGATGTATACATATAATACTATTTGGTTTCACAAGTTTATAATTTGACAACACAAAAATACACAATTATAACACAATAAGATAATAACAATTAATCATAATAGTATTAATAATAATAATTAAATATATGTAAAAAGAAAGAATTTTTAGAATTTTGTTTTTTTCAAGCTTAATATTTAAATTTGTCCAGATTTTTAAAGTTAAAAATATCAATATTGAAACTATTTCCCAAGAACATTAGAGTATTAGCGAGAGAATATTTGATTTAACTTTTATTGGTGCTTTCCGCATAGAGTGTATCTTTCAATTTAGTCTTAAATGAGTATACTTGTGTACTCTCACGTTTTTCCATCAGAAATATTGCTCCAATAAAAAAATAACAAAATATCGATTTTGTTCCATTTAACATAATACAACCACTGACAAAGAATGTCGTTTTTGATATCTAAATAATTTTTTAAAATAACTATGAAAACCAAAAAAGACTATAAAAAATGAAAGTACAAATGTTTATGAAAATCTTAAATATAGTGAAATTTTAAAACATGTTTTACTGAATTTCATTCAGAATAGTTTTTCGTTAGAAATCATTTATCATTACATACAAGTATAAATACATGGGTTTGTTCACAAATTATATTAATAAAATTTAAATGGGTCGGATAAATGTTATTAATGGTAGTAGGTACCCGCTAAATCAAAAAATTAAAATTAAGGTACATATCATGACTACAAATTATAAAAAAAAATGATAAATTACAATTGTATTTGAAACCAAGGGGCAATGTAACAAAGCCTTATTTCACAATGTTGCCTAGTGGAAATTTCTTAAGATATCCCTCTGCCGTTTGTTTTTTAATCAAATTATAAGATTTTGTTTATCATTTCATATAAGTTGATCATTAATGTTGTATAACGTTTCAACAACCTAGTAAATTTAAAAACCGGTTAAATCCTTCAGTACGTGACGTGAGTCATGTTCCGGATAAAAAATAAAACTCGAACGTTGTTTTTGATGATGCAATCAATGGATTAATTTCGCGATAAATGCATAAGTATACCTATTCTTGTACACAAAAGATTATACTAATTTAGAAAATGTATTTGATTAAACGTGCATTATTTAAAATTACGTTTGTTTTTATTTAATTGAAACTAATTGAAATTTTCTGTTTTAAGTAATTATAATTCGATAGGTAGGTACGTTAGTAAATATTTTTATATATAAAACGTATAATTTATCATAGGCACTTTTAATTTTTGATTTTTCAAATTATTTATATACCTATTATTTTAAGTCGGTTATATTATTGGTTTATTATAAATTAAACTATGTCAAACGAAACAGAAAAGTAATGCAATTAACTTTTAAGATTATAAATTCAACTTAAGCTAAAAATACAACTTCTAATACTTTTATAGCGTCTCCCTCTGCTCGGAATCTATTAATAGTTTCTATATATTGTTATGTTTTTTCATTATATTTAAACTATACCTAACCGATATTGTATATTATATTGGTATCTATTATTTAAATGCAAACTTGAAATGTTTGATTTTCGTGTACCTATATTGTTAAAAAAGTACCTCTACATAAATTTCGTGAATTTGGAATGCGGTTCAACGTTATAAATCAGAAATACTTATAATGTCAATACTTGTTGGAAAACGTTATTAGGTACCTACAACACATTCAACTGAAAGTAGAAAATTAGTATTTTATAACACATTTGTACGTCCTATAATTGTCTGAAACATTATGAAAATGTATAACAATACAGTTCAAACACAAACGTAATATATTTTATCTATTTGATGGGCAATAATTTGAGAAATAAAAATTAGTCAACTTTTTTATAAATAAACTTTTTTTAAATCACTAAATATCTATACTGTGTAAATGTAGAATGCTAAATAGATAATCATATTTAATAATGCTTACATACTTATTTAGTTAACATTTAAAAACGTACAACTCTTAATACATAAAATACCTTACGCATCTATAATAGTATGTAATTTATTATTTATATTTAATTATAAATTCGTATACCTAATAACATTTTCGTATTTGTTTGAGTACAGATGTATTTTAGTGTATATCACCTATATTCAATGCTTGAATTGACATATTGTAAATATATGGCGAGTTCAAAACATAAATTATGCATTCCTCGCAGTCAATCTTACGGAATATGTTGATTATTATACATATAGGGGTTTACGGTATAGTAAATTGTAATTAAATTCCTATAATTAGACAGACTAAGTGAACTAAATTCAATAAGGCTTGCCGACGACAAATTTATAAGATATTCGCTGACGTAGCTATAATATTTCAAGTAGGTAAGCATAAGCATATATTCAGAGTAGTGCATAATATAATATCTACACGGTCGTTGGCAAAGTTTAATAGTCTGATAGGTTGTTTGCCCGTCGTCTTACGGTATTCCTTCCTTCAATTAGAAACTGTTAATCAAATTTAATGTTTCGGGGTTCAATCGACAATCAAATTAGATCTTACGTTTCTACGCACTTGGTAATATGTTTTCACAGAAACAAAGCGTAATTTTATAATATATTCGGTTATCGAAATTGTTATCCAATATGAAGCATAACCATGAAAATGGAATATATTAAAAAGATAAAGTATAGGTAATGTCTTAAGGTTTATTGTTTTAAGTTATACAGGTATTGATGCTCCTAATAATGGAAAATTAATTGACAATGACGAAAAAAAAAATTATACAACTGAACAATTTTTTATGAAATAATCGATAAGTATATTCATATTGTAAAGTTCCAGATTAACCTTTTAAATGAAAATGATTTATTACTGTTCGCGACGTTTGCGTTAAACTTGCTAAAAAATTAGGCAAATACTTACCTATTAATTATTAGATTATATTATAGATACTAATAATTGTAGTGATAAAACCTATATACATATTATTATATGCGCTGTGTAGTTCTTGCTAAATGCGATTCTATACTAAGAAAATTATTTGGACCCCTCTCGTGAAATATTATTAAATACGCCAACTAATAATTAACTAAACAACTTAAATACAAACAAAACAATTTTATAATAATTATTATAGTAAAATTTAGATCTTACTATTGCTATTGAATTACTTATACAGATTAAAACATTTTAAATATTCAATTGATGTGTTTATTAATTTCATAGTAGATCGCCTAATACAATTTGTGGTCTGAAAAAAATTTTAGTTTAAATTTTATTTTAATAGTTCATTTATATCCTGATCAAAGTAAAAGTTTTTAAAAAAAATGAATTTCAATGATGGTAAAAATATTAGGTATAGGTATAGATTAGGTATAGATTAATATTTCGCTTAAGAACGTGTTACTATATTGGCTATTTCACTAAATTATGCAGAGCTATGAAGTATAATACCTATAAATTATAATATAGATGTCTCATATAGTAAAATGTATTTAATTGTATACCAATACGGGTTTAAGAAGAAAAAAAATGAAAATTTATCGTGGTAATTACAGGTTAATTGGCCAATTCAAGTGCGTTAGCTGTTTAATCGAAAAGACACTGGGAAATTTAAATATCGTTGATTCACCAAATCCGATTATATTTAAATTTGTATTCAATTATTCTTCAGAAAAAAAAAAAAATCAAACAGATTCCCAAATTAAATAAGTTCAGTATTATATTAATATATTTGTTGACTTCAAAGAATAATAAAATTAAATAATTTAATAAGTGATATAATTTGTCCTATTACAAAAATGAATAATTGCAAATCGGAAATTAAGAAGAATCTAACTGTTAGCATTTATAAAACTATAATATTAAGTAGGTGATTATAAAATCATACCAATCAACAAAATTGTATTATAAATATGAGTACATAATAATCTATTTCAAAAGATGACCATTGACTTGAATATTACGATTACATTCTTCTAGTTTTTTTTTTTTTTGTAAGTAAATACATAAATTTGCGAAATTTTAACAAAATATCATTAAAATTATGAGTTTGGTTAAATACATTTTAATAAATTTAAATTTAAATTTGTATTAGTTTTTACTTACAAAATAAATTACAATTGCACGTGTTCTTAACGGATTTTAATGGTACAAGTAGGTAAAAGTAGGTGAATTCGGTGAAAGTTTCAAGTTTCTATGATTATTTTTAACTCAATTACAATAAAAAAAAAATCAAAAAATCACCTGTCCATTACATTCTCTAGACTAAATTTGATGCCAGAAACCAACCCTGAAATTGATGATCGAAGCAAAATTTCTGGTAGAAATGCTATTATTTACAGAAAATTAACAAAAAAAATCACACATTTAATGAAACCAAAATACATTTCTTCGGTACATTCAGAATCTAAAATGTAAAGGTTTTCCTTTTTATACCTATACCTATACCTATACCTTTTAGCTAATTAAATTTGTGAATTCGTATCTATCGGAAAATATTTTAATATTCACACTAAATAAATCTCAAAATCGAGAATACTACTCGAATATTACTGTCGTTTATTTCGTATATATTATAGGTAGGTATAATTATTTTATATTTTATAGATGCTGTTTTATTTATATATGTTGTTTAGAGATTAGTCATATACATGTAAAATATTACAAGTTTATTGGTAAGTACTTACTGTTTAGCAAATTGAAACTCAAGTCTAGTTCTTCGAGAGCCGGTAAATCCGAAAACGCTTGGTCTTCGATAGTCGATATGTTATTGTATTTGAACGATAATTTTTTCAGTGACTGCATTTTAGGTAATTTGAAAGCCGTTTGGAAATTGTTGTTTTCCATATTTATGTGCAGTACGCGATTAGCGAATATGCCATCGTCGAAAAATGCGTGATATTGGATCCATTCTTCAATGGTATAGGGATAGCTCTTGCTTGCCATATTGGAACAGTCCAGTATTATGCCGGTTTTGTCTAAGCCTTTATTTTTGTCGAAACATCTCACTCTGGTCTGGGCTGCAGTCAAAGGCATGGCCGCAATGCCCATCAACAAGCACATGCATTCAATGATCATCAGCAAATTATTCACATTTGATGATCCCGTGTGTTTTGTGATTATTCCTATATAAAAAAACAGACAGCCCCGGACTATAATGTTATAATTATTATGTAAAATAGACGCAGGTTACGAAATATATTCGTTAAAAGTGTGTTCGAGGGAGGGGAAGGGTGTCATATTCCCGTTGAATTGTTTTTTTTTTTTTTTTAATAATTCAATTATGCTTCATGAATTTCCTATAGTTATTGTCTTGTTTTATTGATGTTTGGAGATCATAATTAATACAAAAACACTACTAATGTACTTATTATTCTATTTCAACGGGTTGTATTATTTGTAATAACATTCAACAGATATATTATTTTAAGATTTATTTTATAGGTGTTGTTAAGGAACGCGTTCCTAAAGGTTCCTGGGATTAACTCCTTTTTAGAGAAACGAATAGAGGAATAACTGCATTCTTTTTTAAAAGAATAGGAACTTAAATTAAATGAATTAATTCATTATTTTTAGGACTAAGGACGTAAACATTGTGATTCTTTTGTTCTTCTTTGAAATGTGGTTTAAGACACATTTGAGGAAAAAAATTTCGTTTATCAAGTTTGTAATCTTATAGACGAAACGCTTCCAACCATTTTTTGTTTTGTTTTGTTTCCGACTTGGTGTTCTATCTGTTCTGATTAGTGATAAAGATAATAGTTCATGAAATCATTTAAGGAGGTTGAAAGCGGTGATTTATTAAAAGACAGTGTTTAGACAATTTCTAATCTCGTCGTCCCTGCCAGTTATCTTTACTTTAGTCATAAATGATCATTAGTGTGAGTGCAGTGCAATCTGTGTACCGCCACCCACCGCGTTGTCATCGTAGCAGGTAGTAGGTTGTATTGGTTATCAAAAATTTATTTTTGGATTTTTACAAATCGGGTCATTTAATAATATGTTCTGTTTTTGCTGTTATTCAATGGTTCGCAAATAAAAGTCTAAACTATTCAAATCTATTCAAATAGTTATTGTCATTTTTTATTTCCATAACACTGTACTATACCACGAATTATGTGCATCACGAACAATATTCAAACTGATATCAAAAAGTTAGAACAAAAACGCAACTTTAAAAAAAAAATGCTTTGCTAAATTTTTGTCTAAAATACCTTGACAATTTTACAAAAAGTCCAATAATCAAAAAAAAAACAACAAAAATTGTGTGTTTACAACCCCACCCCCTCAATAATTGCTAGCACCAGCCCTGACGAAGTGCACAATCTGAGTTGGGGCCCAAGTAACACAATATTGAGCAAAAAAAAAGAAAAAGGAAAAGGTAACTGTCTGTTTTCATACACATGTCCGTTCACTCATGTCACTTAATAAATCAAACAATGTGTATTGTCTGTTTTTTATTCGACTGTCGATTCACCGAAAAATAATATTTTGGACTCTGATTTGGGGCCCCTAAATTTCATGGCACGTGGTTCATTTCTCATCACGCCAATCTATCGGTACGCCACTAAGGACCCGGTATTTTTTTACTTCGATAGCATTGTGGTATATTATTTTTATTTTTATTAACATACAAGGTACATAACTCACACTACATTTATATTTATATGAAATTAGGTGTTTACATAAGTGTGAAAAGACCAATGAATAATTTATAAAAATCTTTAATATCAAATGAGTAGATACTTCAAAGCAAATTAATTAGTGATATTTTCACATTTATTTTTTTAATTTTATTAATATGAAAAAAACATTTTGGACTACATTAAGCATTCATAAAAAAAAAAAAGAAAAATGAAACGGTTAAAGGAACACATTTTTTTTTTTAAATAAGAAGGAACGGGTTAGAATTCCTTTTTAAAAGGAACTCTAACAACACTTTTATTATTGTATAGTAAATCTATAAAGGTATATTAGAGTAGGCACAAAATATGTTTTTATGAGTATACTTTAAGGTAATTTTAAAAAATTAACATTTAATTTGATTGTTATTTTCCGAGAAATGTCTAACTCACCTTATATACTTGTAGTTGCTCAAATTAATTTATATTTTAAAACTAACTTTAACCCCTAGCTAATGTTTTGTTTTTAGGATATCTAAACTTAAACTAGTTTTTTAAAAAAAAATGGTTAATTTCCCCGGCTTTGAATATTATAGATTTTATATACGCCATTTATCTCAAGATGCATACCCATTTTAAAAACGAAGATTATTTTCGCCTTATCCCGTACAACTGCATCTGATAGGTATCGAATAGGTATCGAATAGTGATAATTTGTCTTCTGTGGTCGGTATAACTGGACGTCAATATTAGTAAAACTGCAAAAAATTATTAGATTTTTTATGCGTAGGTACGTGTAATATAATTATAAACGAAAAGACATTCTGTCGCAGATATACTGTGTTAAGTGGATTTATGGCGCCGTTGTAGGTACACACCAAGGCTCTGAGATTAGATACTGGCTATAATAGACGAATCAAACGCAGTGTTTTTTTTAATTTTTTTTTTTTTTTTTTTATATAAACAACGCGCATTCTGAATGCTAGTTTTGAATAATAAGTGCATCTGATAATAATAATGTCTCACCTGCACCTCGTACAATATGAAATGCTTGACAAGTCGACAACACCGGAATATTGTTGTTATACGATGAGTGTAATTATTTAATCTGCTTTTTGCGCGATTGTCTGTTTTGCACTAATGTATCTACAAAACAATTACAGTTAACTAAAACTTTGCATTTACCATATAGATATTATTTATCGATCCCCGTTCGTAATTTATTATTTTTTTTTTAAAAATTTCGTTGTTAACCACGGAAAAACAAGAAAATATGTCATTTCCGCTGTGAACTAGTGCAAAATAAGTTTTTCGCGATAAGTAAACTACGTCGTATCCCCAATGTCCGTTCGAGTTAACTAAATTTAACGACTCTAACATGCTCGAAAGATGGTGATATTTGCCTGTTTGTAAACACGACCTTGATCCCACCTTATTTAAACTCTTTCGGTATTATATACCTAATCGTATGTAGTTTGATATACTACAAAACTGTTGTGGCAGCTGCACCGTTAGTGGTAGTTATACTTGAAGTTCAAGCCATGGGGGAAAAAGAGGGGGCGAAAATCGGTACATTTGAAAAATACCTAATATACCAATCCGAAAAGCGAAAAAAGAAAAACCATTTTGAAATACCTACTTATCAGTTCACCGCGAACAAAAACCGTAAAATGTTATTCTTATTTGAGTTTTCTTGTTTAATTTTATATTATATAATAATTTATTTGTTATAACTGTATATATAATGCCCCACGAAGGGATTATAATCATTGCGATATCTTGGAAAGTATTAACTTTTTTCGGAATTTTTCTTTTGAAAACTAAAGATGTAAGCGGAACAATGTTCAAATATCGCACACTATAGCACCCAAAAAATCATGTTCTACTACTCTCCACTACTCATACTTAAAAGTAGAATATTTCATAAACGGGTTCATAGAATTCAAAAATAACAACACCCAAAACTATTTAAACTAATACTACGTGTATTTTTAATACAGGTTGCAATTTGAAAATCAAAAGTAGGAGGCGATTAATCTTAAAAATAAGAGTTACAATGTAACATTTTAAAACTATATGTTTCTTAATTTTTCAAAAAAAAAAAATTACGAAAAAAGTTAATACTTTCCAAGATATCACAATGATCACATCTTTGTGGGCACTCTACATAAGTAAAAAAGACGGGCATTATACTTCACACGATAGGTGGGTGAGAAGTTGGGAAGGTAGAATATAGAAGGAAATTCAATATGTATGTATACGTAATCATTTAATATTGCTAAAGAAAAACGATTCTGAGAGGAGTTCGGTTATACATGTTTTAAAAGGTCGTAATATTTACAATTTTCGTCATTATTAATTAAGACAATTCTTATATAAAATTCTATATTATACTCAATTTTTTTTTACCATAAAAAACAACGAATAACTTATACTTTAACCTCCTCTTAAATTTTCGAGCATTTCGGTTTTGTCAAACAATTTTATGCACAGATAGTACCTACCTAACGAAATAAATTACGTAAAAACTCACAAAATTAAAATGTCTGTAAATAGCTTAAAAATGACTGACATTTTTTGAAATTATAAGTGCTCTGTCCGAATTTCAAGTATCCATAAATATTTTTAACTGAACTAGGTACAACAAAAAACAAAATTTAAAATAATAAAAACATTATTTTTGTTAAATTTTCCCGGTTTTCTAACGGTTTTTCCCATTTATTATGACAAATCCTGAGTAAATAAAAAATAACATACTTAAAGTACCATCTGAATAAAATTTCCTTTTAAAAAAGCTACTGCATTTTAATGTCGGAGCAAGATTTTTGATAGGAAAGTTGTTTAGAGATAAAAAAAATAAACATCATTGTAGAACCAATAAAATAAAATGAAAATAAAAATTTTTTCTCAAAATCGTTTATCGCTACTGGCTGTCATTGTACATATTATATATACATATAGATAAAATTTGTTTGATTATTCATACGACGATTTTTAATTCAATATTTAGAAATGAATAAAAACATTATTCTGTTTTCATATACTGGCTAAACGTCCTATAATTCTAAAATAATACCAGCAGAATCGCAGCTACCTACGTTTGTTGCGAAACGATCGCATACTGGCAGCTACTTTCTGCAGTTCTACGAACGTATAAGCTATACACGATAGGTATACAAAATACAAACACATTTGTAAATTGTTCAAGGTTTTTTTTTTTATAGCAAATATATGTTATAATGTTATGCATGAATATTAATCATAAATTGTAATGTAGGTATTGGTATAGTCACACACATATTGAGTAGATGCGTTTTTGTTTCTATATCAAAACGATTTAAGAATATAAATATTTTATTTAAATGATCACAGATTATATAAAATAATGATATGAGTATTATGCAGCGTGGAGCTCTATAGATGATAATTCAAATAGAGTGATCAGTGAAAAAAATGAATATACAGGTTGATTCAAAATGCATGTTACAATCATTGTATCATGTAAATATTCAAAATAAAAAAGTATGTAAAATACAAATTTATCGATTATTCGATTTATAAATAATATTTAAAATAATTTGTACATTTTTTTTCTACTGTATTTTTAGATGCTTTTCCTATACTACAATACAATAGACAAATTGAATTATTTATTCAAAATTATATTAACGTAATGGTTCTAACAAAATCCTAATAAAACAACAAGATAAATCTAAAAATGTATTGTAAAAAAAAGGGCGAACATACTTCGCACGTGAGTGCAGCCAGTTTTGTAGGTGGGAAGTTTGGAAGGTAGGATACGGATGAGAATTTAATGTACATCTGTAAGCAACGATAAATCATTGCTAACAAAAATACGATTCTGAGCGGAGTTCAGTTGATAGTGTTTCTTTGTCAACAATATATATTTATGTCATATTATGGTAAAAGATTACAACAATGTGCGTTTCCATGACAAAAATGATTGTTTAAAAAAATTAAAGTAATAAAAACTTAATAATACTAATAAATAAATAAAAACGGTTTCCAATGACAACCTTATTTTTAATTTTTCAATCTTTTTTAACCTAAAGAATCAGATTTTCCTCTTTATCTCGAATATTAATGAGATTTCAAAAAATGACCTCTTCAAAGCACCACCCAGAGAAAATTTCCTTTAAGAAAATGTACAGTACTTAATAATCGGAGTAAGCATTTTGGTAGAAAGTGTTCACATAAAAAAATATAAACGTCATTGTAAAACCTCGCTTCGCTTAGAATCTAAAATTGTTTATATCTTTAAAAAAAATTAAAAATCAAATCAAATATAAACAAATTAAAATCTACTTAATTATAATTAAAACTCAAGAATATTTAAATTCACTTTAAAATATGCAATTGTACAAACAATTTAGTGTTACTATCACAATTTTTATTGTATTGTTTATAAAGAAAAATGTTTACAGAAAACCCGTGATTCGTGCGGGTAATAACCACTCGCTCTATATATTATAACTTAGGTACCAAATATAATTATAAGACCGAGGATGTCCAAGAACATCTTACATCAAAAAGATGATATTCGATGAGGGACTAACCAACTACAAAGACTTGAAGAGGTTAGATTTTAAGAAGGAGGAGTGGAGAAACAATCGGAGTCTGCAAAACAACTTTAACGTTAAATACCGAAGGGAAAAATTGTGTATAATGATAATTTGAGAAACAAAAGTTTCACTATAAAATATGAAAACTTAAAGAGCAGTATATGTATAGATTAATTCAATTATGCTAATATTATACTAAGTTATTTATCATCCCACGGAAAGTGCATTAAAATTAATTGCAAGATTCCATACTCAAGACAAATTAAAGAAAAGGTGAACTTTTTATTAATTACTGGCATGGGCGTAATTGGAGCCAATATCTTAGACTTTATTATTTATAAAAGACGTGTGTTTTGATTATTTCTTAAAAGCTAAAAAAATGTGTCACTCATTAATATCCACAATCTTATACTTTTTTTTTTATATTCACTACGCCTAATTTCATTTTATTACAATATTGTCAATAATTAAACTTAAAATTTAAACAAAATTATACATTTTGTGTAGAATTGTGCAGTAAGACAAAAACTGGTTTCAAGTGTTCTTGTATACTTATTGACTTATTGCATTATTATTACAAAAATATTTCAACCTGTTGTTAAATTTACTATTAATTAATAATATTTTTATTTGTATATTTTTACTTGGCCACTTCTACTAGTAAGTAGTGAATTGACCATTACAATTGTTAAAAGTAATATTATAATATGATAATAATTAATAAAGATAACTTTTAGAAAAAGACTATAATTAACTTAGAAATAATAATTCCATTAAAATGATTTGATTGATTTAACATATCCGTATTAGATTATAAATTATCTAATAAAGTGAATTGGTACTGTTTTGTGTTGATGATTTTTTGCATTCCATATTCTTTTGGTAAATCTAACAGTAAAATGATAGACTAATTCTACTATGCTCAACACGCTTCCGCCAAGACAGAGACCAAAAATGCCTCCTAATGATGCTGTAAAACATTTATTTCATTGTTAGTATATTAGAAAGAAAATATGTTTTAAATTAACTATTATTCAATGAACCATTAACTTACCAACTAATGAATCCCAGGAAACCATAGCTTCTCTTCTATATTTGATACTAGATATATCTTGGTAATAAACATGAAGTTTACTTTCGTTTTCTCGCATAGGTGGCCTATAGTAAAACATTTTTGTTTTTGTTTAACTACTAGATACGAGCAATAAACCATAAAACCATATAAAACTGTGCTAAATAATAGTATTTGTTTTGTGTTATGGATAACATAAATAAAATTGATAAGAACAATTATGTATATTATTCAAAAATCATTCAGCAATTTGTATTATTATTATTAATAATAAAACTACGAATATTTATATAATAAAAATAAATACTCCATATAGGATGCTGCAGTAAAATACATGTAATACATGTAAAGTAGTTCTTTTTTATACTAGGTAATTAATAATGTATTGTATGAATAACGTACCCGATAGAAAAATTATTTAGATATAAATTTTTGACTGAAGATGATAATGTATATATTATTTCTGAGCATTCGGGTAAACAATTTGGACATATTATTTCCGATTTTTCATCAATTTTCTTCGGTAGTAAATTACTAAACATTCCTGTAATAATATTGTATAGTATTACCAAAAAAAAAAATAAAAAAAATAAGTAGTACATACCATTTCATAATCTACAGTTAAAAACCAATCGCAATAGCAATCCATTTAAAATAGTAAATTAGAATACACCTGCCTCCAATAGCGCATTTGAGTGTTAATCTTGAGAGGGAGAATTAGTTTAATTCACCTCAAATATATATAATATTATAAATACTTAGGTTGTAATCGAATCCCGTGAATTTTAAAAAAAAAATCCTAGCATAATTTAACAAGGAAAACAAAATTCTAAAAACGATTACGCGATTATTATTTACGTTATATCATTAAAAAAAGGTACTGCTCATGGTTTTAAGTAGGAAATTAGAAGGTTAAAATTATATAAACGGTTAGTACCTAGTTTAGTTTAATACTACGTACAACGGTAAATCAATGCGAACGATTCTAAACGGTGTTTAGTTAAACACGTTTTGAATATTGTATTAATTTGTGATTAAAAAATGAATTACAATTGTTTTATATGAATTTGGTCATAAATTTATATTTAAAAGGCTTACAAAAAAAATAACGAATTTAAGCTCACTTTTTTTTTTATAATAATATCATATTATGTTATAACTATTTTAGTAAATTATCCTAAATTTAATTATTAGTAAAAATATTCATATTAATATTATTGATGATCTATTATAAGGGTATTTCAAAAAAAAAAAAATGTTATTCTTCTATTAATTTTAATAAATTATGTAGGTAAGGAATAAATATGAATTTTTCATTCACAATTTTTTAATCAAAATAAAACAGTTTTTTCTTTTTAAAATTAAAATGTTGTAAACTATACCTGCATTAGTATACAAGCACAAAGCATTCGTCAGGTCACATGTAACAGATGAATTTATTCGAAGAGGATAAATAAATGGAATACAATTGCAAATTCTTAAAATTGTATCTATCCGGCATTCCGTGATGCATACTTGGTAATCGTAATTCTTATCAAATTTTAATGGTAACTACATGTTTAGAGAAAAAAAACAAAAACGTTATGAGAACGTTCATCTAGGTTTTAAAACGTTAAAGTAGTGGTGCAACCAGAATTCGTTTTTGGAGAGCCAGGAGGTGGGGGTTATGAATCTCAAACAAATTTCTAGACAGGTGTCTGGGATAACAAAAAAAATGTCTGTAATTGTAAAATAATTCAACTGAGTGATGGTAAACTCTTACAAAAATAAGTAATCTACATTGACATAGTGTGAACTCCTACACTAAATACGAATAGTTAAAAAGTTGTAAAAAGTAAAATAAGGTATTTTAAAATAAGTAAAAATCAGTCAATTAGTCATAAGTCTCTAAAAATATTTATTCAAAATTCAACAAAATAGGTACCCTATTATTTTTCCGTTAGAGAACTATTTCTGGTACAAAATGTCGTGCGTGTTTATTTAAAATAATGAAATCGTAAAATGGTACGATCTTTTCCATTTAAGTGAAATCATCTCAAATAAACTTCATTGTAAAATCAATATACATTTTTCGCTACACTTAAAATCTAATATGTAAAAAGGTCTGTGGTTAGAGATTACACCATCTATTTTTAACAGGCAAAAAGGAACTATGTAGTTAACATTTAGCCATTCAACTATACGTAAAATTTGTAAAAATAGCTTAAATTTCGGGGGAAGTGGGGGTGGTTGTATAACCCCATCCCTGGTTGCGCTACTGTGTTAAAATATATAGCTATATTACTTCATCGGGAAAATAACACATTCTTTGTTGTAGTTTTAAGTTTCTGACCGTTTGTTTACTTTCTATATGGTACGGATTTATAGCCAAAGACACCGCTTTACCGGGTTGAACGACTTCCTTTAGAATCGATGTCTCCGGAAAGATATCTGAATCGTGAATCAATACCTGACAATTTTAATTAATGTACACATTATAAACATAGCATCAATTGAATCGCTTATTTCAGAAATACTCTAAGTAGAGATTATATGAGATCAAGTTATCAATAAAAAACACGTTTATTTAAGGAAGTTCTCTTGTCTGGTTTTTGGATTTTGGGGTTTCCTGAAAATTAACGATTCAATTTTTTAAATTTTTTTTTATAGGTGCATACATCTAATTTTTAATCGATACATAATATCCATTAATAATAATTTTATTAATATTATAATACTACCGTAGTATTGGTATACAACATAATACAGTATATACGGTAATAAAGTATAATACATAAACAGTGTACACACTTTTACGCCATAGTAAGGATCAGTCGTGGAATAGTAATCAGGAGGATTCGCATTCATAATTACAGTTAAACCGTCCTTCCTTCCTGTTCCTCCGATGTATTCATTGTTGAACCCATCCCTGAAATACCATGAAAAAATTTAATTTTGTCTATGTATAGAATATAAATATTTTTTTGTAATTATGTAAAATTGTCTTATTAAATTTGAAACCGATTAAACGTTTATTCGAAAAATTCTTGAAATTTGTTTCAGAATTTTTTTAATCAAACATTTTTAAATTCGAAGCGTAGCGAGGGATCTATTGGTTTTACTATGATATTTTATTTTAAATTTGTTTTCTGTTTGTAAACGACTTTTTAAAAATAAAACTCGCTCCGATATATATCAAGTGTAGCAATTTTTCTAAAAGGAAATTTTATCTTGATGATAAATTAGAGGTCATTTTTTGATCTTTCAGGGGGTTTTCAAAATAGTTAAGAAAAATCAGAATCAAAATTATAGGTAAAACGCAAATATTTACGGTGGCATTCCGATATTATTGTTTTTAATTTTTGCAAACTATGTTTTCTACCACAAACATTGATCCGATAGTTCAATAAAAAAAACAAGAAATCTTTTTTGTGTCATTTTTAATCTAGTTGGTGAAAAATAAATCATAGCCATCACTAAGGGGTATCGAAAGATTCATTTATCTACCCCGCACATTTTCGTGGTATAGTAAGGATATCATTTCGCTACCCTCAGAAAATACTTCAATTTTAAAAATATACTAATTATATTCGATATATAGTATTCAAGCCTTAACAAAAATGATTAGAAATGAGTAAGTTGAGACGTCATGGTCAATACAAATGTTGATTGTTGATGTATAAAAAATAATGTATTCTATGGTAGTATGATAACGTTAACTATATTTTCCTGTGTGAGTTGATTCTATATAATGATACAATGATACTACTTATATATATAAAAAAAATAGAATTGAAATAAATGACCACATAGCAAATAAAAATATTATTAATTAATAGTAAATTGAACAACAGGTTGAATTATTTTTGTAATAATAGTGCAATAAGCCAATACGTATAAAAGAACACTTAAAACCAGTTCTCGCCTTAATGTGCAGTTCTATACAAAATGTGCAGTTTTATTTAAATTTTAAGTTTAAATATTGACAATATTGCAATAGAATGAAATTAGCCATTTTTGAATGAATAAAGTGTATAATATAGGATTACGGATATTAATGAACGATAGATATTTTCACTTTTAAAAATAATCAAAATGCACATCTTTTGTAGATAATACACCAAAATGTTGACTCTAACTTTGACTTTCACCTACAACAGTGGCATAACCGTCCTCTGTATCAGCTCTTTTAATTATAATAGGTACATATATTTTAAGCCTATTAAATTCATTCCAAGGTTGAAGATTTATTCAATTTAAATTATATTATGTGGCCATTACAGTGTCGACTTTAATTGACAACACAAATCAGATGTGTATGTGTACGATTAATTTCGTAATTTTCGTTTATAATATTGTAATATAATAATGACACACCTAGAAATGATTTCTAATGTACAATTTCTTTTGACGTATTCCGGATTCACTTATATTATCAACATATTTTAAGACAATCGGTTAATAAACTATGGTCCGAAATATGTTTCGATTTTATGATGTAAGCAGATGTTATAGAGCATCGATCTGGTTATAATAATAAATAATTACTACTTGAAAGTGATCAGATATAACGAAACCGGTGTTAAAATCTGATGAAATAGTTTATAACAGTTGCTTTGTAAATAGTAGATGATATTATTTCAATAACTATAATTTATACAGTTTGTCAGAGAGACGCCGAGGTCATAAAAAAGTAGTCGGGCGAAATACATTTAAAGAGGCACCAATAACCAAACACAGCCATTTATGTCCACTTTATTTCTGTAATGAAGTGATCATTCAGTTTGGAAACCAAACTTTGGCCAAAAATAAAGCGGCCCTATGTTTCCCTTTTTTCCGGTTTTCCCAAATATCGAAATGATTATTATTATTTTTTATTTGAATTCTCAAACAAACAAAATACAACTACACATAACAAGCATACGAGTACACATAGTTGGCACACTTTCTTTCTTCGGTGTTCGGAAAAATCTCACCGAACGATATTTCGCCGCGAAAATCCCGTTCCAACAAAATTTTGCCCGGACAAAATCTTGCATAAAAAATAAAAAACATAAATAGAACAAAACAAACTACAAAGAAAACATATTTTTCGTTACAATTTTTCCTTCACACATTATTAAGCTTAGGACTGGCAGGATCGATAGTGACTTTCAAAGATACACGTATGAAATTCACTAAATAGCACGTTTTAAAAGTGTTTTAGGCGTATACATTATAATGTATAATTAGGTTATAATTAAATATCTGAAAAAACGGATTATTGAACTTCTGCAATTTCGAATTTTTCCAGTCATTAATACATACATGTATATACATTTAATGATAAATTATAAAATAGTAAAAAAATAAAATATTTACACACCCGAAACAATTTTTAAAACAGGCTCGTTTAATGAACTTCAAACGTATATCTTTAAAATTCGGGTATGCTTAGCCTGGTAAAATGTGAAGGAAAAAATGTCAAGATAAATGCGTTTATTTTGTAATTTGTTACGTCCGTTTTATTTATTTGGTTTTTTTATTTTATATTTTTGGTGAGATTTTATCCGAACGGAATTTTGTCGGGATGGGATTTTGTCCTTGATTTTTTTTAAGCAACTGTTTGTATTAAAAATGTTAAGTTCTTAAACTAAACATTGGTATAAACAATACTATACGATAATGAATGTATGAAAAGCTACATTAATAGAAAAAATAAATTAAAAAATTAAAAATAATTATAGGTACCTACAATACCTACATATTATGTAGTATCGTCGTGCTTAACAATTTATACGGAGTAACGCCGCCATTTAGTATATTTACGGAGATACCTGTACGGCTGTATCAAAACAATACATAGATGTGCAAACAGATCAATGCTTGAATATTATCCTTAATATATAATGAATTGCGCATAGTAGTATACTATTGGTGTATATTCAATACTGGGTTTCTACAAAGCGATATTGCATGATTTAAGCAACTTCGTCTCCGAAATATTTACCGTGATTTGGAACGATTACACGTATTTTTTTTTTTTTTTTTGTGTTTAAGTGTTGTAATTATGTTTACATATATAAGATAATATTTGTTATGAGCTAATAATAGTAAGGTACATTTGGTAAGTAGTTGATTAAAATTGAGTACATTAAATTCCTTATGTATAAAATCGGCGTTTGTAAAACTAGGTAATTGCAAAATATATTTAACAATTTTATTAATTTCACAAGTTTCCCCTCCCCATATCTTAATTTCATATGAAATTAAATAACTGATTGTATAAATGATATTTAAATAACTTTCAGTTGTTGTATTTTAAACATTGATCGCAAGTTACCGAATAACTACAAAAAAAAAAATCAAAAAAATGACCTCTTTAATGAACCAACTAAATCCAAAATGTTACAAAAACAATTTCTTGTCGTTTTTCGATTGGAGCAAGAATTCTGGTTTAAAATCGGTTAACAGATAAGAAAAAAAATAAGCACACATCAATTGTAAAACTAGAATCTCACTCAGAATCTAAAATAAACTATTCATTAAATGTTAACTCATTGTAAAATCAATAGTGATTTGTTATTGTAGATTACTGGTTCCACATAGAATAGAATAAAAAATAATTTTATAAAAATATTTTACTAGGTACTATTATTTCTTTAACGAACATTAGGTAGTTGTTATGTAACAATTTGTGTTCGTTTGCACATTTATTTATCTCGTGCAAATCGTTCGCTTATTTGGTCACATTTTTGCAATTATTTTTCTACTTCCAGTTATTAAGAACAAATAAACAAAAATGTGCGTACTTTCTGTTTTTTGGATAATAATTGAATGAACAGCAGTAGCCTTCTACAGTCTTGGAGGAGCGAAATATTTGATTGCAGTCGACATAATTACCTTGCCACGTACAGCGAATTAATAGTTCCGAACACGGTTGTGACACCTCAATATGCAATACAAACCAATTTTTTAATTATTTTAAACTTCAAAATAGGCATTAAATTGAAACCATTAATATACCATGCGCATAATATCATCAATTGAACCGTTAATATGTTTCATTACGCTCTCTTGCACAACTTTATCGATATTAGAAAATTCAATATTATCCCTGGTTATTAAAGCAGTGATTTTTTTGAAAAAATGTTCAATGTCTGATTCGTTCACTTGTTTGGTTAAACTGAAATAAAATATACCAATAGGCATAATAATTGACAGTTATATTATTATAATATAAGTATCCACTGCCCTCATATGCAAGTATCAAAACACGTCTAATATTATTTTAAATGCATCTTACAGTTTTTCAGTGATTGAATGTACGAAACTTTTTCGGACTTTATTCACGTTGCATAGAGTCACCGCTGGAAACGGTATTTTCCACGTGGGATAGCTGTATGTTTCCAATGTTGTTACTGTGGGACTAATGCTGTAACGGTAGAGCATTAAATAAGCCAGGAGAGCTCCGACACCCGAACTAACGACTGTGATTATCGTCCAGAACAATCTAAAAAAAACGTATATACTTATATATTTATAATTATTAACGAGTGTAACCTTTTAGTAATCTATAAAATTCTTGTTATGACAATACCTATATTGAATCACATATATTTAAAATTTTAAAATGTTCAATTTTACTCATATCACGTATTAGGTATATTATTATTGGGTATATATTTTTAATTTACAATAAATTATGTAAATATTATGATTATTTTTCTTCTTATTGCTAGTTTTACCGTGAAACGGACGATAACATTTAATTGAAAATAGTTGTTTTAATTTGTTTTTTTTTTTTATCACAATATCCAATCAGATATTATAAGATATACCTAAAACTTTTTTTGTTTTTGAATAATATTTATAATCTGAATTGTTATCTTTTTTTTTATTTGCGAATATACAAACCTGAAACCGGTTAAACACATGACACATAATATTAACTGTTGAACGTTTAAAATTAATAATTAATAACACATGATAACACTATACACCTAAGTTGTTTATTTAAAACACCTTTATGTATACCTTTCGAATTTACTGTATTCATTGTTGACCGTGTAAGAAAGTCCATGTATAGTAGACGTCTCACAGTATTCCCGTATATGTTTTTTAGTCAACGCTTTTATTGAGATTTTATTTTTATTCAATCGAAAATGACGAGACACTATTATCAAAAAAAAAAAAAAAAAAAATTACAATTCAATTTTCCTTTTTGACGAAATCATTTTGGCTTGGGTAAAATTTACTCATACAAATATCACATCTCATTTATCTATATTGTATAATAAAAATAATACTAATTGTAGCGATTCATTTATTTCCGTATGGGTACATAATATCTATTTAAAAATTAATAATATTGCAATATTATATACTCATTCGTGTTTTTCGGTAACTGGACCACAAATTTTTTTGTGCGTTGGGATACATTTTAAAGCAGAAACCTCAGTAGAAGCTAAACTATGATATACAATGATTTTAAATTTATGACTACTGTGTGTACAGAAATAGAGTTTCAATATTCTCGTTTATAAACAAGCATTTATTATTCGTTATTTATTTGAAATTACGATCAAAAATAAATATTTATGTTGCAATTTACACACATGCACAACCTAGTTATGTTTTTTTGATACCGATCGTGATAACTAGTTATGGGTGTACCCTATACAATTACCTACAATTTGTCCTAAACAAACAACTAATCACTAGTGTAATCACGCACTAGTATCATTTATTAATATTTAGACATATTTCAATGAATATTTACATTTATTTCAGTACCTATTATAAATTATATAATTCAATGGTAAAGATTTGTTTAGATTTAATAGTAGTACTATTTTCTAATAGATATGCTTAGTGTGACCAGACGTCTCGATTTAGGCCGGAGAGTATTGAATTTTTAATGGGCGTCCTGTTAAATTTGTAAGACTAGTCGGGACGGTAAAATATACCGATTTTTATTAAACGTCCCACTTTTGTCTCAGTTTCGTTATTTCAATGTCATCTTATTTTCCGAATTATATTAACAAAAAATACGGACATACTTCGCACGAATCTAGGTAAAAATATCCGGATCTATAATATCCGAGGAAAAAATATAAAAGTTTAATAAACTTATTAACTAAATAACAAACTTCGCACGAACTTCTATAATAGATAAAAAGTTGGGAAAGTAGAATATATTAAGGAAATTTAATGTTTATCTGTACCTAAGCAAATTTAAGCATTGCCAGCAAAAAACGATTCTGAGTGGAGCTCGGGTAATAGTCTTTCTCAGGGGCATCTTCGGATCAATTCCATGGAGGGGGGAGGCGAAAAATGTTTACTCTTGAACACCACCGCTTTGGTCAACAAAAGCTTAAAACCTTTATGTCTGATGTCATTTCAACTTATATTGGCTTAGAAGACTGTAGATGTATTGTACAAATGCAGTAAAACAGTACAATTTAAAAGTTAAATTTATTTTGTTTACATTAAATAAATATTAATCAATAATATTTTTTATATTAATGTTTTCATTTCGATGAATATTTAAAATCGATAAGCCAGTTAGCCTCTGCTTAAATTTTATTTTTTACCACAAAGTACGACTTTTAATGAACCTCATGTTAAATTCTCAAGCATTTTTAGTTTGATCTAATAATTTTATTTACAGAGTACCTAACAATTACTTACAAAACTAGCAAAATTAAAATGTCTATAAATTGCTCAAAAATGTGTCAAGAAAAAGCAAATATAAGTTTTCTGTACAAATTTCAAGTCTCTACGAATATTTTTAACTGAATAAATTACAATAAAAAACAAAATTAAAAATTACAAAAGCATTATTATCGTAAATTTTCCCGTTTTTTTTTACGTTTTATCCTGGGTTTTCATGATATTATGAAAACTGATTGGAAAATCAAAAAATGACCTTCCATAAGTACCATCTAGTTCAATATGACAATATTTTCTTTCAAAAAAGGTGCTACACATACATTTTGAAGCAAAATTTCTGATAAAAATTTTTGTCAGAGTACATATATATAAAAAAAAAAAAAAATTATTGAAAATCCAATAGATACATTCTTATATACACTCAGAATCTAAAATTTAAATTAGATTAATAATTTCCAATTTTGGTTCTAAAAATGTATTATTTTATTATATCTTTGCGAATTGATTGTTCCCACTTAGTTTTCTATAATTTTTATCCCACCCTTAAAAGAATATTTATTGAAATTTATAAATGAGAAGCGTTTCATTCTTGTTTCAATTAAAGTATTTTCAAGATCCAGAATCATCTTTGTGGTGTTTGGAACCAGTTACATTTGTATTTATTTTTATTTAAGAATTATGGATATTTTGTGTAACAAAAAAAAACATCACATGGCTTATGAGGGGGTTCCGCTCCCCTCGCCACCCCTCAGAGACGCGCCAGTAATATACATACCTTCTCGCGAGTTGCCACTTCCTTAAAAACATATGGGTTTTTTCCCAGAAAGTCCATCGGCGGAAGACGAAAGCATTATAGACTATAGATCGATTATGTACTACAATATACCTATACTTATATAACAATATTTAAAATATTATTATTCTTATTCAATATGTTGCAATATAATAATAATATATACACAAATAATTTAAAATTTTAATTATTAAATAAAATATTCCATGGATATTTTACCTATTATTTTTATTTTTATTAAAAAAATAAATAATGGAATAATTTTTCAGTTCTTATACATGGAAGTATAAAATAGTAAATTTTTACTCAGAGGGGGCTAAACTAAATTCTACACTTGTGCGCACAGCACCAAAACCAAATGTTAAAATTTCCCTCAATCTAACACCACTGGTCACAACTGAAACTTAAATAAACCATCGTGTTGATAAGAAATGGTATCTTAAAAACTGATAGTAGTGATAGTGTCTGATACCGGTGTTGCAATTACTGTTGTAGTAATAATTATACAATGTGCCGTCTGCAATGGGTTAGAATTTAAAACAAATTTGAAATTGTCATTGCAATTGCTTTCTATTGTATTATATAATATAGAAACCCAATTCAAAAGATTCTATATTAAATCGGTTTCTAATGATTACCAGAGGAATATTTTGTAAATTAAACAACCTTAAAATCTATAGGAAATATCTTCCAAACTATAGGTTTTTTAGTGATGATATTTGGGTAAGTAAAGATCATAATTAATTGAATATGTATATTAAATAACTTTTAATATCTAATACAATTGTTTAAAAAGAACGAAGAGTTGACAATAGATTTAAAACTTAAAATTGAAAATCAGTGGAAGGATAAACTCTGTAAAGGTACTTTCAATAGGAATGATGTGGATAATAAATTTTACGTTCTATCAATGTTCCCTTATCCATCTGGCCGCCTACACATGGGCCATGTTCGTGTATATGTAATTGCAGATTCAATAGCTAGGTTTCATCGTATGAATGGACAAAATGTAATTATAATAATTAGTTTTATATGAATATTAACTATTAAATAATAAATATACATTATTTTTTTCAATAATTATTTATTTAATTCATTAACTATAAACACATTATATAGGTATTTCTACCAATGGGTTGGGACGCATTTGGATTACCTGCTGAAAATGCAGCTATATTGCATGGTTTACCTGCAAATAAATGGACTAAATCAAATATTGATCACATGAAAAAGCAGCTCCAAGAACTCGGTTGCAGTTTTGATTGGTCCCACGAATTAGCTACTTATGATCCATCTTATTACAAATGGACTCAATCGTTCTTTGTAAAAATGTTTCAATCTGGACTTGTTTATTCCAAAGAGGTAAGAGCAAATCTCATAGTTAAATCTTTTTTAGTATAATTTTACCAATGTTATTATTTAGGCTGAAGTAAATTGGGATCCAGTTGATGAAACTGTATTAGCTAGTGAACAAGTAGATGAAAATGGGCGTTCTTGGAGATCTAATGCTATTGTTGAGAAAAAACTTTTTAAACAATGGTTTATACGAACAACACAATTTAGCAAGTAAATTAATATTAATAAGGTATAGATACTTGCCTATTATAATTTACTTTTTGAATTTTTATTTAAAAGTAAATTGGTTAAAATATTTTTAATATTTGAGTGTGGGAACATATTTTAATAAATATATAAATAAAAAAAGAAATGTGTATGTCGTAGCCACTCCCTGAAATTGATCTTTTCATGAAAAGATGATCATTTAACATTGTACAATTTTTTTCACAATGTGGTCATTTACTTTCTGTTACAAAATACAACATTTATTATACACGTCAAGTTTGTCAAGGTACAAGGTTTTATAAACATAAATGTAAGTTATTTTTATCTAAAATTAAGTGAAGTTATTATACATATTACATAATTTATTTATAACTATTTATATCATATTAATCATATTATAATCATTTTTTATTTATTAGAGCAGGAAAATTAATTGTGACAATGATTGTTAGATTTTAAACTACCTTTAAAACGTATATGTCTTTTAGTTTGACAAGTCATTTTACATGGACAACTTAAGAACCCCTGACCTCCAGATACAACTTAAACAGTTTCACACAAAGTTAATTATTATTTTTTCTCAACCTGTTCAGCTAAAATAAAATTTGCAGTGGTATGCTGCATATTTCCAGAATTGAACCATCCTTTAATAAGACCATGTGTAGTTCTTACTTTATATATCTCATTTTTTTTCTTTAATAATGACATCAATTACTCAAGCAGGGTCCGATAGTCTACTGGCGACTTTTGAAACAGAAATTGTGATGCAGTCATTAATTTTGTACTCTAGAATTACGGTATTGCTGACCTGTATAAAAAAAAAAAAAAAAAAAAAATTAAATTATTAATTTTATTTCTTATAGGTACACTTATATTTAAGTACCTATAACATTTTTTTGGCAGCTTTTTCTTGGCCTGCATGCCTAGCTTTACATTCTTTGTGTATTGTTTTATTTGTTTTACACAAATCACAAATATCTTCTATGAGTTCGTTTTTGCACATTTTGCAATGTTAATAAAAATATTTTTCTCTTTATAATGGCTGTACACTTTTTCAAGGTTCTCTTCAGCTGTTAATATTTTTATAACTTCTAGTGGTAAATTAGATGTTAATAATCCAACTTGAGGATCACAACCAAATAATACTTTATTTGGAGAGCAGCCTATTATCTAATGATGTGAAGAATTTTTCTAGAATTGAATAAACTTATAGATAGTATTTATTTTATTTGACATGGGCATGTATCACGTAATTAACGGATATGATCAAACTTGACTTGTGTAATAATAGCTGTATTTTAGTACACAAAGTGAACGACCACGTTGTGAAAAAAATTACACAATGTTAAATTGGAGTGACCATTTTGTGAAATATTTTCAAATTTCACGAAGTGTAAAAAAGCCGTTTCCATTTTATGAAGTGGCTACGACATATATATATAAATAAAAAATCATTAAATAAATTAATGTATTGCCTGAAGTATTATGATAAGTGTATTTTAAGACCGATTTTAAATTAAAATTCATCATCAGGTATATCACAATCAAAATTTAAAACTCGTTTTACTCCAGGCGACGCATTCATTTATTTGTTTTTTATTTATATATTTATTTACTAGTATTAACCATATTAATAATTTTGTTTTTACTTTTAATATTATTATATTTTAGTAATTAATTATATGTATGTAATTTTCCAATGTATGATGTCATTGAACTCTTCCTTCTATTAGGAGTATCACAACTTGCAAAAGTAATTGTTTTTGTCAATACATTTACTTGTTGTTTTAATTCATATACAGATTAGTCATTTTCTAATTCAGTGTTTGGATATTAGATATTACATGTAATTAACTATAAAAGGTGTTAGTCCCAATCAATAATTTTTTGAATTGGTTTATTATAAACATAATACAGGATGATTTTTGAGATTCTGAGTGGAGCGACGAAGCTTATGGTTTTACAAAGATATTTGTATTTTTTTACTATCTTTTAACAACTTTTCTAGAGAAGAGTTGCTCATATTTCTAAATGTAGCACATTTTCTGAAAGAAATCTGTGTGTGGAGGTACTTTAAGGAGGTAATTTTTTGAGTTTCTCATCAAATTTGAAAAACCTTGATAAAACATGGAAAAACGTAGGGAAATTGGAACAACATTAAACAAATATTATTAAAGAAAATATATAAAATCTATTTAATTTATTTGACTATAAAATAGTTTATATATATTGTTGACAAAAGATCACTATCAACTGAACTCTGTTCAGAATCATTTTTTTCGTAAGCAATGGTTTATCGTTGCTTACAGGTATACATTAAATTATCTATAACAGTGACTGCACCCGTCTCCATTATCCAAGGACATTGTTTTACAATGAACCAGCAATTTTCTCAGGTGATTTTAAGTGAAGTTAATATCTTTTTTTTTTTTTTAACTGTGAAATCGGTCAAACTAATTTTAAAACTAATTAAATTTTTTATTTCTACTACATATACTTTAAGTAAGTATATACTTTTACTTTACAAATAGGAACCCCCCTTTTGAGCAAAGATTTGAATAGAGAATACTTTTCTGACATTTTGGCATGCATAACACTAATATCGGACTTACTGTTTATGAGTTATAACAGTTTAAAGTTTAGACTAGAGAATTAGGAAAGGATAATAAATTTTATTATTTTATTATTAAATGATAAATTGATTTAACAATAGAAGAAATGGGAATGTATAAAATAATTATTTAATGTATAAATTGTATACATTACCTATATGTTTTACTTATTTCATAAACATCAGTTTAACTGTAACATATTTGTCATTAATTATTATTTATGATGAAATAATTTTCAAAAATCAATATATATTTTAAAAAAAAATTATTTATGTATTGTTATAATTTTAGTAATTTATTGAACTATTATTATTACTTTTTTTTTTACAGAGCTCTATATGAAGGATTAAATGATCCATCTTTGAGAGATTGGAGGGATATTATTAACTTACAAAAACATTGGATTGGGGAATGCAATGGCTATGTATTTGATTTTCAAGTATTCACTGATGATATATATCGAACCATACTTAATGTTTGGACACAATATCCTGAACATGTACCATTAGCTGGGTTTATTTTTATTAAACCAGAGTCTTTTGTTCATAAATATTATATTTTGAATCATAAAAATGTATATATTAAAAATCCAATTACGGGCAGCAAGTTACCAATTTTAGTTACTGATTGTGTTGAATATCCAGATGGGCAAGATGCACTCTTAGCTATTCCACATATAAATTCAGTTGATGAAAAATTAGCAAAAAAGCACAATATTTCTTATTTAAATTGTGTAAACCAAAACTTGTATTTATCGAGAGAAGAAGTCTGTAAAAAAGCCAAAGAATTGAACTCTGGAGGTTACCCAGTAAGTTCCAAATTAAAAGATTGGCTAATATCTAGACAAAGATACTGGGGTACTCCTGTACCCATTATTCATTGTAAGAATTGTGGAGCCCAAGCTGTACCAGAAAATGAATTACCAGTAAAGTTACCATTACTTGACATGCAAGGGGATAAAAAATTTAAATCATTAGAATTAGCTGAGGAATGGGTAAAAACCACTTGTCCAAAGTAAGTGGTAAGTTTAATACGTAAATGAAATATAAACATGACGTTAATATTGAAGTATTTTAGATGTGGCAAAGAGGCAAAAAGAGAAACAGACACTATGGATACATTTGTAGATTCTAGTTGGTATTATCTGAGATATTTGGATCCTAATAATAGTTTTCAGCCTTTCGATAAAACTTTGGCTAACAAAATGATGCCAGTTGATATATATATTGGTGGAAAAGAACATGGTAAATTTTTTTTTAATAGTATATTATTTGCAATTAATATTTGATTTTCTTTTAGCTGTATTGCATCTCTATTATGCAAGGTTTTTTAACCACTTTTTGCATTCTATTGGTTTATCTCCTAGCCCAGAACCATTTAAGAATCTATTAGTTCAAGGTATGGTAATGGGTCAAAGTTTTAAAATTAAAGCAAATGGCACATATTTAAAAGAAGTTGAAGTGATTAAGAAAGATAAACAATTTTTCACCAAAGACGGCGATTTTCCAGTAACTGCTACATGGGAGAAAATGAGTAAATCTAAATACAATGGTGTAGAACCTATAGACACTATAAATCAATATGGGATAGATACAATGCGTTTGTTTATCTTATCTAATGTTGCACCTACATCAAATAGGAATTGGAACTCTGATTGTAAGTACAATACATGTGATACATATGTAGATAAATGTATTTTTAAAATTTGTTTTATTTATAGTGTTCCCTGGAATTTTGAACTGGCAACATAGATTATGGTTGACTATTAGAGAATTTCGAAAAATTAGAAATTGTAATGATGTTCAAATGAACACAATTGATTTATCTAAATTTGAAAAAGAAGAAATTAATTTAAAAGATGCACGTAATTATTATGTCAAAAAAACTTCAAGTAATTTCAGAAAATCATACCAATTAAGTGTAGCAATTTCAAAGCTACAAGGGCTAACAAATTCCTTAAGAGTATATAATGAATGACATTTATTTGTTTATATTTTAATTAAATTTTTCTTTTTCAGAAGTCTCCCAAAGAGGTGGTTAAGTATAGTGCAGAGTATGAAAAATTATTAGCTGTGCAGATAATAATGTTAGCTCCGATTGCTCCACACTTTGCATCTGCTTTATGGAGTGGATTTGTTTCGGCTACAGGACGCCTCAACCAAGATTATGAAAATATTAGTTGGGAAGATGATGTTATCAATCAAAAATGGCCAGAAGTGGATATTGATTATATTTTTAGTTTATATTGTCTGGTAGGTATTTTGTCTTAAAATAGTGAATTATTAATCATTTTAATCATGTGATTAATTAAATAACTCAGTCTATTTAAAACTAAAATAAAAATTCATTTAAAAATCTTTTGCTCCCACATATTATGATCTTTAGAATTTTGTATAAAGTTTTGACAATTTTGCATATTTGCTGTTATACGATCTATATCATTCTTCCAACAACATACATTATTGAATTTAGTTGTATTATAGCGATGTTCATTGTGTATCTTGCATGTTAACACTTTTTTATGTTTTTGTGGTGCCCTATACTTGAATGATTTATTGCAGATTTTATTTTGACAATCAGTTATACTGTCAGTTCCATATTGTGTTTTAATTGCTATGTCTTTAAGCAAATTATATTTGTCTTTTCCATTCTTAGTTTTTACAGTAAGATCATTTTTAGTATTACCAAATGCTTCATCACATACTGACAACTGTTTTTTTAACATTACCTAAGTAATTCAAATTTTAAATATTAAAATAATTTTAACTTAATACTTAAACAGTAAACATTTAATTTTAACCTGTTTTTTGTTGCTCATGTTCAATTCTTTTTTAATGATTTGTTTCATTACATTGCCTGAATCAAAAACTTGATCATTTTGTTTTATTTCATTTAATAGATTAACTATATACTGTGTTAATCTTTTTTTACCAGTTTTAGATATACAATTTTCATTCCTGATATTTTCCATAGACAAATTGTGTAGCTTTGACTTGAATGTATAACCCATTTTTAAGGCAGTTGCCTGATTTATTTTATTTCTCCACTCTTCCTCTTCTTCAATAATTCTTTTAGCTTCTAGTTTAAGTGCTTGAAGTTTAAGATTTTGTTCGGTTTTTTTTCTTAATTCTGCCTGTTGTTCAAGCATTTCCTTTTCAGCTAATGCTTGTTTTTTAACTATTTCTTCTTTTTCTTTTTCACTTTTTTCTTTTTTTCGTTTTTCTTCCATTTTTTGCTTGCGTTTATTTTTTAATTTCATCATTTCATCCAATTTTTTTCTATATTCTTCACGTGCATTTTGTTTGGTTTTCATATCAGATTTCATTTTCTTTAATTTTTCCTCTTTTTTACGTTTTTTTTCAGATTGTAACCATAGTTGTTCCTTCTTCATCAAACGATCTATTGTTTCATCTGCTATAATTTTGTTTAATTGTTCGATTGAGTTTTTTTCATCTTCATTGTTTGATCTGGATAAATAATCTTTTATTTGCAATTGTTTGTTTAATACATTTCCTACAGATTATATTAGTATATTAATTCACGCGTGAGAAAAGAAAAAATTTCTTTTTATTGACATCAATTGGCATCATATGGTGCAACACAAAATGTTTGTTCATATGCTGTTTGGTACCAAATGATGTCATGACTAAAATGTTATTCACACATTTCAATAAACATATATGATACATATGATTTCTAATTAATTGAAGCAAATTAAATAACAATATTTTACTTTAACAAATAAATAAGATAAACATATTGATATATGATCTACATGTACAACATGTAAAATAGTGTAGTATAATTAACATTTCTAAAAACAATATATTTCTATTGTGAGTAATTAAAAAAAATATATTAGCTTGTTTGTCATGAACTCAAGTTTCAAAAAAAATTGGTTATAATTTATTGATTTAACATATATATTAATATTTTTACAGTTCTACACTCTTTATACTTGGAATTATTTGATATTGTACTATACAGTGTATGATACTTCACTACTACCCCCTACCCATACTTAACTGTGGAATTCATGACCAACAGTTGATAGAAATTAAAAATGTCATTACCTGATTTATTTAACTAAAACTTTATCTATTTATAGAATTTTTAGCATAGATTGATATTTAAAAATCAGAAGTGAATAGTGTTTTCAACCCTAATATTAAAAAATTACTCAATTCATAAGCATAAGTTGTCAAAAAAATAAAAACATTGTAAAAATGTAAATACTTTCTGAGACAATGAGTGTCTTATCAAAGATTTATCATCATATATAATCAAAAATATTTTGAGTTTTATGATATTATTTACCTGATTCATTTGCATCTGCACTCGAACTATCATCAAATCCTTTTTGATTTTGTTCATTATTTAGGTTCTTTTTGTTATGATTTTTTTTTTCTGGAGTACTTTTTTTTTCATTATACTTTAAAAAATAACTATGTTTTACTCTTCAAATTACAGCCTTGTATGTATATTTCTAATTTATATAATAGCATCATTCAAATTAAAAATACATAATACCTACCGTTTTTTGTTGATATGTATTGTTTTGCTTTTTTGTACCATGAACTCTATTATTTTCATTTTCTTGCCTATAAGTCATGAATTATTTGTGATGTACATTTTGGTTTTTAATTAAAAACTTGGGGTTTTACTACAAACTAATCTAAAATTAAGTAGTTGGTAAATCAATTGTTAATAATATTTTTTTATTTCCATTGGTCGTCTTTAAATTCAGCATATTACTATCTTACCCAACTTGATTGTAATATGATGTTATTCTTTGCCATTTGTATCCTTTAGGAGTTGAAAGCATCTTTAAATAATCATCATGTGTTAAAAGTCCTCTATTCACGATAGGTTTTTTGCATACTGTACGATAACTAGGTCGGCGGCATACATTTGTATTTTGTCGTATTTTTTCAAAACAGGAATCAATTGTATACATTATATTTTTTATGCTTCCTTTTATTATTATTTTATTAGTTATAATATTGTAATGTAAAAAGAAAAATTCTTATATCATTAATTTTTAAATAGCATTTAAATAAAATGTGTATGTGTGTAAAAAAGAAAACAAATTAAAATTGTAATTCTTATATTGTTTATTTGTATCAACTGTGTAAAGTAACTATGTAGTATTGCCATAGCAATATTAATTAATTGTTTATGTTTTCAATAAATAAAGTTTTATTTTAATTTGCAGGTTAATAATGCTGTTAAATGTGTATTGAAAATGCCTAAAAAGAAAATGGCATTATTAACTAAAGAAGCAGCCATTAAATTGACTATGGATCAAGAGATTATTAAAGAGTACACATTGCCTTGGAACATTATCAATATTGAATACCAGTCATTTATAGATGATGATACATATGTTTTTATAAAGACTGATAGGAAATCTGTTTCAAAACCCAAGTCAATAGATTCTACAATTGTTAAAAATAATATTTAGTTTATGAATAATTACAAATTTACATTTAATTCCTTATGTTATTAATTTGTCATCCGTTATAATAAAATATAGTTCTATAGTTATAACTTAGCTTAAAGGTGTAGGTAATTATTGTTATTTCTATTAATACTTTGTACTTTGTATATTATTTTGTATTAATCTAATAATAAATCTTTCAAAAAAAAAAAAAAACACAAAATTAAAACAATGTCGTAATGTTATAGTACCTACGCATAACCTATCCACATTACGGGGATACATAATTTTAAATTCCTTTCATATGTATTACAATATTAATTGTGTTTAATCATGTTGAGTTAATCAAAATATTTTTTATTCTTCGAAATTTTACTTTGACCACCTCATTTACCTTACAATAGAAAAGCTTGTAATTGTTGTGTTTTATGAATCTTAATATCTTACCTACTAATACTTTCCAGTTCTCACCATACTGGTATATTATGTAGTATATGTAACAATACCATAATTTGTCCCCTAAGAGTAGGACGCTTGTAAATTTCGATAATAAAAGCACGGCAATTATTATTTTTTGCCAAAAACAGTAAAAATAATGAATTTAATAGATATCCAATAAACATAATGCATTTTATGTCTGTCGAATCAAACACAAAGTAACCAAAATTTTTACTATTTTTCATGTAATGGTATACATTTTTATTAAAATTACATTGCACAGATTTTTTGATGTACACTTAAGGTCGAAATAGTTGTATTACATTAAGAATTATTCTTTGAAAGTGCAATAACTCATAAGCAATTGGCGTTAAACAAATTACTAAAATTACTCTACTGTACAATTTGTAAAATGTTATAAGTTTTATGTATATATATATAATTTCAATAGCCATATTTTTTTTATGCTGCTATCAATAAACACGTGCCTTTTTTTCAATAAAATGCATTTCAGTCACTTTTTTTTTCCAAGTAGAACAATTTTGCGTTCATTGGAGACAACAGGACACATAGTTCAAAAGTTGTACATATAGTCACGTTAGTATAGGCTACTTAACTAAAAATGAACTACAAATAAGATCGGAATAAAATAGATTTTTTTCACGATAGTATTTTATTTATCGTCTTTTTGGCTAGTCTTAATGGGCAATTAATTGTATCAATTATTTATATTAATCTTAAAGAGTTACTTTCTACTTCATTTAGGATTGCCTTTTTTTTTTAATTGGTATAGGGTAGTTATGATAAAATTTTACAATTTATTTATTACATTATACATTTTTCCTACCATCTAAGTAATTAAATTAAATTTTGACAACAATAATAGATGTCTAATTATTAATCATAGTTGATACATAGTTTTCATAACCATTTTTTCACCGTATATTATTATATTTGTTCATAATATTTTATGAATTCAATTTTTAACTGTTTCTTTAAACAGTTTTCTATTTTATTTAATTATAGGTTTTAAGTATAACAATTGTATTTAAAACCCAAGTAATTATAAAATGCTATTAGTATATTTTTAAAAATATTCATTCTGTTAACTTTAAACTATGTAGTTCTTTTGGACCATCTTTACCATTATTTGGTATATCATTGAGAAATTGTACATAATCCAATGGTATATTACTTTCATTGGCCCCATTTATCATGGTTCGAAGGTAAGCTTTAGACGGTCTTCTTTCTGGTGGTATCGGGTTTTCTTTTTTGGGTTGTTCAACCAACATATAACAACGACATGTTTCATTCTTTTCATCAAATGTCACAGTTGCGTTGAATACCTTATACACACCATGACCGACTCCTTCTTGTTTATCTAGATTGGCCATATCAGTTTTATTTAATTGCCATAAAACACCCCAAACATATTCTGTATGGTCTGGGACCACTGTAGCAACACTCCCATCCCACTTTTTTGAATATCTACTGAAATCTAAGCGGTACTCCTTAAAGGAAAACAAACATTTATAAAATGTAAAATCTTATTTAGGTAAGTAATTGATTTCATTAAATCAAGGTGCATTAGGTACATACATTCAGTTTACCGATTCCAATTCTCACAGCTGACGGATTGTTCAAATGTATGCGACTCATGAGCATGTTGCTTCCATATGCAAAATATGTAAATTTACTCATCGTTTTCGGCTCCGTTGAATCAAAAAACAAAATATTAATTATTATAAAGATTAAAATCGAATTCATTTGGTTCAGAAATCAATCATGTGCAAACACTTAACAAAATGACCAGACTAACATATTATGTACAAATTTTCTATCGGATGAATAAAAAAATCGGTAATTATATTATCAGACATATATGATTGTTTCATACTGAACTGTTTCTACGAAAGCGAAAGCTTATCGACTAATATCGGTATAATTACAAGAGTGCATCATGATATATTTCAATCTTGACTCACGTGTCTAATTTACGAGTTCAAAATAATAGATTATTATTTAGACATAGATAATATTATGCAGGTAGGTACATAATATGATATAAGTTGGACTTTAGTTATAACATAATAACATGCAAGTGTCCAGTATCCACGGTAATAACCAATATTTACACAAAACCACGAGGAATGGAGACAGTAAAGTCGTAATATTTTACAGTAAATGTTAATTTGACCAGTAAATTTCACCGAATGTAGATAAGACAAAGCGAGATAAGATATTGAAGATTTCTTTTACCGTGGTTATACCACGGCACGGCCGCACAACCATGGATAATAAATCTGTTATCTATGCTTACAACATTTACAACACAGTGGCCGCAAGCGTCCGGAGGAGGAGGCGAAAATGGGCGATTGTCACTCGTCCTAGCTTTTAATATTACCTTTTACCCATGTAATTTGGTTTTTTTTTTTTTATCAAAATGTAAATTACGTACAGTGTAAAATATTTAATTTTGCCCCTCCCCCCCCCTCTGGAAAAATGTCTGCGGGCTCTAATGACCGTGATTATAAGTAAACCGCCACCGTATTATCACCGTCGATTTCTTTACATTTAAATTAAATTACCTATTGCACGGTAGCTACATAATACGTACCTACAATAATACAATTATATCCACCTATTCGCATTTAAGTTGTAGTGTTGATGTATTTCAATATGTTTCATTGGTTACGTCAATATATACTCACTTGGTCACTTTACACGGATCAATTTGAAAGTGGGTAGGTATTTTGAAGACCGAATGCTTATTACAAAATAGCTATTTATAATAAATGATTAGAGAATAAAAAAAAAAAATTTGAGCAAATTAATTTTTTCCATCGCCATAAATGTCTGTACATTTTTTGTTCACAATTAATCGAGTTATGCATAACCTAACTTAATTTGATTTAATCATATTTCGGTACGCGTTGATAAGTGCAATCAGAATTTTTCGGCCCGGACTATGTTTCAAGCTCATGGCCGTTCAATGTACAACAATGTTCGCCGTGACACGGCAAGCGAAAATTTAAAATCTCCAATAGAGTTACCTATGCATTCAAATTTAATCTTCAATCAACAACAATTTGAATAAACAACAACAAAAATTTGGGAAAAAAGTAGAAATTTAAATTCTTAAGTTAAATCTATAATATTCAAAATATTTTCGCCCCCTCTTTTTTAGGCTTGTCAAGAACGGACCCTGCTACTATGTCCAATTTATGATGAACTTCAATGTTACTGGGCCAAAAGAATTTTTGTAAGTAATCACCTAACCTCTAATAATATGAATATACAATTGCCAGTGTTTTATCATTTCAAATTTTCGACCAGTAAACCTTGCGCCAAACGTGATTATCAGAAGAGGTTTTTGTTGCCTAGCGAATTTTTAATTTCGTCTGGTTGGTACATTGGGATGATCGTTTTTCTATTTTCTTTGTAGCGTTCTTATTACAACGGGGAAAACATTTTATGTGGATACACATTTTGTAATTTATTTATATCAGCAATTTAAATTCAAATTTAAGTTAAAATTCATTAAAAACACGAACGATTATTAAAATGTATTTTGTAATTACAAATTATTACAATTTTCAGTTGAAATTAATTTTTAGCATAATTTGTATAATTTATCGCGACGATTTCGTATAATGTATAATGTAAATAATTTGTTCCTTATCACGTTCACTTAAAACTACTTCCACGAACACAAATCACGATGATTATATACACTTTGTAACGCTCGGAACAGCACTACGGATTTGTGTGCCAGACGGATAATATTTGTCTGTGTATGATGAATCGCGCGTAAAATTATTCTCAGAGAAACAACGCGGATTGTCGATCGGCGCAGTCGGCGGTGTACACCTTTATTCTATTCTATAATTTCTCTTCTCTTATCTGCGATTCCCGGCGCAATTGGCATAGTGTCATGCCGTTTATAATATATCGAGGGGGACGAAACTAAGTAAAAAAACACTAAAAGCTATCGAAATTTCCTCTTGATTTTCGTACTGTCCCCGGTCACCACTCTCCCCGTGCGCAACTACCGCGACAGCGGGTGAATTTCCCGTATACCCATATAATATCTCGTTACGGAATTCAACAGTTCAACCGTTTAATAACGTTTAATCTATTTGCTAGTGGCGGTGGCGGGGGACACGCTGCGAGCGAAGTCTCTCAGTTTGCTGGGTATCGCACACGGACTCGACAGCTGTGTGCGTTCCTTAAAGAATCCCCGGCCGTAACCGTTCAATGCCGTACACCCGCCACACGCCGTACTCGGTCGAATTCAATTTCGGTTGTCGCTGGTTTGGACCGCGGCCGTATGAACGACACCGTACGCCCGGGGACGCGGGAGACGTTCGTAAAACGGCGCGCGCGAGTATCAATAACAACGCAACAACATAACGCGATCGTGATAATTCGTTCGCGGGCGACATCTATCTCCGGATTCCTCGGCCGTTAGTCACGTGCGCGCAATGAGCATATCGTGTTATGCGGAGCGCTATGCGATTATACCCGTATGAGATTTTTACCCGCGTTTTTCTACGGTTTTTTTTTTTTTTTTTTTATTATCTTCTGTTTTACTTACAATACGGTCTGCGCGTATTTGCGCGCGTGTCTATAATGTATTGTGCACGCGGAAGTGCGATTGCCTATTCCGTTCGACCGGACGTGAACTCGCCCTCGCGCCACCGGCGCCGCGAATTCGAGTCGTGGCGTACACAGGCGGGTACAGACTACACGCGTTTACACGGCGGCGCCAGAATCGCGCGTTCGGGATGAAATCGTTTCGAAACTAAAACCGTTTCCGGCCGTGCAAACGCTCCGAAACCGTAACAGCGTCGAACCGATTTCACAGCTGAAAAACGCTCGCCGCATTTGGCATTAGAGCCGTTTCGAGTGCTTAAAGCGGTTTGTCAAAACCGTCATCACACCTAGCTAATGTTCGCGAAAGTACCGAGAGCAAAACCGTTTAACAGACTACGATTTCGCGGTAATTTTAGGTTGAAATTACGATTGTTTATTGTCTTGTGAAATTTTAACCGGTCAGAGTGAACGTTGATTTTTTTTACCCGCGGTCTAAGAAGAACTATTCTATAACACCGTCACACAAATGACACTCCGCTACTCGCCCTCTACAACTCTACCGGAACTTAAAAGTGTAATTGCTGTCAACGGTCCGACGGAAATTGACAATGTCGACATCATAATGTATTTAAATTAGTTAACCATTTCATCTGTTTACGGAATTTGTAATATTGGTTGCTATTTGAAAACAAAACGTGGACAATGGTTTCGCCCCCACAAATAAGAGTGACAAAAAATATCGGTAATGTAAAATTGTAGGGCTATTTGTTTTTTAAATTGTCAAGAAAAAGAAAAATTCCGAAAAAAGTTAATACTTTCCGAGATAATAAGTGTCTTATCGAGGATTGATCACTTTATATTTTATAATATATTATCTATACACAGTTCTCGTAGAAACCATTTATATTTTAATTTATAATTGGTTAAATTACAGGGAAAATATAAAATTGTACCGCTAAAATTCGAATATGTTATTTGGTAACATAATAAATTCGAAAATAACTTTATCCATCTGTTACGATTTCAAGGCTAAACTGCTAAACCGATTCTGATGATATTTGGTATGGAGGTAGCTTGAAACCTCAGAGAAGAAATAGGTTACTCAAAAAAAAAAAACCAATTACTAGGGGGTTACAAATTTACAATATTAGTATGGATAAGTCTTATAGAAAACTTAAAAACAACTGGACCGATTTTCAAGATTTTATTTCTGTTACCTTTTTTTAAGAGACCACAGTATTTATAGGCATAAATAAATTTTCGCTTTTTTTTACAAAAGAAGGCAAGTAAAAATGTCGTCTTTAGAACTGTATTGTTAAGAACGAAAATAACTTAAGACCACAACAGAAATAACGTTATTTATATTTTATTTTGCTCCATTGCATATGTTAATGATATTTTTGTATGGTTTTTGAAAAATGTATTATATAAATACACAGCCATATAAAAAAAAAAACAATTTTTTTTTAATTAGAGCAAAATTTATGGTAAAAAAGTTATTTACAGACATAAAAAAAACTATTATGCCGTTATTTATTTATTATTTAAAATCACGGAATTAAGCTTTATTCGACTGTCTTCTGTTACAATAATAACTATATTCTAAACTAATATAATAAATGCGAAAGTTTGTGACGATATTTAGATGTTTATGACTAAATATGACTGTTTATAATATAGTGACTGAACGGATTTGGATGAAATTTAACACACGGATAGACAATATGTGCTGGATTAACACATAGGATACTTTTGATCACGGTATTGTGTTCCTATGGGATAATTTACAATGGTTTAGGTTCGGAATAGTGAGTATATTGGTTTTAAAATGATATATATTTATTTTTTTTTTATTCTGTAAACAACTTTTCTACCAGAAATTTTGCTCTGACGTATCAAATGTAGCACGTTTTCCGAAAGGAAATTTTATCTAGTTGGTACTTTAGAATGGTAATTTTTTTGATTTCCCAAGTGGTTTTCATGATAATCGTGAAAAACCGGGATAATTTACATACATATATAAAAGAAACTTCGCTCCGAAACGGTTTTCGTTAGCAATGGTTCATCGTTGCGTACAGATATAAATTAAATTTCCCTCTAAATCTTACTTTCCCAACTTGTCACCTGCAACGGTGGCCCGTCCATCGTGCGAAGTATGTCCGTCTTTTTTTTTTTTTATTTGAACGGTCTACTGATCTATAATGCAAGAAATACATTTTTCCTCTTCTTTTCGGTATAGGAAAACATTGCATTTGCATACGATATTAAATCAGCCAGTTTTTATTTAATATCCTAAATGAATAATGATTTTAATGTATTAAATATTGTACTCAATATATACATGACTACTGTATGTACAGTGTATTAGTGCTATGCTTTTATTAAGTACTAGTTGTATTACACACGGCTCCGCCCGCGTTCAGTTTACACACTAAACTGCACACATAATATTATGTAAACTGAACGCGGGCGGAGCCGTGTGTAATACAACTAGTACTTAATAAAAGCATAGCGCCACGAGGAAAATAATTTGCACGCAAATGGAACGTTATTCAACTCGATTTTATTACATTGCAATTATATATTATAATTAGGTGTTATTATTAGATATTTCAACTATATAATATTATTTATAACTGTTAAAAACCAAAAAAAAAAATAATAAAAAACTACTCACGAGTCAGTTGCTATTTAACAAGTAGTAGTGGGTAGGGTATAACTACGCATTTTACGAAAATATCGTGTTGCACCCCGAACCGCGTAGATAGGTAGATACACAATAATCAATAACGATTTTATTAATTATTGTATATTATTACAGATATATTATGCATTTACGCGGCGAATATTAATTATTAATGTCGTACAACAATATTATACTCAGTTGGAGTAGTCAATAATAATAGAAAATACGTTTATACATTTTTATAGTAGGCACATTTACATTAGTGCGCGCTCGTTTATAGTATAACAATTCATAGAAAATACATAGCGTTCAGTTTACTATATTCTAATGGTAAAGCGTAGGTCGTACGTCATGATTTTTTTTTTTTTTTTTTTATGAATGAACACGATTTTCATGTTTACGATGACGTATTATAAATATAATGGCATTGGATTTCTATGACGCATGCACAGTTGTTATCCGCGTATACAGTTTCTGCAGTGATTCGATGGTTTTAGTTTTTTTCGTTGCCCATTACTCGCGTTCAGAAATGGTATAAAATACACAGGTAGTCATCTATAAATATGATACCGTGTATTGTTGAATTGTTTATACTCTATTTTATTCGGTTTAAGAATGTCCAATTTAAAAAAAAAAAAAACTTTCACGTCCACTGCCGACAGTGAGCGCTGTCGTTGAATGTTGTCGTGGCACCACAACAGTGGTCACTGTCGACAGCAAATGCCAACGGTTATGCGCGGGCCGTGAACGCGTTAGTAAAAAAAAAAAAAAATATCGGGCATTCTTAAATGGAATAGAATATAGTAGGTACTACACATTAATTTTCAACTCGAAGAGTCTTACACGTGGTTTTTATCTACAGTTCTCATATTATTGCAATAGTAATTACGACTTTGTATACGTAAAAAAAAGAAATTATTATATTATTATTTAGGTGCCTAAGTTATAATGAACGTAAAGTCACCGTAATGGAAATGTTAAAACTTTTAAACTAGAATATAACAATTATTTTTGGTCAAATTTTATAAATGTTGAACATATTTTAATTTAATTTTCACTTTACAAAGTAAATGTTTAAATTAATTTCCAAGCTTACAACTTGAATCGTAAGTTAGGTTAAGTTATGTATTGTACATTTTACAGTTAAAGTGCTGAATAACGTTATTTTCCGAAAGATAGGTGGTAAATTAGAATATTTGAAGGTTTGTTGATAATTCATAATTATTATTATTTATAACAATGAATCTTTGCGTACTAGTTGCGTCCCGAATAAAAAGGTATAATAGTAATTTCGTCTCGTGTTTTAACGATGCAGTTTTTTGCATTGTTTGTTTGCTGCTTGGTTGAAAAATCGCCAATAATTTTTGTTTATTGTACTGCAGTATACTTTACCAATGGATATTCAATAACCGAAAAATAGTTTTAAATAATTTTTCGCCGACTCTGGAAACTTTGTTGTCGAAAAGCGTATTTAGTTGTCAAACAATTGCAGTAGACAATATCTCCAAAGCAGTTTATCCGCTAAACCAGTAAACAGGCTGCTCAAACACGCCTGATTTGATAAATTATCTAGTAATTACCTATCTCATGAACTAACCGATTCAATACTTTAACTGTAACACGTATGATGACAGCTATCGTCGTTAGCGCTAATATAAATGTTAAACGATAAATTATAACATTTTTGTTCCGACAGTCAAGGTTGAAAAATGAGCGCTTCGGCATAACATACTGCAGTGGACCTCCCTGCATTATCGTGTTTGTGTACCCGGGCTATTGACAGAAGTCTCAATATTGGCGTAAGCTGTTATAATAATACCTACTTGTTAAAATTATTTCATTTTTTCTCGCTATAGTATACAATATATCCGAATAATAATTATTATTCTAAGCTCGATTTAATACGAGCAAACTACACTAGACAGTTTTAGTTTGAATTGTTATACGTGCCTACCAATATTCTTGTATTTTTAGACATTGGCTTGTAATGCAATTAAATTAAAAATGTTTTGTTTCGACAAAAAAAAAAAAATTATACTGACATATCCGGGTCTGAAATAAGTGGGAAAAGAAAAACATATATATAAAATTCTAAATGTTTGATATCGGCTATCTCGTTTATAATGTGCCGAATAATAATGCTATTGACGGTGGTTCATCTCTCGGTTCAGTAGTCGACCACGCGTGCCTGTATATATCATTGAGTATGGTCGAATTGCATTTGGGTTAAAAAAAAAATCCCTCGAAAACTGTTGAACTGCACTCACAACACTCGCTGATCAAAAACAAGTAAATAATGGTCGAATTTCACTCAAGTCAAAAAAATGTTGGAAAAAAAAAACAATTTAGTTTATGTTAAAAATAAATACCCAATAATTAATTAACAATTTAATTTTTGGCGTGAATAAACATGAGTTTTAATAAATACGCAAGTTGTATGCCAGTCATACATATAGCGGTCATTGAGTTGTTTAAAATGACTACTGTTAAATCCAAATGCTGTACATATTTATAGTGAACACTTTTAAATTCGGAGGATTCGGAAAATAATCTTTTTTCGACTTCCACGCGTTTAATTCGACCGTTCGGTCTTTTTTTTTTTTAAAAAAAAAAAAACCCAAAGAAGATGACGGTATTATAACGACGCGCTACACGAGCGTGTGTATACAAAATACACTATACCTGTGTTAGCAATCACGCGTTACACACTACCTAAACAATATTTTCATTAATAAAAAAGTGATTGTACGGCGGCGGCGGCGGCGGACTCGCTGCTGAATGAAAATATCGCGACGAGGACGCGCCGACCAGGTATTATACAGGTACCTATTATACCCGTAACGACGAACCGCACACACTCGAAACCCGCAGCACATGGTCCGCTTGAACCGCGGTTGCGGTAATGGGGTTAGTCAGTGGCCGGAGTCTCGGAATCGGGATGCGTCATCGACGCACAACGACGCGACGTCGTACGCAACGGATCCAAGACATCGTGGTAAAAAAGCCCATGATTCAGTTTTCGTCTAAACATCGTCGCAATCGTACCGTTCGTATATAATATCGTACTGCAGTGTTCGCGACAGTTGTAAATAACAAAGACAATTTTGTCTCACGTTTTAACGGAAAACAAACCGACGCCCTCCCCTATAACCAGCCGCCGAAACGCGATTCACCCGCGTTATGCGAACAACCGGACCGGAACCATCGTTCGTTATTACGCCGTTACGTTTCACGGCGACGGTCAACAGGGCCGGTGCTCGCGAACCACTAGGGATGGCGGACGTCAATTGACGGGCCGCTAATCATAAACCGCCGGACGCGAGATTCGCGCAACAGCTTTCGGACGTTCCGGACGTCGTGTTGACAGCGGCCGGAAATGTCGTCGGCGGTCGACCGCCGCCGCGGCCGCCGGTAATGTCGTCCGCGGTTGACCGCCACGGCCGCCGGTAATGTCCGACACCGAAGACCGTGTCATTGTCACGACGACGGCTCCCGAAGATCGCTGCGGTTCCGCCGACGTCGTCTTGCCAAACGGTGAGCCCTGCAACCACGCATACTGTGTACTATTATATTAATGGCCGGTTTCACCATGTTAGAGTTAAAGGGCGGATCAATGAACTTTGAGTTACCAAGTTAGCCGTTTCCGTTTCATGTTTTTGGATTGGAGTTAGTTAATCGCGCGAGATTAGCTCCTTAATGACTGTTTCTTCTAAGTTCTTTCCGCGGTTTTCGCTGATAACGTCGATAAAAATGATAATATTGACGATTTTTTAAAAATGAATTGGCCGCGATTGTTGTGAATTTGTGTTATTGCAGTCAAGATTATATACAGTAATTATTTGGATTTTGATGATCATTTTTATTTTAAAATGGATGTTTTCAATAAACGAAAAAAAAAATGTTAATTTTAATAATAGAGAAGACGTTATTGAATTGGTGACGAAAAATAAGCTTATTATTGAAAATAAAAACAAAAAAGACGTTCTAGGATAATGGGGACGGGTGCAGCCACTGTTATAGATAATTTAATGTCTACCGTAAGCAACGATAAACTAATGCTTACGAAAAAATGATTCTGAGCGGAGTTCAGTTGATAGTGATGCGTTGTAAACAATATATGTATATATTTCATTTTATAGTAAAATAATTAAATAGGCTTTATATATTTTTTTTAATAATATTTGTTTAATGTAGTACCGATTTTCTCAATTTTCCTACGTTTTCCCATGTTTTATCAAGGTTTTTCAAGATTTTTTCAAAACTTTTGAGAAAATCGAAAAATGACTTTAAACACCTCCCTACGCCGATTTCCTTTCAGAAAAGGTGATTAACAGATTGAAAAAAAAAAAATAAACATCTTTGTAAAACTATAAGTTTCTTCGCTCCACTCAGAATCTAAAAGAGGTGACTAAAACTATAATGCGGAAAGATAAGTAAAAATGTCGGTTTTGATATTCGAAATCGATCTCTAAAATTTCGATCGTCATACATTTCATATTAGTTTACTCTTTCATTGAAGATTCTCAGGCGTCGTTGCATTACAATAACTATTTCATCGACAAATTATCAAATATTGATCTACGAGCCATTATTGCGAAAAGTTATAGGTACTGAAGTACTTGAAATGAAATATTAGTTTTAGAAATGCAGACGAAAAATTATAATAAATGATAATACGAAGGTAAAAAACTGATATCATAATATGGTCTTAACTAAGTCGTTAACACTCAGAAATACCAGAGGGTTAAAATATGAGAGTTAAGATTTCCATTAACTTAGAGTTACCACCTAATTCCAGGTGGTGACGTTTTTTTCCGTTAAATCCGGGTTATCAGTAACTTATATTTTAACTCTCGACGGTGAAACTGGCCATCATAAGAGATTTCGATGTTGCGTATTTGAATTATTCGTCTAACGCGCGCTCGGCGCAGCGATTATTAATCCGTTTTTTCGGCAATCAGTTCGACCGATGATACGAAGCGATAAGGATTCTGGAAACGGATTTGAATAATTCAACGTTAAGTGTACGTGAGGTCGGTCGGTCCCGATTCTAGCGTACGTTTACTTTTTTTTTTTTAATTAAGATGTTACGGGACGGTACTTTATTTAGCTTTTTTTTTCATGATTAATTAACATACCTATTTTTTTTTCATTTATAACAAAAAAAAAAGCTGTTTACGAAATGTACACAAGTACCACGGCCATCTTATAGTTCGTGATAAATGATAATAATCAAATATCAACATTGATCGACCGAACGGAAATAATTTTAACCGCAAATTAATACAGTGTATACATTATGCAGGCCGAGTCGGGTTAAAGATTGTGGGGACCCGGGGGCCCATAATAGTACAAACGAGAACAAATAAGCAAAAAAGAAATCCGGGCCTGACATTGTGTATTATTTTATCTATATTGACATAACCAAACCTTTTCCGCAAAAAAAACAAACTTTTTACATATTAATTTGACCATCCAAACGTGCATTAAATTTACATAATATTGTGTTACGTGTTCATCACTATTATATGAATAATGAATAATGTCGAATATCCTATTGAATTGTTAACAATTAGGAACATTTTTCGATAACCGAAAAAGCGTTTTACATATAAAGGATCTTAAGGAGAAACTGTTGAACATTTAAAAAGTTGCTTTAAGCAAAGTACCGCCGGATGGAAATTCCGCGGTAATAATCGGTTTTTAATTAGGTAAGGACGCACAATTTGTACGCGTCATCAGCCTCTATACTTTTTCTTTTCCGAGCACCACCTATATAACGGTATACTCGTAGATTAACCACTCACCAACATCAATAGGTATCTGGTATCTATATTCGAGTTTCAGTTGTTATAAAGTAAATTTACAATACACGCAATCTATGTATTTGTCGGCGGGACAATTTTGTCATTTTAAAAAAATAAAGTCGAACGTTGTTTATGGGGAAAAAGAAAAATCCAATTTAAATTTGATTCAATTCCGATTAATGTTTTTGTTTTAATAATTTTACTGACAATGCAGATCCGCTGGACTGGACTAACGAACACATAGCGTCGTGGTTGAAGTGGTGCGTGAAGCAATTGGAATTGTGGCCGATTCCGAGATCGGAAGATTTTCCAAACTCCGGTTACGAACTGTGTTTATTGGACAGAGCAGAGTTTGACCGTCGATCCCGGAACAGACGTTCCGGCCGATTGTTATTATTGCATTTGTCATTACTCCGACAACCTGTTACCGGAACGCCACCAAGCCCTAGCCTTACAACACCGGACGATGGTAAATACCCACTATAAGTACGGCTAGCGAAACGAGAAGCGTGACCGCCGCGTGCATGTGTGGCAAATTTTCGTATTCGGGTTTCTACCACTGGTGGTTAGTCGTCCGTGTATTCACACTATGCATACTGTTGTTTATAATATATATCTATATGACTATATAATGCACATTTAGTAAAGGATACTCAAAGTTCGTCCAAGAGCAGTTGAAGTACAGCTATATCAGCTATTTGTTAAAAGCGCGACGCGGCTCACGTAAACATTGGAACATTTAGAACCCCTGGGACTGCACGAAAAAGGCCGCCATGCGCGCGACGGTCACGCTTCTAGTTTCGCAGGCCTTACTATAATTATATATATTTATATGAACACTATTATTGTAAAAGACACATTATTACAATGCAGCCAAAAAATCGCCAACTACCCACAATAGTGCCCCCCCCCCCCCCGGTGTCAGCGGTTTTTTTTCTGCTTGCAAAAAACTGTTCGAAAAGGAATCTTGTTTTGATATAGAATGTAATACCATTTTGGAAGGAAATTTTCACTAGTTGGTGCATCAAACAGTACATTTTTTGTTTTTCCTGGGTGTTTTCAAATAAATGGAAAAAAAAAAAAATTGATTTTTATTCAGATTACAATATTTAAAATTGTTAAGATTATATTTATTTATTAGAAATCTTTGTCCAAATTTCAAGAATAGTATATTTTCTGAAAGAAATGTTGTCTTGTAAGAAGTCTGAGCAAGAAAGTTGTTGTTTAATTTTATTTTTACTTTTCCTTGAAATTTACGAAAAAATGTTAGAAATATGGCATAATGTACAGCATTTGAGTTTTTTGTTGTTACTCGGGTAAAAATTGCTGTAAAGACATGCAGTTTTTACAAAATACTAATATTGGTCTTTTGTAGACGTGATTAAACTCTAACTTTTATTAGGATATTTATAGGTATTTGCTATTTTTGTGTTTTATATGTATTTTTATTTGGTAGGGATCTGTTATTAAAGTTGTATGACTTGAAAATTTAACACAAGGTACATTATAAGTTGTACTGAGTGACCTAAAAACAAATTTGAGTTTAATGCATTAGTTTTTTTTTCATAAGCGTATTAAGATCAAATTACTGCATTTCAAAATATGTTTCACCGAACTTCGCTCCGAATTGTTTTTCATGAGCAATGGTTTATAGTACGTGCACAAGTGTGTTTTAAGATTTGTATACGTGTTTGAAAATAATTTTATTTCACTCCTCTTCATAAAAAATCCTGAAGGTGTCATTAGTACCCTTTCAATTTTATTTATCCTCATTATTACTGTTTATAGGTATATTGAATAGGTATATAAAAAATTATATGTTATTCAATTGTTTTTGGATTTTACTTATTTTTAAGCTATTCCTATTTCACACTTATTTAGTTTATTTTTGGATTTTATATGAATAAAATTGTTTTTACCGAGTAGAAATGCTTGAAAATGAACAAAAATTATCTATAGCTTTATGCCCTAAAAATTGCGAAAAACTAGGATTAGACTTTTAACTTCAAAAAAAAAATTTTCTAAGGCGTTACGATGAACATTCGATTTTTTATTTTATATTAATTGTATACTGCAGTATATTATAATGCAATTATTGAACAATATTAATCAGATTAGCGTAATTATTTGCTTCGAGTTTTTTGACGGTTTTGATTTACTATGTATAACAGTTTTATGCGTTTTATCATTGTCCTTTTTTTTTCCCTTTAGAAACCGTCATTGTCGTTGACAAGCTTATATAGTAGAAATAGGGATAAAAATCCCACCGGGTCTAGAGCGTAATATATCACAGAGGGACACAGGTAATCCCCTTTAGGGCACGCTGTCGCTTAACCTCGACCATTATTGCTTCTCGACATTTGACTTTTAGATTACTATAGCTTTTTTTTTTTTTATCCTTATATATACCTCCTCCCGATTTTATTATTGTAAGGATCTCTGAGGCACATGATTTATGCAACAGCCGCTCCGCAGAAATAAAATAATACTATATACCGTGTGGACCGTTTTACTTTCCACGTTGCTTTAGTATGGTCTCGGATCTACAGATCGAGTATACGTTTAACCTGCATATTATAATGATAAAGTCATATGTTGTAACAGTTCGTGCAAATTTGATTAATTTCCTTTGGTATTAATAAAAAAAATACGTAAAAATATACAATATTTGATCTTTTTCTACTTTTGTTGTATATTGTAAGTAATAAACCATTTTTTTTTTTTTGTTGTACGATATTTCATGTAGTTTTTTTTTTATTTGTGTCGTTTAATAATAACTATAAATTAATAAGTTTTAATTTACAATTTAACAGTTTTGAGCTAATTTTAATATATATATATATATATATATACATACATTATACATATATTTTTTTTTAACTGAGTACATTTTTTTGTTTGCTAAGCACAATTTTGCCGTTCATGAATATCGTGGTCACCAAAATATATACACATTATTATATAATTTTCATAAAATATTAATAGACATTCTGAAATAATAAGTATAGTAGGTACTTGAAATTAGATTTAATAAAAAACCGACTTGCATGTTAATAAAATTGTCGTTTTATTTAATCCGTTTATTATTTTTAATATCCTTTTATTTTACTGCTTTTGTTTAATAAACAGCAGTGGTCAAACATTTTTAATGTTGGCCCAAATAGGAAACATATTGAATATCTGGCGGTTTAAGTAGCTGGCAAAATTAACACAATTGAGTTTTATACACGTAAATAGCATAACTTCAATACAAATATCGGGGCTAGGAGCTTATACCCCCATTTAATCAATATTATAAGACACCTCTCCGACACAAAAATATTTGAGCTATTCGTGCCTATCATAAAAGTGAATAAAGAAATAGTAATACATACAAAAAATATATAATATCACCAGTAAATTTTTTGTCAAGAATAAAATCGACAAGGTATAATCAACAGGGGGCGCTAGGGGCGATCATACCCCCTCCAATTTACTTTACTTTACTTTTAGGTTAATTCATCATTGAGTTCGTCAAAAATGCATTTTAAAAATCACCCACCCCTTTTTTATCTTGTCCTGGGTCCGCCCCTACAAGGTAAATACTTATAATGTAATATAAAATAAAAACACAAAAATAAAATTATTGTATTTTCAAATTATAATCTAATTTTAGTTAGTTGTTTATTAAGGTTAACACATGTATTAATTAAAATGCATGAAATTTTATTTATAGTATAATGATTGTTTTCTGTTATACTCATATTATTATAGCTATATTTTTTTTCATAGAAAAAAACTGAATACTATTTCTATATAGTATATAACTATCACATCCGCCAATCAATAATTTATCAAATTTTGAAAATAATATATAGCTAAATAAACGGGTAGGAGGGGGTAAGAGAATAATTACGTTTTAAAAAAAATTTTGAATTTGTCGAGGGCAATGGAATTACATCGCTAGCAAGAAAGGAAGGAAAGTATAAAACGGATGATAGCGTCGGGATTTGTATCGGTGTAATATTTTTTCATTGGTCGCTTGGGAAAAAGACACTAGTTCTTTTTAATAATATAGTTAAAAAATAATATTATCTATTATATAATGTACACGATTCAACCAACATTTGAATACTTTTATAATTATTTTGACTTTCATGTTCTCATAACATTGTTGTTAAATAATATTTGTTCATATGTATGTATACCAATTACCAATATATATAGTCGCAAGTAGCCCAAATAATTTGGGGAGGCTTAAAATCCCATATCATTGATTATGATTATGATTATTATTGATTTAGGGTAAAATTTATTTGATAAGGACTCGATTTGGAATTGGGATTTGCTGAGTTTTGGGAAAACTAAGCCCCCTTAGTCCTACTATTTGCGTCTGTGATACAGTATGAACTGCTATTGATTAATGTTTAATTATATGTATCCATATTATTATTATCTTATCATCGATTTTCGATGTTTTCTAGCTGTAAATCATACACATAGTCTAGTCGAAATAAAATTAAAAAAAAAAAAAGATCAACTTCAGAATTAAAGACCTTTCGTCTTTACTTTTAGATTTTGAGTAGAGTAAGGAATGTATTGGTTTTAAAATGATGTTCATTTTTTTCTTTCTTTTTTTGTATCTGTGATCAATTTTTCTACCAGAAATTTTGCTTCAGTTTTCAAGTATAGCATTTTTTCTGAAAGAAAATTTTTCTGGTGTGGTAGTTTAAAAAGGTCAATTTTTAATTTTCCCAGCGATTTTTTTAATAAATGAAAAAAGGGAAAATGTTCAAAATGTATTTTTTTTAAATTGTTAATATTAAGGCCTTTTAAAACATATATAACCGAACTCTGTTCACAATCGTTTTTCGTTAGCAATAATTAATCGTTGCTTACTGATATACATTAAATTTCCCCTCTACTTTTCTAACTTCTCACTTATAACAGTGGCCCACCCACTGTGTGAAGTATGTCGGTTTGTTTTATTTGTTATAAATAGGTTAAAAATATTCATAGAAACCTGTCGTTTTCATAGAATGTACATAAATTAGTCCTTTCTAGGCCTAGACTAGTATTTTCTCGTACCGACGCCAACTCCCTGTAGTTTCGCACTTCTAAGCTTTCCGATTCTCTCACAGCTTTGTCCAGCCACCGTTGCCGTTTAGGTCTTCTTATAGGCGCCCTTTATCCTCGAGGAACGTTTACACGTAAGTAACGGGTACTATAGGCACTGCGGTTTATCTACCTATAACCGACTTACGGTGTGACGTGTGGTATATTATAATGTAATAATATGCAAAGCGCCGTATACTATACTGCAGTCGTTTAAGTCGCGAAGTGTTACGCGGTTACTTATTTAGAGCCGTCGCTCGCGATATTATAATAATAATAATAATAAATACGGCGGGAAAAACGGCCGGAGTAAACGCTCGAGTATATCATTGCGGCGACCCGCCTTTGGCAAGTGGACTGGGCGGAGAACGACAAAAGCGAAAGAAAACGTACACAATATTATTATATTACAGCATCAGCCGTTTTAATAATAATAACAAGCGGCGGCGGCGACGGCGTTCGTTCGTATATTATGTAAAGCTCATCTCACTCTCTCTCACTTTCTCCCCTTCTCTCCCCTTCTCTCTCTCGCTCTTTCTCGCTCTCCAGCCTCCGCGTGAACGCGTGAATGGATAGGAGACGAAAACTACTATAATATAATAATACTGCCTACTATATTTACTAGTCGCGGCCGTCGAATACACGGAGAAAACGTGGTTTAATAACGTCAGCTTGTATATATATATAAATACACACACACTGCTGCATCGGAGACCCCCTCCCCGTGCAGTGTCGTTCGGCGCCGTCATTATTATCATCGTTATTATTATTTCACCCTACATATATATACATAGGGCATAGCGGTGGCTCTCGCAGCGAAGTGCAATAAAGACGCACTGCACATTGAATATGTTATAAATCAAATTACAATAATATAAACGCGTCTTAGAGTATAATACGTATCGCATTATAAAAGTCAAAACCCCGCGTTGATCATGACGTATACGATAGGGTGACCATGAAAATAAAAAAAATACGAGACAAAACACTGATAAGAAAAAAAAATTAAAAATTAACTCGTCACCCGTTTTTATACACCTGTGTCTTCCGTTTTCCGTTTGTATAACAATGAGCGAAACAAAATATAATATATGTTTATCTGCAAGTCCACCGCGTTCAATAGAAAATACTGATTTACATAGTGTACAAAATGTTTTTTCATCTCATCAGCGTCTTTTAAAAAAGGACATTCTGATTTTAGTTAGGTTGAAGTTAGATGGTGAAAATGCCGCTTCTTTTTTGGTGTTATTATGAAAACAAATATTTATTTTTATCGAGTCGTATACTAAACTGAACATCTGTTGTAAACAAAAACTAACAACAAATTGCATTTACATAGATATAATATTTTTTTATAAATATTAGGAAATACCTATTTGTGATATTGACATAGATTTACTGTAAACAGTTCAAGATAAGATATTCATTTGTGCGTATTACAGTATACCCACTAAAATGGTCAAAATAATAAACTAAGAATACCACTGTTAAGTAGAGATTTAATGTCTTTAAGACATCACATAAATTTAAAAATGTATACATTAACAGTAATGTTAAAACAGGATTAATACTGGACAAAAAGCATCCCGTATAACTTTGTCGGAATAACGGGACAAAAAGTTGAAATACGGGACAATCCCGTTTTATACGAGCGTATGGTCACCCTATCGTATACTATACGGTATCTCTTGCAGATCACCCCTTCCTTAAAACATTTTGATTTTTAGATCCAATCAATTAGATTTTCTAAAGCTGCAAAGCAATTCAATTGCTTTTGATATTTAATTGAGTTAAATATATTCCAGTTATATAGTTACTTTGATTTAGTAACTTAGATTAGTTGGAATACTTACTACGAATAGTAACTCGTTATATTAATATATAGTGACTTACGTATAAACAAAGTAACAAGTTTATAGTTACTTAAAAGATAATTTTGTAATTATCGGATAAACTTCAAAAGTATAAATATTTAAAATTTGAATAATTAAAGAAGGAATACTTATCCGAATTAAATGTTAATAATAAAGATATTCTCGACATTTCTGTTACTAATATTAAATCTCTTAATCATTGAAAAATTGGCCGCAATAAACAACCATGGTAGCATGGTAGCATGGTAGCATGTATATAGGGTTTATATGTGATACAAATTTGAAATTATTCTTATCATTGTCCTAATTGGTGATAAACCTAATACAATTATAGAACATAATGAATATTATTATTCAATATTATGATTTTAAAATTTTAAAATACATAGTTAAACTTTTTAAACTACAATTAAAATGAAGTATATTACTCGTTACTCGTGTAACGTTTTTATTTACAAAATTAGTAGGTAGAAAAAGCAACGAGTTAGTATAATATTTTTGTAACTTATTACTTTTTAACTCGTTACTTTTCAGCTTTGGGTACACTTATCAGGTCTTTTGTTAATCAAATAATTTCTGTAGGAATTCACTTCCCCAAACTCACATTCAAATACCGGTATTATAAGATTTTAGTTCATTTTTTTCACGGATTCCGATTTTTGTCGATTATTTAAGCGTGTAGAAAACAACGTGTAACATTTTACCTAAAAAAATAATATTGTTTAAATTATCAGTGGATACTTTAATAATTATACAAAAAAAAAATATACTTATACGTGTATAATGTATACATATTGTATTATATGTTAGTACCTACGTTGTATTAAATTAAAACTGGATAAAAGGGTGGCCAACAGAAAATAACTACAGTATATATAAATATACTGTTATCGATGATGGAGAGTGCGGATTAAACGGAACTATTAGATTCGTATATACATAAGCTGGACGAGGAAGTGCGTTGCCAAAGAATGGTCTGAGTATACGTATCTAAATCGGCGAAATCCGCTTATATGCTGCACATGAGAGATCGACGATTGCCACTGATTGTTTCTGTAACTCGAACACACGACAAACCGGTAAAGTCGTATCTACACTGTACTATTATATATATCCTCTAGGTGCTATAGTGGACGTAGGAATGAACAGCAGTGTATATAGTATTATAGTTCTCTACGAAAATGGGAAAAGACATGCGAAAAAAAGGACTACGGTCAACACCCTAGAGACTCGATAACAGTTTTAACCCCTATGCGGTGGTGTGGAGGATAACATCGGTCCTTTTGTTAAAAAATGACCTCTTTTAATCAAAGACCCTTCCGATTTCATTTTACCCATTAAATCCGTAGTATACACACACATAGTATACATCACACATATCACGCCAAAACGCTGCGAAACGTTTTTAGAAACTCAGAAAAGAAAACGAAATTGTTCGGTTCCTTCATTTAAACGAACGTTTCCAAAATACTCCTATATATATTTACTGTACTTTATTTAGTACATAATAATGATCGAAATAAATGCACAGCATAATATGTTTTCCAATACCTATTCTTTTTTCATCAATACGATTTAATATAAAGTGTCCACTTTTGATATTAGTCTAAAACTGATTAAAAAATGTTTGTTAAAAAGTTGTGCAGGACGAAAATTTATATATGTTTGTATGAAAAGAGCCCATTTTTAAATTTTTTAAGTTTGGCCCCAGGATATAATGGACCCTTAATCCGGTCTTGCCTATAAAATAATTTTTAACCAGACGTCTTACTCTAATTATTAGCTTCAGGGTTAGCTCTGCAAGAAATTTATCTAGTTAGTGAAACATAAAGATCTTATTTATATTTTTCTTGCACTTTTCTGAATGACAAGAAAAAATCAATAAAACAACGTCGGAAAAAATGAATTGTATACAATAATGGCTTATATGGTAAATTTAAATTTGGTTTCTTTATTGTAATTCAATGGAAAATAATTGTGAAGCACTGCAATTTTATCGAATACTTAAATTAGCACATTTTAAATCTGGTATAATTTTAAAAATATTCTAGCCTTTATTGAGATTTTTCTGAAAATTATACAGCTATTTGAATATATTCGATGTCTTTTAGTTTATTAATTTTGTTGATTTTACGTGGATACAAATTTTTAAACGCCGAACATTTTACATAATGTTTTCTTATAATAAAATAAAAACATTAAACATCTATAATTACAATTTTATATATATTTATGTGTGTACTAATAACCACCACATATTATAGTTAAATAAATAAAAAAATCGATAAAATCAAGAGTAATATTGTAATTTATATTTCAGCTACAAATTAATAAAATGTTTAATTTATCTTTATCAAAAAATGTTATTCCAAGCGTCATTCAGAATCGTTTTATGTTGGCAATAATTTATCTTTGCATATAAATTAAACCGGTCGATAAAAGGCATAAAAATGGCATTTTATCTTTGTCCCAGCTTGTTATAATCTTATAATAATATACTTTTGTATTAAAATTTGAGATTTTGGGTTCGGTCCCTCAAATGACTGTTTTCATTTGGGTACCGATTCAATGAATTCGTTATGGAAATTATACTTATGTACTTATGTAATTACAGTTATAATATAAAATGTTGCTATTAATGTATAGTGTATGCAGTGGCGTGCTGAACATTTTTTATATTTGAGTCTACAGTAAAAATTTAAGTTCTACCAACCCAAAATATGGATTTTTATATCTCCAAAAATAATTTGTTTACATCAAAAATCTCATTTAGCTACATTGACTACATATTATAAACTATCATATACTATCATGTTAGGGTGGTTCTTATTTGGGCGATGGCGGATTTTTTGTTTTATGGCTTATAACTTTATTCTAAAAAAAAAATTAAAATAAATACTGAACCATATTTGAGCTTCCTAGGACAATTCTAAAGTTCTCTGTAACGCAGTTAAGTTTCCAATTTAGTATTTAAAATAAATGTAATTTTATTTATATAAGGCATATAGGGTTGACGAAAAAAAATTGTCCTGCATGGAAACGATTGGGGTTAAGGTACGTTTTAAATAGGGGGAAAAAAATTAAATTATATCGTGCATTCCGTATCAGTCTCTTACTGATAATTATTAATTTTTTCTTAGTTTCCTAAAATATCGTCAATATATGCAGAAAATCGATGATTTTTAGTGTGTCGCATCTTTTAAAATCATATGAGTATCGAATATGGGTCACTTTGTATCAATTAATAAAATCACTGAAAAAGTGTTCCTAAAATAGTCCATAATTATTAAAGTTATGTATAGATAAGTGGGTAATATACATTTATATTTTCAATGAAATACTTATTAGTTGATACAGAGTGACCCATTTTCGATGTTCACAGGATTTCCAAAGATGTGTCACGCTAAAATTCATCGATTTTCTGGATATAGGTATTAATGATATTTCAGGAAATTAAGAAAAAATGTATAATTATCAGTAAGAAAGTGATATGGAATGCCCGATATATTTTAACTGTTTTTTCCCCTTAAAGCGTACCTCAATATCAATCATTTCCATACAAGAAAAACATTTTTCGTCAATTCGCCTTTGTGTCTTTATGCCTCATGTAAACAAACTTCCGAGTAAACGAAAGACACGTGTATTTTAAGGGAAATAAGGGAAACTTTACCTCGTTACAGGGAGACTTAAGGATTTTTCTAGGAAACTCAAATAGGATTCAATATTTATTTTTTTTTTTTTCAAATAAAGTTAGAGGGCGTCAAAAGAAAAGTTCCGTCATTACCCAAATAAGAACCATCGTAATATTCATATATATATATATATATATATCAATAATATAATACACCAAACTAAGAGCGTCTCTGGTCTCTAAACTAGTTATTCAACATTCAACATATTTGGTGACCCACTCACCCACCTGTTTTAGTCATGAACCAATTGCTTCGAAAAAACTTACTTCGGCACGCCACCGGGGGTATGCATTCTGAACTTGTCTGTATATTGAAAACTATACCAAAAATTGATTTAATAAGCCCTTCTTGAACGGAACCAAACAAACATATGAGTACAATTTATTATTGCTCGTATTATATTGCAAGATGTCGAGATATAGTAATATTACGTACATCGGGATAGACGAAAATCCTGTCGGCGAAAATCGCACATAGGCGTGGCTTGCCAGGATACGCGCGGGGGCGTGTAGAAAAATGGTGCGGTCCCCGGCCTATCCGAGGGCGGCGTGTTTAAGCACCAGGTCCGCCAGGGAGGGAGGGGGACGGGCGATCCGATGTACACTGCAGATTTTTCTTCTGGACGGAAACCGCCGTTCGTTACTCTCGGTCCGTCGTCGTTACACGCGCGCCACACGCAATCTTTACACGCGCACCGCCGCAAGTCACGCGCAACGCACGCCGCCCGGTCGCACTTTGTCGTGCGTCAGAAACGCGCTCGAATACACGCCGCGCGGATACAGCATTGCCGTGGACGCGCGCCGCCGTCGTCGTCCCAACACGACGCGTGTATTGCAATAATTGTGTATTATAATAATACCACGACGATGTCCGCCGGGACGTGATCGCGCGCGTTCGTCCCGGACACCGGTACACTCGCGAACGTGTCGCGCCGCAGCGAATAAATAGATGTGGCAACTGTCGGCTTGCGACCGGCATGATCTCAGGAGACACTTGCAAATGGCCACCGCCCTCAACAGGGCCAAACCTTTCGGACATTCGGCTCAACTGTTCTATAACGGTTTGTCGGCTCTATATGGCTTTGTATTGTATACCATGTAATTAAATAATAATAATAATATACCAGTAGGTATTATAGTATATTGATGCAATAGTTAGGTTAGGTTAGGTTTCGTATCAAAAGCGAAAATCTCGGTTGAATAGAGCCCTCCCCTCCCCCAGAGGTTTAGTCAAAGGGTAGAACCGGGCCTACCCAAAAAAATTAAACAAAGAAACAGATAGTCACATATTACGTCCCGAACAATGTCCCTTTTTTTTATTTAAAGTGGAATGATCAGTTCTCCTATAGTTTAAGTCTTCAAGGTCCGAGGGTATGCTGTAGTTATTACAAATGAGAAAATTTCTAATTTTTTAACTACTTTTGCTTTTTTTTTTATTGAGCAGACATACTCGTAGGATAATACTTGAAGGGGAGGGGATAAAATTTATTTTTAAATCTTATTGGTATAACATTTTAATGAACAAACGTGTGTGAGAGAAAAACAGTATTATCACCGTGGAAGGCTTGTATTCTTGATGCGTTTCTAAAGTGCTTAAGTTTAGTTAATTCTTAGGAATGCCTCTCAACTTTCGGTAAATGAAGATCGCCACTTTAACTTTTAACCACTGCAAATAATATAACAACAAATAATACATAGACTACATAGACCACGTTTTATAAAGTGTTATCGTACAACACATGTGAACTGCATCGATTTACTACTATTTTCCATTGTCTCCAACAATAACAAAACCTTTTTACATTGTGCAGATATATTATTTGAAAAAAAAGTCATCAGCACTTTTGGGCCTACCTAGGAATAAAATTCTAGCTAATTTAGTAAAAATCTTTAAGGACCATTTGTAATAGGTAAATTGCACTTTGTCGTAGCAATAAACAATGCTCAATAGGCCGTTATTATTCAATTGTCCGGACCATTTTAGGAGCCTTGTGAGATTAAAAAAAAAAAAATTAAAAAAATAATTGAATCCATAGGTTATCCTAAACGGTGTATTTGAACTTTGTTATGTATATACACGAGTATAAAATGTATGCATTATTTTTCTCGCAACTTTTATACACTTCTAGCGGCTCCCCATGGACTAAATGAGTTCAAACTCAAGGATTATAACTATTCTATAGGCTTATTCATGTCAAGCACATAGCCAGGATTTTATTCAGAGAGAGAGTCCATTTTAAAAAAATGCAAAATATGAGAATAGTGAATAAAATATTAATTTAATTTAAAACAATTAACATAGTCAAAAAAAATTTCGCCGGAAGGAAGTCCGGATTTTTTGCGAATGGAGGTTTTTTTTTGAGACTCGTGAAAGTGTAATATTTTTATTTATACTTTTATAAAATTATAATTTTAAATAGAAACGAAGAGATCAATCGTTTTATAAACCTACGTGTGTGCGTTTACGTTTACGGACGTGATAATACACCTGTGTCCTGTAATATGTTTTGATTATACTTTTTATCTCTTTATTATATTGTTATTTATAGCATTCATATTTATGTATAACACCAATAATATTATCAGTCATATCAATTTTCATTCGTCTTAATTATTATTACTTTAATATGTTACAACTAATGGCAATGACTGCAGCAGTGTTAATAATCTGCCTAATTAGTATAATTATTGAGCGTTCATTTTTACCTAATTGAAGTTTATTTTTTATGTTATATATACGTAAGAGTTTCGTAGTGTTATAAATAACGAGAAGTTAAAGTGTTCTACCTATTTTCATTATTTTTTTTTCGGTTTTTGATTAGTGACGAATATACTCATAAATATATGTTTATTGTATACTCCTTATAGAATTATAAGTAGTGTTTTTTTATATCGTTGAACCCTTATTATTTTCCGAATTATTGACTTTAAAAAAAAATAATACATACAAATGTTGATTATTTAGGAATGAGAACAGCTCTAAAATGTAACATTACCATTATTTATTATCACTCTCATTTTTGGGGGTAAAATTAATATTTACTGTTATTTTCAAATGGTAACCTACATTTAAAGTTCCATGAATAGACAGAGTATTATAGTTTAAATACATTTTGGAGTTAAAATTTTTGATTTTCGACAACCTGTTCACAAGTTATTTTCTACTTTTCAGTTTGAGTAGGGGGGAAGTAGTGGGGTATCATTTGTGTGGCGTCATGGAGCTTGGCGTTTGAATAGTGAATAACATTTTAGAATTGCTTGTTCCTTAAATTGTAAACAAATTTTTTTGGTAAATAACTTAGAGGTCAATACTTTACGAAATAATGAGCGTTCAACGACAAAAGAATCACTCTGTATTTACCTTAATATCTATATTTTGGGTCAAGGATGATCAAAGTCAGTTTTATTAATTAACTTACGACTTAAAAGAATGAAATCTTTGGTCAGATTGGTCGTCACTTTAAAAATAGCATGCATATTTTTATTTTTCGACAGTTAATCAATTTCTTGTAATTTTTATAACCGAGCTATGCCTCTCTCTATAGCATAAGAAAATATGCATTAAATTGCATATGTCCTATATCAAATTTTCATACAAAAATGTGTTTGATCTTTTTAAACCAGAGGTTCAACAAGATTTAATATTTCGTTGGAAGTCTTAATATTTGGCTACATTTTTAATCACATTTGGTTTGAAATTTAGATGTGGGAGAGTCATATTATCAACTTTAAGAGCCTATGTGCCACAAAATATTTATCTGCAGTATGAAAAAGACGGACATATTTCACATGATGGATAGGCCACTGTTGTAGGTGAGAAGTTGGGAAGGTAGGATATAGAGGGTAATTTAATGTAAATCTGTATACAACGATTAATCATTGCTAACGAAAAACAATTCTGAACGAAATTCAGTTATACACGTTTTAAACCACTAAGTACGACTTAGTAGTGAATCTCCTGTTAAATTTTCAAGCATTTCTGTTTGGTCTAATAATTTTATCCACAGAGTATATACTACCCACCCTATACAAATTATGTAAAAAAACTAGCAAAATTAAAATGTCTTTAAATAGCTCAAAAATGGCTCAAATGTTTTGAAAATTTGACCATGTCTAGAAAAGATAAATATAAGTTTTCTGTCCAAATTTCAAATTTTCAAGTCTCTAAGAACATTTTGAGCTGAATTAAAATTAAAAAACAAAATTTAAAATAATAAAAACATTATTTTCTAAATTTTCTCGTTTTCCTACTTTTTTCCCGGTTTTCTCGATTATAATGAAAACTGCTTAAAAAATCAAAAAATGACCTCCTTAGAGTACAAACAAGATAAAACTCTCTTTAAGAAATGGTGCTATTCTTGATACATCGAAGCGAGATTTTTGGTAGAATTTTTGTATACAGTATGAATAAAAAAAAAAAATGAATATCGTTGTAAAACCAATACATTCCTCGCTTCACTCAGAATCTGAAATATCACATGATTTTCTAGTGTAGTTTTAAATATCTTTTAAACGATATGCATGGCTCAGTTTTAAAAAAAGAAACAATTTTTTTAACTATAACACAATTTTACGGCACGGTGGTTCACAAAAAATACCTACCTGTAAAATTTCATCAACATCGGTGAAAATGGAGGAGTTTTAAACTAAACGAATTTAATTAAAAATTTGATCTTTAAAGGCTTATAAAAATAAATTACGACACACGATAAATTTGTTTTTACTCTTAAATAAATATCATAATATTAAACCTAATAAACCTTAAATCAAATTTATGAATATTTTTATGGAGTCAAAAATGATTTATTAACGTAAAACAAAATAAACAAAGTCGATAATTTAAAATATCAAAAATATCTCAAGAAACGTCAGAATATTTTTAAAATTCTATGGAATATACTTACCTACCTATAAATAATATAATACACAATTCTTCCTACCCGTTTATCAAATTATATTAATTTATTTAACTGTCGAAATTTTCGAAAATAAATAATCGTTTTTCGAACGTTATAAATCATTATTATGTACTATATAAATTCAATAGGATTTGTGTTTTTTTTTCTTGTTTTTAATTTAGAACCTTCCCCTGTATGTTTTATACAAAAGATCGAAAATACTTGTGTTTATTTTCGTCGAAAAAGATTACCGAGGATTTTGGAACCCCCGCCGAGTTGTTTATAATATATTACGCAGCACTTGGGTCGTGTATGGCGTTTAATATTCTTATATTCGACCGGGTCAACCCCTCAATTTATGTACAGGGTGATTCATTAAACGTAAACACTCGTCATTTAGCAAAGTATTGGCTTTTTTAAAAAAAGAATTAGTTTGAAAATGTAAGAAATAAGCAGCTCTAAAATGTTACATTACATTTATTTTTATCACCCTAAATTTTGGGAGTAGGCTATAGTATACTTGTATATTAAAAATTCCATAAACAGATGGAATATTAGTTTAAATAAATAAATGTCAAATAAATGTTGGGCTTGAAATTGTTGATTTCTGTTAACTCGTAGACGAGATATTTTATATTTAAATTTAGGTGGGGAGAGTAGTGGAGCATCATTCGTACGAAGGGTTCCAAAAATAAGAAAATGAATTAGCGATGTTTTTTTATAGCATTCTTTAAGACGATTTGGGTTCTTTAATCAGTTAGTTTCAAAACGCACAAGAACAAGCCTAAATTTAACCGGAAAATAGCGGTTAGTGTCGAAACTAACAAGTTCCATTAGATCACGTGAGTTTTGAAATAGGATTCATCTATTTAATCTGTGTCATAAATCACATGTTTAATGTTCTAAAATATTGCATATTCCATTTCAAAAAGGCGGACATACTTCGCACGTGGGTGGGCCACTGTTGAAGGTAAGGAATTGGGAAGATAGTAGAAAGGAAATTTAATGTTGATATATTTATAATAAACGATAAACCGTTGCTAACGAAAAAACGATTCGTGGCGAAATTAAGTTGAGCGCGTTGCTTTGTCAACAATATATATGTCATATTATGATCAAATAATTGCATAGGTATTATATATTTTTTTAATAATATTTGTGTAATATTGTACCTATTTTCACATTTTTCCTATGGTTTTCCGGGTATTCCCATTTATTCGGAAAACTTCTGAGAAAATCAAAAAATTACCTCCTTAAAGTACTCCCCCCCAGTCTAATTTACTTTCAAGAAAAGTGCTATACTTAAAAATTGGAGCAAGATTTCTGATAGAAAAATAGTCCACAAAAAAAAAAAATAAACATCTTTGTAAAATCATAATTCGTTCTTTTTCGCTCCACTCAGAATTAGAAATTATCGATACTCAGGTGTATTATAGTATACGATGCAATATTTTAAAACGCCATTATATTGTGTGAATATAATATTATTATTATTAATATTTGCAGATCCGTACGAAGTGGTTAACGCGGCTAGTAGTCGACTCGTGGCGCAAGCGGCCGCGGGCTCGGGACAAATACAATTGTGGCAGTTTTTGTTGGAGCTACTAGCTGACTCCAGTAACGCCGGGTGTATTTGCTGGGACGGTCCCGGTGGTGAGTTTAAGTTAATCGACCCAGACGAGGTGGCCAGACGTTGGGGCGAACGCAAGTCCAAGCCGAATATGAACTACGATAAGTTGAGCAGAGCTCTCAGGTATATTTATCAGTTATCACATTATAAAATATTATTAGACACGGTTTCAAATACATTTGGTCAGAAGTTTTGGTTTCGGATTAAAACAAATTTTCATTAGAAAGATTTCTTATTTTCATTTTGTTTTCATCATACGGGGATTTCCAGGAAAACATCGGTTTTTTATTTTTTAATTATTATAGGTATCGAGTACTTATATCTATTATCTATATAGTTCTAAACAAATTTCAAAAAAAAAATAATTTTAATAATTCAAAACAGTGATTTTTAGTATACGATTATTGATTTTTAAATTACTCGAAAATCGACTTGTATATTATACTTGTGGGTACACAAACTTATATATATTTGTATTTGATATACTGGTATACCGTTATATTGGCAGCGCGTATTATAAAATGGTAAATGACAGGTAAATTAAATTGTTCGACAAATAAGGATTTTGATTTTGAAAATCTTTAGTTTTATATATTTCAATTTGTATACAACAAATATATAATTTTATTGTGCTACAATTAAGTTTAAATATAATTTTTAGTGGTTAGAGTCAGCATGAACTTGGACGATATCGTATAGCGGTAGGTATATTGAGGGTATTGGAAAATCAGACTAGTGATTTTCCTAGTGATTATTCTCAAGAAAAAAAGAATATTTTACAAAATGTCAGATCTATATTAATTGTTAATTATTATAGTATATATAACAGTGGATGAATGATTTTCAGGTGAAAATAATGATACATTTACGAATTGACCCTTCATAATGATAATACATATTAGGTAAACATTTTTTTTTTAATTTATAGTTTTATCAGTGTATTTTAACTAATTAAAATGCTTCATTAATATAAATAATTTAAAAACCGATATCATTTTCAATTCATTATTACTGATTAACGATAAAATCTTTAGAAGTTCATCCGCCATTTCGTACGCCATTTCGTCGTACCCATTTTTTGGTTTAATTTTGCATATATTTAAATCGTAATTTTTGGAATTTTCAAGTGTAGTTAAAGTCGATATTTTAAAATACTTAGATTTTTTACAACATTTACGGACATTTCTGTGGTGATACCAACTTTAGTGTTTCAAATGATTTCCATCAACTCGTTGATGAAATATTTCACTTTTAAGTTTAGGTAAGGGAAGAGTAGTAAAGCGCCGTGTGCTGTATTGCCACAAAAATGATACACCACTACTCTCCACTTACCTAAACTTAAAAGTGGAATATCTCGTTAACGAGTTGACGGAAATCAAAAATGTTGACAACAAAATTTATTTAAAGTAATCCTCCGTCTATTTATTAAATTTTTAATATAGGTTCTCATAAAAAACCAACGTTGGTATCGCCACTTATGACATTCCTTAAATATTGTGAAAAATCTATGTATTCGAAAAAATTCGCTTTAACTACATTTAAAAATTACAAAAATCATAATTTGAATGCATGAAAAAATAACTAAAAAAATGTGGTGAGCACGTTTAGTGAATTATTCTGTATATAGTATAATTCATTTTTATATAATTTTCTGAAATTAAGAAGGAAAATCACTAGCACAATATTCTAACACCCTCATTATTTACCGTTATATTGATGGGGTAGTGTGGTTAAAAAATTGTCGAATTCAACAAATTGTACCCGTTTTTTTGTTCTTTGATAAGTATGATTACAGTTATATCATTATAATCATGACCTTAATATCATAATATGTCATTGCATAAAACAAAAAAAAAACCATTTAACGAATTTAAATGTCGACGCTTGTTTGTATTTTGTCTCGCTATTTATAAATCAAAAAGGAATTTCAAAATTATCCTTTATTAAGGTAGTCCAGCTGATATCCAATATTATGTTATTATTATATTAATCACCTATACAGAATTCAAAGTACGGCAAATGTATTCTTTATGAAGCCGACAAATCCCGCTCGCGTAATACTGTTTTAATTTGTACAGTTATATTATAACTCTACAATTAATAAAAGCCGTATAGAATATAGAGACTTAAAGCAATTAAATAGAACAATATTAGCGCATGATACCTTTTGGCCTTTGCCCTCTTTCGGGTTCTTGGGAATAACAATTATTGATATATTAATACATGTGCAAATTATTGAAATTGAGAAAATTAATATGTAGACGTAGGATTAAATCCGTTGTCTCCGATTATGTGTAAAGCGAAAAAGGTATACCATATCTAGTTATTAGAATAATTAAACCTTCAACAGTTTTCATTCAAAAAGTATACATAATACACACACATATGTACACTACGTACCATAACTACTCGCAGTTACAAAATAGTCTGTACTTATATACTAATTTATAGTACAGATTGAAAAATCAAAAACATTTTTTTTTATTTATTTAATTTAATTTCATGTACATATGAGTCCTGGGCCCCACAAAGAAGAGTCGTGTGGGAGCCCAAGAGTTTTAATATCTAATTACATACAAATAACACGTACATGATAAAAATTGAAACTCTAAAAAATATGATAAACTAAATTAACTAATTACTATTATACTAATATACTAATTATATTAAATTAAAGTAATATTATTATTATTATATAAATTCTTTATGAGATTCCAATCGCCATTGCACTATTGCAGAATGCCTTTTTTAAATAAATTAACTGGAAAGTTTATTATATATATAGATGGTATTTTGTCACATTATTTAGTACCAATTATTTTAAAATATCTACCAGATGAGGTTTTTTTTAAATATTTCAATGAAAAAATTATTCTTTGCGTATTATGTATTTGCTCCATGCGTTATTGGTTGTAATAAATTATGGCTTTTTAAATATAAAGCAGACATTTTCAAATATATTTTCTTAACAGGAAACCCATTTAGTTCTGTACACAAATTTTTGGTCGAGTACATTCGTTCTTTATTTAAGCAATAATGCCAATATTTTAATAATTTGATTTTGACGAGCTTAAAGCTGAGATGTAACATTACAAAAACCACCATTCCAGCCTATAATACCATAAGGGATTAATGATTCAATCTAATGCTAAAAAAACCTGACGTTGTTTTAGTAGTTCTAAAACTTTGTTTAAATTTCATATATAAGTTTACAGGGTTTTCGAAATTTCGTGTCATATTTAAAAATCAAAAATAGGTTGCTGATTCACCTCTAAAAATCAGGGTGAAAAAAATAAGGAAATTAAGTAACATTTTAAAATACATGATACACACAATATTTAATTATTTTAAAATTTAAGTGAAACAAACAATACGCAGCAAGAATGTATTGGTGTGCCTTTTTAATTTTTTGAATCTTTGAACAACCTTTCTACTAAAAATTTTGCTTTGATGATCAACTTCAAGTGTAATTTCTAGTAGCTGATTATGTCTCGTTGGTAAATTGGGAAAGTTGTTTTTTTAATTTCCTAGTAGCTAGTTTTCGGACTAACGAGAATGCATATAATCGTAGAGACCAGAAATTTTTACCAAATACAAATATAATTAGCTATCTTTAGACATGGTACAGTTTTTAAAACATTCTGATGTTCTTTAAGTTATTTATAGTCATTGGAAAATGTATAGTTTTTTACATTTTTCTTTGGTTGAATGTGTATTACTTTCCGTAATTAATAGGATACAAAAAGGTAAAAACATTGCAAATTTCTTACTTACTAGAATATCAAAAATTTAGGTCTGCTGACCTAGGAACGTTAATGAGCCTAAGCCGTTGGGTTGTTTAAATCCATTGCATAATAGCAGACAGACAGCTACAGGAGCGTAGGTATAGATTATTTATGAGAGGTGGGTGGAACTTCAATTATTTGTAATAGACTGAGATGAAAAAAAAAATTCCGTTAGCATTGGATCAGAAATTGAAAAAAAAAAAGGTTCAGTGAATATTACAGGGAATATTAGTTCAGTACATACAAATATATTAAATAATAAATGTTAACTTTTAACATTAAATGCGTGTTATTATTTTTAAATATTATTATTTGGTTTTTTAAAATAATTATAGAAGTAAATTTAATCTTTGTCTACGTTGTGCTAGTTTGTTGAAAATTTGTCCACTGTAGTAGTAAATTTATTTTTTAGACAAAGTGGCTGTACTTTGTGTTACGGCGCGTTTCGCAATGAAATACAATGTAGGTAAATTTTAATTCTATTTTGCTGCAGGTACTACTACGACAAAAACATTATGACGAAGGTGCACGGCAAGCGGTACGCGTACAAGTTCGACTTTCACGGTCTTATGACCGCGTGCCATCAGAGCCAACCGCAGATGCCGCCGCAGCCTCCGTCACAAGCGACCGTTGCCGGCCCGTCGTCCGCGGTGGGCCCCTCCTCGTCCACGCCACCGGACTTTGGCGGACTGTACGGTCAGCAACACGCGCCCGCGGCCAGCCCGTCGACCGCATCCATATTCCCGACCGCTCCGTCTTACTGGGCTACTTCGGCGACCGGCCTGTCCACTCTGTACCAACATCCCGGCGCCGGGCCCCGATATCCACCGTAATAGCGCAAACACGATAATAAACGACAATACCAGAAGCACGACGCGTTCATATACACATATATACATACAAGCATTTTGAAATAATAATTTAATACATATAAAATTTAAAAAAATAATTTTTTTTTTTTTTTTTTTGCCAATCGAACATTTAGATGATTTCTAATGGTTTTAATGACTTTTAATCATATACAATATATTTTATATTGGCTGTTTTATCTGCAGTTTATAATAATATATCGATTGGATATAGAAATAATATTGTAGTTATTCTAAAACTACTGAACAAGGACATTGCTTTTTTAGTTCTGGCTGCACCGACGGAATGGAGCGAAACAAAAAAAAAAAGGTCGTCAACATTAAAATATGTCGGATATTTCCATTTACAGTATTCGCAGGTTATACTTATACGATTTACTTCCGGCCGCCATATATTTAAGTACACAGAGCTCACGGTCGACGACACTGTTCCATATTTTATCGAAAATTTCATATAAACTAATAATTAACACTAAACAAATTCAACATCTTACTATTTGTGTAGCTTGTCACAACTCACACGGTGGATGATAGCTCGTTCAAATATTTCATTTTGCTTTTAGTGATCCGCTGTATTTCATATAGTTACCCGAATTCTTACTGTCTACATTACCTCGAGCATCTGTATCGGCCTCCGAGCGAAAATTTCTCAAAATTCATCCTAATCACTTGCTTGCGCCACTGTTTTAAAATTTATATAAGAATTCACCGTACTCGAAACAATCTAAACGACGATATAATGCAGGTCGTCCACAAGTTTATCTAGTTATCTAGTTTATTTATCTCCGCCTTTATTTTATGTAATAATAGGACGTAGGTAGCCTCCTCCATAGCTTTCATTCAAATTGAGTTCACCTATCTACTTGACGATATCTCATTGTTTAACCTTCTCCCGACACGACAACCACAATCCATACATACCATCGAAATCTATCTCTCTATCCTATTTTTCGTGTTATACAGATGTCCCTCAGTGATCTGAAAAATGCAATAACTTTTATTTTGCACAATATTTTGAAGTTTGTTTTTATTTTTGGTAGTAATTAGGGCCTTGCCCTATGGTTAATATAGTTTAGGTTCTGAAAGAATCGAAGAATTTATTGGTTTTATTATGGTTTTGCTTATTTTTTTTTTGCCGGTAAGCAACTTTTCTACCAGAAATCATGCTCCAATCAAAAAATGTATTGATACTTTCCTGTAGAATTTTTTATATAGTTGGTGCGTTGATAAGGTAATTTTTTTGATTTCTCATAGTTTTTCTTAGTAAATGGAAAAAACTGAATTTATTGTTCAATTTTTGTTGATTTTTGTATTACCTTAGCAACAAGGAAATGTATATGACTAATAATACTCTATTTAGAATCATTAGCAAGCGAACATCAATAAAATAAAATGTAGTTTGTTTATCACTGAGTACAGATATACATTAAATTGATCTATGTATCGTCTCTTCAAACTTCTTTCTAAAACTGTGGCATACCCAATAGCAGTATCAGCCTTTATTATACAGGGTGATCTAGATTGATCTCCCTTTATAAAAAGGTCTTATGCTAGATTGATCACTCCGTGTAGTATATTGGTTTAAACTAAATCCATGAAGATTAAAATTAACAAATTTGAGTGCCACTTCTAAATAATAATTAAAATATTACTAATAAATAATAACTTTGTACTAACTAGGGCTCAGGACTTATAGTACTTATAAAAGCGTTATAAAATGACTGTTTAAATTGTTTATTTTTTGTTTTATAAAACACAAAGCTACAGTAATTATTAAAACAAATATAATTTAATATACACAAAAAAAGTTATTGAATTTATCATATCTCTGTGGAATACTCTATATAATAAACCCAAAACTATTTGAATACCTCATCATACCTCTGATACATCAAATTTAATTCTATTCGTCCTTAGCTTTGTTATTAGTACATCACACATGTCCATTTTAACACTCTTATTGTTGCTACTCCCTGTTCTATTCCATCTACATGAATCCTATTGTATATATCACCACATCCTACACACCATTGCAGATGATCGTGGATTCATCAAATTTATAGATAGATTAACTTAACTTCGTTTTCATGAAATATATTATCCTCTCGTTAAAATACATCAAAGAATAAATTTAATTTATATAGAATGTTGTCTATAATATAGACAATACAACACTCTATAATATACACACCATGTGTGCATTGATTGCATTTAACACTTTTCCCCGCATAAGTACGTACCAGATGATTCACTTCAGTGGGTACACTCATTATCTAGGAATGTATTAACTTTTTTCGTAAGTTTTTTTTTCGATAATTTAAGAAATAAGAAGCTCAACAAATTTAACATCAACAATATTATTTGTCACCCTTATTTTTGGGGGTGAAATGACCACCTACTTTTAATTTTAAAATAACAACCTATATTAAACAATTCCAGAAATAGATGGAGTATTATTTTGAATACATTTTAGTGTTGACATTATTGATTTTAATTAACTTATTGACGAGATATTCTATTTTTAAGTTTAGGTAGCAGAAAATAGTGGAACATCATTTGTGCGACGTTTTAATAATTTATTTATGGAATTTATAATACCTGCAAGTTGTTTTAGAGCTACTTGTTTCTTAAATGTTCGATAAAACAGAGATAATGACATAATGTTCGAGATAATGAGTTTCTTATAAAATGTTGATAAATCTATATTATTATGTTCAGTATAAGTCTATCTTATACAAGTTCCTTTATGTTGACGGAACATACTATATTTTAATTTATACTATATAGTTTGTAATGATATTGTTAAGATTTAAGTGTATACTTATTAATATAAACCATTGATATTGTCGTGTTGTTTCATACATATATTGGATATTTTTATTTCTCTTTATTCAACACCAACACCGTGTACAGTGGTAGTGGCTGTACTAGTTCCTACTCATGTTAGTGTGACAAAATTGCTTTAAAGGGGCAGCGGCCCCACCTATCTATGTTTTATTTCACTTGTAAAATTGACTTCAGCGCCACTGACCAATAATAATACTTATATTATTATTAGATTATCAAGAACTCTACAATCATCGCTATTGGCTGGAATATTTCTTTGCCTATAAATATATGTAAATTAAATCAAACTTGTCGCGTTGTAAATACGGACATTGGTCATCGCTGAAAATTTTCGACGATAATTACTGCACTAAATATTGACTGATTGATTAGAGTACGCTAGCACGGTCTTGTACCTATACAGGTCTGGCATCTAGTCTATACCACAATGTCTGATTATCTTTAATTCATCTGTACTTAAGTGGCATTTAAGATGGCTTTATTAATGAGTTGGTTGATGAGATAAACCGGACTAGCTGTAGTTGTTATCAAAGAATAATGATGCTCCACTGATGCCATCACATATGAATCAAGGAAATTGTAACATTACTTATTGGTGAATCATCAGATAACCACCAGCGCCATCTATTATCATAATATTCATAGTATATGTATTACAACTAAAGTATGTATATTTACCGACTATGGACTGTTATGAAATAGTATATGAAGGGTACAGGAAAAAAAACCAGAAGTCACACTTTTTTTCAATCTAAGAAAAACATGTTTTTAATTTCATAACGTAACATTTTTTTTTAAGTTAAAATTTCGGATTAAATTAAATGTTAAACTTTGAAATATAGTTATTACAACACAATAATACCATACCATATTATTAACCATAGAAAAACAATGTATTAACCCAACACTTGTCTAATTCTCTCCCAATATCAGTTGACCTACCTGTTTTTTTCCTATGGGCCTAAACTTGTGACGCTCATTACTTTTGACTAATCTGATTTTTTCATTAGCTATATTATATTATTTAGGTGATAAAAATAGTTACTAAGTGTACACAGATAAAAGAACCTATTTTGTTTAGTAACTTATGTTAAAATTATTAAACAATTTAGATTTTTTAACAGTTACTTGTATGAGGTACATTTTATAATTAAATCTATCTGTAATTCAACATAATATGTTTACATTTACGTAAATTATATCATACTGATATTATTTTTCTATTACTATTAGAATACTTTTAAGTATTTTTGAAGAAGTAATGACTGAAGAATTTATTATCTATCTGGCTTCAACGATATTGTTGATGTTACATATCTAATATTTGATATAACTAATCATCACAAATAATTTGTGTTTTTGCTAAAAACGTCGAATAAAAAAAATCCCTACGTAAAGAGAAAACGCTTTTTAAATTCTAAGTGGAGTGAAGATTTTACAAAGATGTATATGTTTATTTTTTTTTCTGTGGATAACTTTTCTACCAGAAATCTTGCTTCGATTTCTTGGTGTAGTACCTATTCTGAAAGGAAATCGGTATGGGAAGGTTCTTTGAAGAGGTCACTTTTTAATTTTCCTAGGAGTTTTCTCAACAAATGTGAAAAACCGAAAGAAAAACGGAAAAAATGGTAGGAAAATCGGGAAAATCAGTACATTAAACAAATATTATTAAAGAAAATATATAATGCTTTGTTGACAAAGCATCACTTTCAACTGAACTCCGCTCAGAATCATTCTTTCGTTAGCAATGGTTTAGGTTTATCGTTCCTTAGAGATATACATTAAATTCCCGTCTGTATCCTACCTTCCCAACTTCCCACCTACAACAGTGGCTGTACCCACATGCGAAGGATGTCTGTCATTTTATTTTTATGTCCGTTTGAAGCTCAGATTTTTATGAAAATCGATCAATCGTAAAGTTATACAATTTTATATGGATATTATTTGAGGTACCTTACCTCGCTGAAAACACTTATTGGTTACACTATTATTACTAAAATGCGCCAAAGTAACAAAACTTGTAGGTATGCTTACTGATTAATACTATTTATTTATTTGAACGATAATAAATATCGCAAAACCACGCGCTGGCTAATAATATTGGCAATAATATTAATTTTGTTTATTGTGTGCGTATTTAATCGAATTGTAGAGTAAATTGTGTTTCTTAAATTTGTTTTATTCGTTATCGTTTTTACATTTTTAATTTTCTGAATTGTTTTATAATCATTCCTTTAAACTTTTTGATAGTTCATTTTTGAAGTTTTTTTCATTGTAATAATTAAAGGGGTTTTATTTCTATATTTTTGTAAATCTTTTTTTTCCTTTATGGTTTTTTCCTGGTTCATTTGCACGCGAACTTTTCGATCTAAGACTGCTGGTAGCTGTGGATGACTTCAAGGAGCGAGGACCGGGATTCGGTGATCGTATTATATTGCACGGATTTAAGCCATTTAAGGTAAGGTTAGGTTAAGCGACACAGTGGATTAGGCCTACTCGGGGACACCACTATAAAAAAAACGCGCCTCGTGCAAAACCTCATACGCTTTTCGAATAACGTTAAATACTCGTAATAATATTTCATTGGCGTTTATCGATAGCCAAGGTGGTGCGGAATATTGCACACGGGTCTTATCTGTATTTTTATTGTAATCATTTGACAAGATTTGATATTTTATGCATTGCATATTTTCTTTAATAATTTTTGTTTAATATTGAACCGATTTTCCCGTTTTTCTTACGTTTATTCCGGTTCACCGATGTTTTTTCCCATTTTTTCACATTTGATAAGAAAACTCCTGAGAAAATCGAAAAATGACCTTCTTATAGTACTTACCCAGTCTGATTTTAATTACAATTTTACATTAAATTACCTATAACAGTGGCTAAACTCGTTTCCATTATCCTATAAAAACTTTTTTCACATTATTTTTCAATTTTCAGCGTTTTTGAACTGGGGGTGCTAAATTAAAGTCTGAAGGTGCTTCAGCACCTTCAAGCACTCCCTAGATGCGCCTATGCCTGGTCCATAACCTGAATACAGAAAGCAACCCACTGTCTTCGGAGATAGTAAACTATATTGTTAGTAGGCCACTGTGTACAATTATTTTTATTAGAAATAAGTTCTCACTACTGAATATTTCGTGTTACCTTTTTGAACTTTAAAACGACCAATGATGAGGAAGTCTAAAGTCTCCTTAGCCTCCTCCCACTGACTTATTATAAAGGTAAGTGTCTACTCATCTACTTGTAATCTCGAAAATGTTCTCTACTTTAAAACGTGGGTTTAAAGTGTTCAGTGACTTATATACCTACCGTGGTATTTTATTGTATTTCCTGTTATTATACAGATAAACTACAAAGTCATCAGTATAAAAAAATCCATCATAAATAAGAACAATAATGTATATTTTCTCCGAACATTATTATTGTTGTATTTGAACCGCCAAATTTTAAACTACGAGTAAAACATAAAACACATTGGAGATTATGATACGATTGTCGCATAGATAGCGCAGTATGTATGGAAGTCTAACAAATAACTCAACCGAAATAATAATAGGTATCTATTATGTATTTTTTCTAATTTAAATTTTATTACCTACATTGATTATAATTCATAATAGATAGCAAATAGTTTAAAATTAAAATTTTAATTTATAAAATACTGTTCAATTTTCTTAAAAATAATTTTAGAAAGACAAAATAATAATATTAATGTATGCCATACCAATAAATAAAATAAAAGTAAATATTAATATAAATGATTGACAACAATGGGATCGCCGAAGACAGGTCTGATCAAGATTGGACCATATTTTTGGGGTGGTGGTAGTAATGATGGTTTATGGATTTATAATTTTTTTCATATGTATACATATTATTTAAAGTTCTTATAAGTTATAGGTAATAGAAATGTTACTTTGACTTGTTACCAAATACTTAATATATTTAATATACTTTCTTGTATTAGTCTTATTCTGATGTAATATAATGAAATATAATAAAATTCTGAAATGTATGAGTTATACAACTTTATTAAATAGAATTATAAAGCGGACTGCTCATTACGCGAGTTGCCAATCAGACAGTTTACAATGTATCTACACGCACGATGGGTGGTCTACTGTTGTAGGTAAAAAGTTGAGAAGATATAGTCTAGACCTCATTTACGTACATTATATGAAAATTACAGGTTTCTACGATTACTTGTAACCTAAATAAAACAAATAAAACAAACCGACATACTTTGCACGGTGGGTGGGCCACTGCTATAGGTGAAAAGTTGGAAAGGTAGAGGGGAAACGTAATGTATATATATATAACTACACAAAGAATAACCATTGCTAACAAAAAACGATTCTGAGTGGAGTTCAGTTGTACATCTTTTGAAAGTCCGTAGTATTTGCAATTTGAAAATAATACATTTCTTAAATTTCCACGTTTGTTCTAAATTTTTTCCGGTTTTCCCACTTATTATGAAAATCTATGGAAACGTCAAAAAATGACTTTTTTAAAATACCATCCTGTCAAATTTTTTCAGAAAATGTACTACACTTGAAAGTCTGAGCAAAATTCCTGGTAGAAAAATTGTGAAGGAACGAAGGGGGCAATATAGGCCGTGTTTCTTATACGATTTTCTATTTTTCATGCATTTTCTAATATTTATAATTCTTTGATCTTATTATTATATTAAATCATATTACATGCATTATTTATATATATATATACATATAATCATACAGAAAATAAATTATATTTATTTTGTTATAATTGTAGGTATATGCCTTAAACATAGGTGAAGATTTAATACGTTTCGGAGGAGGGGGGCAAGTAGAATAGCTCAAATATACACGGTTTTTTAAAAGTCGTCATCCGACGACTGATTACGAACAGATATAGCCCAGCAATCGTTGATCGCAGGTTAACGATCCATATACTAGTGGAAAGATAAGATAGTCAACTTTCTTTCTAGTTTATTTTATGTTGCTGATAAATTCTGTAATGATTAGTGAACTTCCGTCAGTTAGTTTTGATGTGGCGATGATTAGAGTATTGGACAATGATCTGGCGATTCATCCTTGGCTATCAAGTTCCCCCTGAACGCCCAGTGTGTGATTTATTTTTATGGGCCTATGTAAAAGATAAAGCTTATGTACCACCATTACATACAGACTTTGAAGAGCTCAAAACCAGGATTATAGAAACTGTGAATGCCGTGACACAAGATTTGATCAGCAACGTTTGGGGGGAATTTGAATACCATATAGATGTATGTCGGGTAGCTGTGAACATTTTTTAAGTTGTAAATAAACTTAATAAAACTTGATTACTTTATGAATATTTTTTACTTCATTCTACCCTTATAACTTCATTTTTAAAATTAATATCCATTTTTGAATTTCAGATGAAGTCATTTGAAACGCCCTGTATATTATATTAAGACTGGTTTGTTTTATACAATACAAATTTTAAGCCTCCTAGTCCTTCAATCTTTGTCTATGGCTCTCTTATAATAGTACTACCCCTCCCCTCCGTGAGAATTACTCGAAGACGAGCCTCATTTATTTTCAATCAGCCAGATAAAGCCCGTCCAAAGGTTGATTAGATAAATTCAGATAACTGCTAATTTATTTGGATCAACTACAAAATTAAGTCGATAAGTGTAAATTTCTGTGTACATAATATTTACCTATTATATCTATTCGGTATATTAATTATTAAATATTATATTACTAATAAATTGTGGTATGACTTTCGGTTCAATAACCTTATTATAATATTATGTCCGATATTTGTTTACAATATGATAAAACGCGCAGTAGATTATGAGAAAATCTATACGAACATTTTATCCTATACTCGTGTTTCACTTAATCGCTTGTTTACAATCATTATTATTACATATCATAATCGTTTTTTTAACCATAGTATACAGTATAGGAATAATACGTTCCATATATTATAATGGTAATCATTTATTATTATTTTAACGCGAACCGGTCGATATAAACATACAAGAATGATGGAAAACAATTACTGATTCACTGACTTTTCCATTTTTTTTTTCAAAATATTTTTCCCTAATTTACCAGAGTAAACAAATAATTTATAAGAAAATTATGTTATTTTTGTTTGTTTTTAGATTCTGAGCGGACGAGGAATGTATTGGTTTTACACCAATGTGGTTTATTTATTTTTTTTTTTTTTATCTGTGAAAAACTTGCCTACTACCAATTTTGTTCCAAATTTAAATTATAACACTTTTTCTGAAAGGAAGTCCGGCTGTGGTGGTACTTTATAGAAGTTATTTTTTAATTTTCCCAATAAATGGGAAAAACGTAGGAAAAATGGGAAAATAAGTACAATATTAAACAAATATTATTAAAGAAAATAATATATAATAATCATTTAACCATAATATGACATGCTTATTGATGACAAACCCACGCTATTACCGAACTCCGCTCAGAATCGTTTTTCTTTAGCAATGGTTAATCATTGCGTATAGATTTAATTTCCTCTCTACTTTCCCAATTTCTCACGTACAACAACGTACCTATCCATCATGCGAAGTATGTCTGTATCTTTTTAAATTTTAATACTGCTTTGTAAAATGAATAAATGAAAAACTAAAATTCAAAAAAGCGTTAAAAATGTATGATTTTAAGTAGAAAAAGGTAATATACTGAACGGTGAGTTAGCTTTTTAGTAAAACTAATATCGTTTATAAATGACAAAAAAAAATTAAAAATGTAGATTAAGGCTGTCATTTATTTGAGACTAAAAATCGGGACATTCAATGTTAAAGAACACGTGCACTCCCCCCCCCTACGAAATCTACTTTAATTGATTATTTAAATTATTTTAACGTGTTTTGTCAATCTAAAATTAGTAAATTATAATGTAAATCATTAGCGCCTCCCGCTCGATTTGTTTGCTGGCTATGGTACTAGTATAGGTATGCCCTCTCTCACTATCAAATCAATTTTTATACGGATTATACTTATTTTGATCATCCAAATTCTTTGTGTACAGTATTCATGTTTGAGAAAACAAAAACCTTCCTTTTTCTCCTAAACAAACTAAAAAAGAGAACTAAAATAACTATTAAATAATAAATAGTTTTGTTGTTTCATGTCACGGCCACGGTTAATAAAACACGATTAGATTAGGTTCGACGACTAGAGATAAAGTGAACGTCAAATTACCTGGTTGAAAAAGTTTATAAGTATAACAAAATATCCAATAGCTAAAAATGAGTTCTCTAATAAAATTTAAATATTTAAAATAAATTGTATACATTTTTGTAAAAATTGAAATTTTTGAAGACACGGGACTTATTTTAGGAATCCGGTATTATTTATTATTCCGGCCGGGACTTAATGAATATCGGGACAGCATGTTTAAAACTTTCAGTAGTGTCCAGACTAAATCGGAACGAATTACAGCCTTAAGACTGGTACTTTACCAAATTTATTGGTAGCTTTAAGAATTTTGGTGATATTTCCAATTTCTATTGCAATCTGCGTGAGAAAAGTTTTAGAAAGCTTAAGTTCATAAAAACATACTTATGATCACGAAAAATTAATAAGTTCAAAGAACTCCTTAATAATTTAATGTAATCAGCATTGAAAACTATTTTGTTTTGAGATTAAAAAAAAACGAAGCAATCCGCAATCTTTTTGTGATCTTTACGTTTTATGTAGTTGTATGTGGGTATAATTGTTTTAGTTAAGCAGAAATGCTTAGAAATGTAAAACGAAGTTCATTTTAAGTTTTAGTTAATGATAGTAGTCTTCATCAAACCAATGAACACATTCTACGTGACCATTGCGTAGTGGAAATGCCGTATTGGGCTCTGGAACTAGGGTCGCACCGCCCCCTATTGAAATCTTTTGTTTTGTCGGTTATTTCAATGTATTTTAAAATTTTGAAAAAGTAGGTTGATAATATTAAAAATTATTATTACTTCCTCAGAACTTTTTCATTTATACATTCATTATATACCATTATTCATACATTTTCCATGACCTACATTTGCTAATATTTGTATTATGTACAGAGTGTCTCATAGTGTTTTTACAATGCTAATACCTTTGTCAATATTTCTTTTTAATTTATTCAATTAGATTTTAAGTCAGAGAGACAGAACCGGATTTGTGAGGCCACCTACCGAGAAATCTCAGTGGGCCGCTTAAAATGTAACCCGGTAGTATGAGTGTGGGCTAAAATAAATTCATGATTAAAATACAATTAACTATCTTTATGCTCATAAAAATTTAGCGTCCCAGCGTTCTCTTAATCAGCAATCAGCACCATATTTAGGATATATTGGCTCTTAGGCTAGCCTCTTGTGCGGGCCCTATCATTAAAACTGTAAATTCCAAATTATATCAGTTCAAATTATTAAAGTTTTAAAAATCCTCAATATTTCAAAAAAAAAAAGTTTATTCAAAATGATAGTATTCAAAGTTTCACCACGCGCCTTAATAAACCAATCAACATATTAATATTTATATATTTATACATACTTTTTATAATTATATGTATATTATTTATATATAAACGAGTGTGAAGTTAAGGGACCAGATTCAGGAGAATCTTCTAATAAAAAAATAGTATCATGGTGTCGTGTGAGTTGCATTGTCTATATCACACAAATTAAAGGAGTAAAGTTGTGCAAACCGAGAGGCAAGAGCAACTGATTTACGACGGGTAACACACAACGGGTGGCTCAGAGTTTTAGATTTTTTACCGTACATAAATCAAATTATTATACTTTTGTTATTTTATGAAGGTTACTTCGGTAACAGATGAAAAAAACAGTAAATATTAACTAATTTGGGTGTCGCAAACAAGGAAGTACAACAGGCATAACTAAAATAAACACGTTGTCAAGCAGAACAGCTAATAAATAATAATACGTTTAGGTTATAGGTGTATATTCTATATAAGTATGTACAATAATTTGTACTTTTAGGTAGGTATATGCATTATATTTTTATTTGTTTTTCACTTTAAACAAGTAGGTATACGCATATTGTACGGTTGTCAGAAAAATGAGAAAACGCTCCAAACAAGTAGCGTTATTTGGTTGATGGGGTTTATCACGTCGACAATTTAAAAGTCCGGGCGGCGGCGGGTCGGTCGTTTGAAAGATCGATATGGTGGTGCATAATTAAATTAACATGAAATTTAGTCACAGACTAACGAAACTCAGTAAATAATAACTATTGTGTACGTACCTCGTATTATTATTATGAACTTTGTTGCGTTGTAGGTACTTATAATATGTGTCGTGAAAATTGATAAAAACAAAAAGTTCACTTTCCAACGTGAAATATAATTTATTGTAAAAACCGAAAATTACTCAAACAAAATATGTCCGGGAATTTTCAATAGGAAGACATACGTAGCAAATAATAATTACGAATAATTTCCAACTCGACCATAGCAATTTAAAAGCCGAATCCTAAAAATACAGTTTTTATTCAATAAATCAAGTTTTTCTTTGTACTCGATTTAGTTTAAAAATATACATTTCAAGATTAAATTATTAAATAAATATTCATAGTTGTTGTATATTTAAGCTAATGGGGTGGGGTGTAACTCCCTGTGCACTCCACTGATCACTTACCTTGTTTAAAAGGAGCAAACGCTCGGCCGACGAGACCCATTGTCTCGACCGAGTACTTGACCAATCTAAACACAATATACAGTCAAAAACGTATTTGGAAGGGGGAGGGTGGCAATTGCCACGAACATCGTATTTCAAGAAGAGGTCACAAGACGGAATTATTTTTTTCCTTTACTTATCCCTAAAATTAATGTCGTGAACGGGCACTAAAGCACTGCAGTGCCCTGGGGCGCCAATGGTGTAAATATGTTTCTGAGTACAATACTCAGACTCCAGTGATCGGACGAGTAAAATTGGCGAGCGAGTGAATAGAATCTGTTACCATTCGCTGGGTTGAGTGGCTACTCCACTACAAAGATATACGGTTCTCGGAGTTTTTATTGTCGAGTGGCGATTTGTGAATTCGATACTGCAGTGTTAACATGTAATCGGCCTAGTGAATAAAATACGAGTAAACGCTGAGTAGATCAATATTGGGTTACTCGTTCTACCACTCGGACGAGCGGTCGTTTAGCTATGCTATCGAGTTTAACTATGCATAAGCAATATAATATTATTACGGCGTTATTGAATAGACTTGAAACACACATTTGCAGCTCGGTGAGCATCGAATGTCTGGCCATCAAAATCTGGGGGTGGGATAGGTGGTTTTGGGAATTCAAAATATTTTCTTGCGCTTTTTCTCCCTCAAACACTTCGTAGTTTTGTAATATTATTTATTTATAATTGTATATTAGCTATACTACTTGTAATTGGGTATCTACCTATTATCAGCGCTCAAATTTGAGGGAACGCAGGACGAAAACACGGAGTAGTTCAACTCATTATCCAGAAATTTAAGTGTACCCCTACTATTTGTTTGAAATGCAACACATGGGACGCAATGCAAAATACAAGGGAGGGGGAGCACTAGGATGATCCTGGGATCGAGTTTTTTTTACGTAATTCTTATACTCTACAATTGTTTTTTTTTTCAAACATACGAAACTTAATTGTGTTTATTTTTAATAAATCTCTCCTTCCTTAATCAACCCCAGGATCCACCATCGATGAGAATTCACATTTTTTTACATTTTTATCAAAATGCATTATTAAAAAAAATTTTAATTTAAAATTACAAAAAAAAAAAATACAACATTACGTTGAATTTTTTTTCCCACTTATAAAAATTACCAAATTTTAATCACATAAACCAAATAAAATCCTTAAAAAACTCGACAGTTGCTGATGGCTATAACTGAAAATTGTTAAAATAGTTTGAAAATTGTACCATGTATATTGTCTATAGTGACCTATATAAATATTAAGTGAAATGTCCAGCCTCTACAATTATTTTTCACTGAATAAAAAAAAATAGAATAAAAAGTAGAATAAAAACCTCTACTGTGTAAATATTAAAAGTTAACAATTAAAAGTTTCCCCTTCATTTTTTTAAGATTTTCTCCGTAGTTAAGAACACTATAAAGAAAATTAAAAATAACCTTCGCATTGCACCAACGAGACAACAATATTTACTAGACCGTCTTAAACTAATGATCGGACTACTATCGGAGCAAGATTTTTGGTAGAAAAGTTATTCACATACAGAAAAAGAAAAAGAAAAATGTGGTATCTATCATAGTAGACAGCGGTAATCATCATAATAGAATCTAAAATAAATATTATCTATTATGTAAGCAAAACGTTAGCCTAAAGTAGGTAGTGTTATATGAATTATGTTTAAAAATTGGTGTGGGGAGGGTATGAAGGGCAAGACTTCCTGGTTAGGTTAAATTCAATAATTGCAAGGGAAGTTAATTTATTTTAAGTCTTATAGTCCCTTTCATTTTATTTTTTCAATTCGAACACTGCCCAGTACTAAATTTATTTGACTATAATATAAATACCTATGCGAGAAGAGATTAATTAGGTATATATAGGCAGCCTACCTACATTTATTCAGTTTTAATTAGGTATAGGTTAGATTAGGTTATACATGTATAATAACTTTTGTAACCAACCCCCATAATATTCTGGAAACGTTCTAACATCACAGCAGTAACTATACAAAACATATTGTTATAAATGTATAATGATAACGGATATTAAGTCTCAATCATATATAGGACGTTCGGTTAAGGTTTTACGTTCAACATTATACATTACCTACTGGTCTTTGATTGGTCGTTTTTTTTTTGAAACCGAAATAGTTTTGGATCGAAAACCAAAACTTATTTCAACTTATTTAAACTTACAAAACTTATTTCTCCCGTATAATATAAATTTGCAAATTTGTATGGTCGTAATTGGGAGAGTTGAGGTACAATATCCCCTTTCTCTCGAATATTTTCTTAAGTATTATTTATTATTTTATAGATAAACACTATGATTTTGTGTTTAACAAAAATAATAGATGATTTAATTTAATCCCCTTCTACCCAAAAATTTGGTTCAGTCTTTAGTGCAGCTTACGTAGCGTTCTAATTATCGCAGTGATATTTATAACCTATTATTAACCTATACTAATTTTCGTTGAAAACCAAGAATAACCAAATCAATGATAACTAATGATATCAATGAAAACACGGGAATTTCTTTTTCAAAATTTTTTCATCATGTTGAAGCAGTGACGTTTCTTGGGGGACAATATGAAAATTTACTAAAAATATCAAGACAAAATCATAATATACTTATAGACTAGTTTATAGGTAGGCACTGTATCATACAATTTGATTAACAATAAACGAAGGAATATTGATAATGTTTGATGAATCATTCTTGATATTTTGCATTTTGTTTTGGGTGTAATATGTTATTACACAAAAGAAAAAAAAATCAGGGTTCTAGAACTCTTTAGGAGGTAATGTAAAACCCATATCATCCCTCTTGAGATCACCACTGTGTATTATAGAATAACGATGTAATACGAAATTGTGTAAATTGCAGACCCTGGTCACGAGATTATAATATGTGACCAATAAGTACGTAGGTACAATGGTACATATAAGGGGGAGCCAGGGGGTTCTTAGCATCCCTAAATCTAAAATTAGTACCTATAGATTTTGAGCCGAATAAAATAAATAGGTATAATACTCAAATAGTATTCAGATATGAGATACTTGAGTAATTAATATTTTATTATATTATTGTGTATTGATTTATATTATATATAATATGTTAATAATTAATATTATATAGTACCTATTTATGTTATATTATTATATAAGTTTATGTTAATTGTTTTCATATTGTTAAGGAGGTGCCTATCGGCCCTTGTTGGTTTATTTATTAAGCAATGAAAGATTCATTATTAAAAATCGGGTCTTTTTATTTAAGATCTTTTTTCTTTTGTTTATTCAATGTGCAAGTAATATATAATTTCATTCTGAAATGTCAAATTGATTGGGGGTGTGGGGAGCACCCCCCCCCGTGATACTCTATCGTATATAATTTTAGCACTCCCAAGTTTTTGACTGAATGTGCGCCAATGCCGTAGGTAACATTTACAGTTTTATATATATATATATATAAAGAAAAAATCAACCCCGGATCTTGCTGCATTCTGCCGACTGATGGACCAATTGTTTCGGGTTCATATCGACCTGCACACAGTGGGAACGGGAGGTCAGATTGTCGGAAAGGTAGTAAATTTCAAGACGCAATAAAAATATTATTATTTTCTCATGTTACGACGCAAAAGCAGCGCCACCCACCACCGGCGGCTAAAAGCACCCGATCTCGAGGGGGTACGCGGGCGAACGACCATATTGGCCACCTGCCGATATTGACAAATTATTGTGCGCAGTGCGCGTCGGATGAGATGCGTTGCCAACGTGACGTGGTCGTGGCGCGCGGCGGCAAAGTTTTCGCGGGAAAAATCCCCACGGCATTGTCGTTCCTGTGCGGAATGTCGGCGGCGGCAGCGAAGATGCACGCTAACGCGCAACCGCGTCCGTTAGAGCGACGGTGCAGGGGTTGGTAGCACTGTAGTTTACCGGAAAGACGCTGGGCCCGGGCTCTGCTGTTCGCAATCGCTGCACCATATCGTGCACCGCGGCTGCTGCTCTTCCAGTGTGCTGGACGCATCGCTACTCCGTTGAATACTATTGTGTAGAAAGAGCGGAAGAGGTAAATAAATCGTATTTTGTTTTTAGTGTATTAATTAGTAGCTACATTTCTAACTTGGTATCGTTTCAGGTACCCCGTGCCGTGATTAGCCCAACATCAGAAGCATTTCGTGTTTTGACTGTCAGTACACGCCGTACCGGTGGCTATTGATAACTACGAATTCGTGCAGTTATCCCGCCGCCTATGATCGTAGCGTTTACTTAGATGATCAGTGAACACGATTTTGGTCATAATAGTGTTGTAAGTGACCCGCCAGACTGATTTTATATTCTTAAGAAATAACAATTGCTTCTCCTGTTGATTAGACGCTCAGGTCCATTCCCAGGCTTGTTCTCCGTTAGAAGTACCTCGGTACGTATTTATATACTTTTTTTGGCCGTTGTCTACGGCACCGGATTTATCCATAGATGGTTGAGATGAAGCTCATCGATAACGTGGTACGCAGTTTCAAAGTGGCCAAGGTTTTTCGTGAGAACACTGACAAGATCAACAGTTTTGATTTCTCGCCGGCCGGAGATTATATAATATCGTGCAGTGAAGATGACCAGATCGTCATATACGACACCCAGAAGGGTGAGCTGTCCAAGACCATCAATAGCAAAAAGTACGGTGTAGATCTCATACATTTCGCGCACACTAAGTCAACGGCTATACACAGTTCGACCAAAGTGGACGATACAATTAGGTAGGTATCGTACTTTCATAGACAAATTTATTGGTGGATGGGTTAGGTGTTACATATTTTTCTTCTTGAGTTCTAAACTCATTTCAATTTTGACAGAAACTACATATTTGTTAGGTAATTGAATGTATTGTCAGGTTATATAAGTACCTATGTCAACAAATTAATATTTCAAACGATACATATCTTGGGCTGTGTATGTCATATCTCATTCAAGTTAAAATTACTTCCTTTTAAGCCGGGTTTACATGGAGTCATAAACTGGTCGAGAATACTACTTGTTCTGCCCATGTCTCACGACTGCTTGATTTTCACGATCAATAATATATGACCTCCAGTTCACACGAATTAGTGTCTGAAAGGCGTCGTGACCAGAAATGAACCGCCGCTGACATCTAGTTGTTCATTGTACGTTTTTTATTTATTTGTGAATACCAAAACCATTGATATTCATTTCATCGCATATTTTTTTTTAAGGCTCCATCTCTTGCATCTCTGTCTTTATACACTTCAGAATTTATTTTCCACAAACATTCCGCATCGCGATACAATTCAACAAATCAAATTTTTTGTTTTGTATTCATTTTGTACGCTGAAGTAGGAAATGTTATTAATTATTATTATATAAAAATAAAATGTAAAAATTTTATTACTTCACTCGGACAAATATCGAAACAAATATGTGTATATATGCTAGAAACTTCACATTCGGTGGGTGTTTCATGACTAAACCAGTCGTGTTTATTCCAACATGCCGGAGTAATCATGATCGATCTATTTATGGTCGCTGATGACTCTCACTACCACTACTACCAGTTCACACCAGGTAGTGATCACGACTAACTCTTCTAACAGTAGTATTCTCGCCCAGTTTACGACTCTGTGTGAATCCGGCTTAGTATATTTTTTTTATAGAAATTATTTAATTTTTATTCGTGTTCACTTCATAAAAATATAATGAATTCTAACTGATTTAATTCATAGTATGTGATAGTATAATACATTATTTTCACTATTTTTAAACCATTTTATTTACTGAGCATGGCATCTAGTGTAAGCGGAGGAATGAATGCCAATTTTAGATGACCCTTATACCAAGAATCCCTTAGAAAAATATATTATACTACCCACTGAAGAACTAACCCTTTTAATAACCAAAGTTAGACAAGTTGACCAATTTTTAAAACTAATTTTCTGATTTTCTTTTTAAGTTGTCTTAAAAAAAATAACCCAAGTTTATTTTAAAATATTAGTGAATTTAAGTAGCAAATTTTAGGAAAAATAATAACTTAAGTGAAGTTTAATGTTAGAAGTTATTTTTTTTAAATAATCCTTTACTACACTCATAGACATATTTTGTTCTCTAATAAGTATGTCTGTATAGGTTTATCCACTCCTGTAGGTATCTTGTTGGTCCCATGCCCTTACCATATTTGTTGAAAATAATTGCCACCATTTGTCACCACTTTTTAGAAATACCTAACTTACATTTTTAGCATTCTATTATTTTAGATTCTGAGTGTAGTGAAGAATGTATTGGTTTTTCTAAGATTTTTTTTTTTTATATATACATCTATATATAAAAATTCATTTGTATATCATTTGTATATATATATCCTGTGTATAAAAATTCAACCATAAATCTTGCTCAGATACATACACGCGACAGCATTTCTGAAAGAGAATGTTGTCCAGATGGTACTTTTGGGAGGTCATTTTTTGATTTTCCAAGCGGTTTTCATAAAATATGGGAAAAACCAGGATAAAAACGTAAGAAAACCAGGAAATGTACAAAATTAATGCTTTTATTATTTTATTAATTTTTTTGTTTGTTGTAATTCAGTTAAAAATATTCATAGAAACTTGAAATTTGGGCAGAAAACTTATATGTGCCTTTTCTAGATGTGGTAAAATTTTCAAAACATTTGAGCTATTTATAGATATTTTAATATAGCGAGTTTTATACGTAATTTTTATTTGATAGGTACTTTATGGTTAAATTGTTAGACTTAAGAGAAATGCTTGAAAATTTAACAGAAGGTTCATTAAATCTTTGTAGTGAAAAAAAAAATTGAGTTTAATGTAGTATTTATTTTTATAAAGGAATTTTGATATTACATTTTGACAAAAATTGTTTTAGTAAAAATTATGTAGAATTTAATTTTTCTATTTTTTTTTTCTTGAACATATGTGTATTTTTTGATTCAAAAAGGATGGTAAAGTCGGAATTGAGCAAACTGATTGAAGTTTCGAAATTATAGCTTTTTGAAGTTCAGATATTATGTAGATGTTACATGTTTATGTTAAATAACTCGGCTGTTGTAGTCAAATGGTCATGAATACATATCATCATACAAGGGGTCGCGGGTTCAAACCCAGGGTTTGAAAAGAAATGGTTTTTTTTTTTACCTTTTACCTAATTAGGAAAAAAATGCATTTCAAGTGTACCTAGAGATCTATTTATCTTTCGTTTGGATGATTTTAATTGAAAAATACCCCTCGATTTGTTGTGCAAACTTTCTACTAAAAATCTTGTTCCCATGTATCAGGTGTAGCTTATTTTCTGAAAGGAAATTTTATCCCTGTGGTTTAGTGAGGTTATTTTTATGATTTTTCACTCAGTTTTCGTAACTGTTAAAAGCGGGATAAAACGTCAGAAAAACAAAAATGTAGACATTAGTAGTAAAAAAAATATGCCCTTTTTTTTCTGTGAACAACTTTTCTACCAGCAATTTTGCTCCAATTTACAATGATAATGCTTTTTCTGAAAGTAAATATTACCGGGAAGGTACTTTAGGGAGGTAATTTTTTGATTTTGCCAATAGTTTTCTTAGAAAATGTGATAATCGGGAGAAAAACGCAGGAAAATTGATACAATATCAAACAAATATTAATAAAGAAAATATATAATGCCTTTTTAATTATATTATGATATAAATATTGTTGACAAAGCATCACTATCAACTGAACCGTGCTCAGAATTGTTTTTTTCGTTAGCAATGGTTTATTATTACTAACAGATATACATTAAATTACTTATAACAACGGCTGCACCTGTCTTCATTATCCTAGGACGTCTTTTTTAAATTATTTACCTAATGCTCAGCTTGTAATAAAATTGATTATATTAAACACCATTAAGACCCTCGTATCACCATTTGTTACTATACTGATAGCTGTGCAATCAATATTTTCAAATACACATAGATACCTAATACCTAGATACATTAATAACTAATAATTCAAAGTATTTTAATAGATTAAAATGCTAATCATGTATTTATTATCTATAAGTCCGTGGGACATACTAATTTGCTAAATAGTTGGATAAAATTTTGAAGTTATACTCGTTTGATCGAGATAAAATTCACATTAGACCTTCAGAATACTATAAGATTAATAAAATAATTAAAAAACACTGGTTTTTGTCAGTTTAGAAGCGAATTAGCAAAATTATTGTTAATAATGTACATAATCTATTATAGCTGTTTAACTATAAATCAGTACAATTTGCATAAATTGCATATATTCTGGCTGGAAAACTTTAAACTTGGGGAGTATGTCATCATTGACGTGAAAAACCTATGTGCAAAATTTTCAATTTTGAGGTAAAATAAGCTATTATGATGCTATGATATTATCTCCTATGTGTTATTTTCATGAAAGAATTAATGATAAATAAAAACAAAATTTCCTATATATTACTAAATCATTTGTGAAATACCTTTTGTTATTAAAAATATCCTATGTGACATTAATCGTCATTAGAGAACTTTCTATGTCACATTGAAAATCCTATGTAATGAAATATTGACAATTTATACAATAATAATATCCATAACTATTAAGTATTTTACTCCAATTTTTTTTCAAATAAATAGTTTTATAGTTTTACAATTTTAAAATGTATTGTCGTTAATCATTGATAATTTTTGATTTTTAAAGCGTTTTTTGTTTCTTTTAATAATCAGATTTTAGGAGGTTGTTTCATGTCAATGACAATGTGTAAATTGGTATTCCAAATATCTGTTTTGAGTTTCATTTTATTGGGCAAATATAGCTTCTGTTACCGTCTGTTTTACCAGAAATCTACAAATTTGTATATCTCTAATTCTTTATATCTTCTCATATTATTTCTTACTAATGTTTTATTAGTCTTGTACACAACTCTTTTCTTAATTTAATTACATATTTTATATAATTTCATTATTAATTATTATCTTTGTTTTATTTAAAATTACTTTACCTACACAATTAATACATTTCAGAAATTCAAATGCCATTAACTATTAAAAAAATATTAAACAATTTGACTGATATTTTACCATACTTCCATTTATCTGCCTATGTTCAAAATTTCAGATATCTGTGTGTTATAGAATTTGTTGTATATTTATATATTTTTTATATATATATTCACTCATACACCTTGAAACACTTCTTTTTATTAGTAGATTAACTATCTATAATCAATTGAAAATTTGTATTTATCAATATTGTAATATACAAATATTTATTTACCTGCTAACTATTAAATATCTACTTATTTAACAATAACTTATAAAAGAACAGTCAGGTTCTTTTATAAAAATATTGTAATCTAATAAGTAATGATAGTAGTTAAACACACACACTTCACATTTTTTAAAATCTGCTAATTAGAGAACTATTTTCTATTTTGTTTTAATATCAAAAAGGTACTTCTATACGTTTTAATTACATTAAACAATGTTGACATTCCTGTCTGGTAATTTACTGAATACCATAAGATTCCTGTGTATAATGAGTATACAATAATTATTTATTTGTATTAAAATTTACAATACTAATTTGATTTTAAATTGTCCGGTTTACAAGTTATTTTAAATCAGGCAAATTGTTTAAAGTAATTTAAATTTCTTTTTGAAACTTCTGAGGAGTCTAAAGTAATTTACTATGATTACATATTAAAAAATTGTATATTTTGTATAATTAGATGTTGTAATTTATGATATTCTCTTAAATAGCATCAACATGTGTTCTTAAAATATTGTAACCTATTATCAATATATTTATTTTTACTTCTCTAGCTTTAAAGAGATTATATATATCCATTGCTGTTATACACATTCTGTTTAACTCCTCTGCTGTTCGGCTCTTGAATTTAAATTACTGATTGTTTTGCATTCAATTCATTTTTACATTTTTTTATTTTTATTTGTTTGAGTCTAGATACTCAAAACCGTAAACATTTCCAAATCTTAATAAAGCTTATAATAGCAAATTTGTGATGATCATTTGAAATATGTTAGTTTTGTGATTTATCGAGCCTTCTGAGTTGTGGTATAGTTGTGTAGTCTTTATGCAGCTAAATAAAAATCTTTTGTATTCTCTTATATAACGCACAGCTTTTAGCCTAAATAATGGTTTTATTCAAGTTAAATAATATTTTCACAATTGTTTTTGTTTGGTATTCACTATTTTATTATTTTCAGATATTTATCATTGCATGACAACAAGTATATTCGTTACTTCTCTGGACATGCCAAAAAAGTTGTGTCATTATGTGTATCGCCCATTGAGGATATGTTTGTTTCTGGATCTTTGGATAAAAGTCTCAGACTATGGGATTTAAGGTCACCAAATTGTCATGGATATATTAATGTAATGGGAAGACCAGTGGCAGCTTTTGATCCAGAAGGCTTAGTGTTGGCAGCTGGTGTGAATTCTGAAACACTTAAGCTGTTTGATGTCAGGTAAATAAAATTATTTGTAACTATTCATTTTCTTCAAATTATTTATGCCCTATTATTATGTTTAAATTTAGGTCATTTGATAAAGGACCATTTATAACTGTGAAGCTTCCTCAAGAAAAAGAATGTGATTGGACAGATTTGAAATTTAGTCTGGATGGACGTACCATACTTATACCCACCAATGGATCATTAATTAGGTTGATAAATGCTTTTAATGGTTCACCTATACAGACATTTACAGGTCACTTGAATAACAAGGGAATTGCAATTGAAGCATCATTCAGTCCAGACTCTCAGTATATACTTAGTGGGTCAACTGATGGCCGTGTTCATGTCTGGAACGCAGTCACTGGTTATAAGGTATGTGTTCTCAATGGTGATCATCCAGGCCCAGTTCACTGTGTGAAGTTCAATCCTAAATTTATGATGATGGCATCAGCATGTACAAATATGGCATTTTGGTTACCTTCAATTGATGATTCGACATGTATGGTATAAACAAAAATTAAATTTTAAAAGTTTGCGTTAGACTTCATTTAAGTATGTACAATGTACTTCATGTTTCTTTCAATTTTTATTCAAACATTTTTAATTTTAATTATTGATTTTCCTATATTTTACTTTTAATTTATTCAAAATTATTTAAGAAAATAAATGTTTATACTTGTTAATAATTTAATTATTAAGAGTGAACTTACCAATGTTAATTTCATTTATAATTGTTCTGTTATTGTATTATTTCTTTGAAAGAGATTTTGATTAAGGTATACTCAATTTAATATTATAATTTTTATACTTCATATTAGGTATTATGACGTGTTTAGAATCAATTGATATAAATTAGATGTTATGATGTTAATACTATTATTAATTACATAAGATTTTACTTATAAATGTTTGTTTATATGTTTCTAAGTTTATTACTGAATCGCTATTTTCTCATTGCTATTACTTTTGGCAATTAATATATCAGCGATATCAAAATGTATATTCGTCTTCAAAACCATTTAGTTGATAATTCTGAAAAAAATAGTTCTTATAATATTTTCCATTTATACAGTTTAAACAGTTACATTAAATTTTAAATAAAATCATGCTCATTGACATGTTTTCATCGGTCAGTACCCCAACCAATGGTGCTTAAAAATATACATATACAATTTGAGACATTTACAATGATCAATTAATTTAATCCTTTCAAACAAACAAATGAATATAGTATAGTTACGTTTTGAAATAAAATTCAAATGTTTAATATACTTATAAAGTACGATTAATTTGAACATCAATTGTTAATCTATTTTCATTAAGACATTGTAAGACAGTTAAGTTTTGAATGATACTATTATTTTAGTCTTTTACCTTGTTTAAGTGAATAAGTTATAACAATTGATTTTGTATAAAATACTATAAATTATGTTATATCAGTGTTCTAATTATCAATTTCCACTAATATAAACATTTAATGTGGTTTTTTTTTATTGATATTTATTTTTGTCAATTATTTGTTTATTATTTATGTTTTTAAAGATTTGACTATTTATTGCAAAAAGTTAAATCTTTCAACTGTTTGTTGAAATAAACTTTGCAAATGATTATTATCATTTTTTAAATTTATATGTTTTGTTAAGTATTAATTTATGAATTTTGAATAGTTTATCAGTAGTACTGTCCTATGATTTAATGTTTAAATTTGTATGTATAATTGAATATTTTAATTTTGTAAGTAATAATTATTTATTGGTTTGTACATCATTATATATTAAAATGGTATTAGTGTTTAAAATGTATTAATTAACATTTTTAAATGTTTTAAGTAACAAATCAACACTTCTTGGTATCATTTTGACATGTCCTATTGTTAATAACTTATTGGAATGAATGGACCTAAATCAATAATTATTTATATTGTTTTTATCATACTATAAACAAACATGATTCTAAATATTAAATAAAATGTATTTATTTTATCTTCTTTAGTTAATAAAAACTATAAAAAAAACTTTGTGTATACTGAATACAAGGTTGTTAGATACTCTGTTAAAAACTTGATGTTTGAATTCACACTACAACTTTATTAACATATTAATGATTGTATTTTTCAGAACGAATAATGTTATCATGTGTTTGTATTTGTGTGTATTGTAGAATTTAGATGAATAAATGAACAAAACTGTATAGTATTATATTGTAGTTATAATAATTTATGCACTTTGTTCATGTTATATGAATTTAGTATTTGTTTGATAAATTATAAAAAAAAGCACGTATCATTTTTAATGTAATTAAAATATAAAAATAATGTTGAAAAATGAAAATTGAAATTGATGTATGAAACAATCACAATAAAATAAAATAATTGTTCAATTAATTTTTTTATTTCATTTTATTGATTCAATATATTTCAGTCTTTATAAATCTAGTTAGATATTTTGTTAAACATGTATTGAGTTTGAATATTTTTCCAATGGATAATACTTGTTTAAAAATATTAAATAATTATCACATTTAATATAGTATTATTGTAAATGCGTAATTTTCCAATTTGATAACTTAAAATATAAGGAAACCGATTAGAGAGTTGGTGACATATTTTAAATTTTTTATCCTATGTAAATTATATCTATTATTATAATATTTGGTTTTTAGAAATTGCAATTACACTTATAACATGACACTTTTAGTAAATTAACATTTACTTAATTTATTACATATTAATACCAATGCATTTTAAAACGTTTAAGGTTTGTTAAACTTATTTAATATAACATTAATTATTAATTCATAATGAGTTGAAAAAAAACTGTATTAGTAATAGCATTAACTGTGAAGAGCCTAGGAACTAAATCAAATCTGAACGCCTAGGCCCAAATATGGCGCCTAATCTACTTTTATATTATTTTATAATACTATATATTCTATATATCAGAAACCATACTTATTAATTGATGATTGGATAACAATTTTTGGTAGAAAAATTAGTATATGAAATATAAAAAAGATGGACATTCTTCGCACATGGGTGCAGCCACTTTTGTAGGTGGGAAGATAGGATATAAAAGGGAATTTAATGTATATCTATAAGCAACGATAAACCATTGTTAATGAAAAACGATTCTGAGCAGAGTTCAGTTGATAGTGATATTTATTTAAGTAGAAAATGAAAAAATATAATATAAATATTAGTAGTTAAAAGAATGTATTGAAATCAAAATGTAATTCTTTTAAATGTAATTCGGCCTATAGTATTGATCTTTCAACAATGTGCGTTTCCATGACAATTATGATTGTTTAATAAAGATCTAAAATAATAAAAATTTAATAATAACAAAAAAATAAGTAAAAACAATTGCCAATGACAACCTTATTTTTATCTTTTAATCTTTTTTTTTTTTAACCTAAAGAACCAGATTTTTCTCATTATCTCAAATATTAATAAGAATTTCTGTAATGACATCTGTAAAGTAACACCCAGAGAAAATTTCCTTTCAAAAATGGTGCTATACGTGATAATCGGAGTAAAATTTCTGTGTTCACATATGAAAAAAAAAAAAAAAAAAACCCTAAAACCAATAGATTCTTTGTTCCTCTCAGAATCTAAAATATTGGAAGTAGAAACAATTTGATATTGATGCTTTATTGATAAGGAATTACTCACTTAATTAGATACCTAATAAATTACATTAGGTATATACTTTTCTAAACTAAACAGTGCCATATTTAGGATTTTGTTAGCAGAGAGATATTGAATTTGGAAATTATGACATATTGTTGGTTACATGTATCCATTCTAAAAGAAAGACATATTTTTGAGTTATAATTAAATCTACCCTAAAATTGCCATTTTAATTAAATTGTATACATTTTTATTTTACATTAACCCTTGAATTAATTTGTTGCAGTTCTCCGTGCTTTTCTACTTTAACATATTCTTTCAAGTTTCTGGTCTTTGTAATTTCCTTTATTATTTGGGTCATGTATTCTGCCCTTGGTCTTCCTCTTCCAATGTGACTTTTCAAATTAAATCAAATAACTAGATAGGTAGTATAAGTAACAATAATCAGTTCATTCGCTCTAACCTTCATGTTATTATAGTGATACTGATACGTTTCTTGTTTAGTAAGAAAATGTATACGTACATTATGGAATATAGGTAACAGTACATTTTTTATTTTTATAATTAAAAAGTTAAGAAATTTAAATTTTGAAAATAAGGATCTAGTCATCTTATGTCTGAATAAGTTAAAAAGAAAAAAAAATCCTAGTAGGTACCTAGGTACTTATTAGGGACATTATTTCAGGTCCTATATTTCATACTGGCACAAATATAATATATTAATAATATAATGTATTATATATTTTATAAGTAAAAATAATAAGCTATAAACACAATCTGATTATTTACAAATCACTAATTATTTTCGATTTTATCACACAACACAAATTAATGTATAGATATAGGTACCTATATAAAAAAGTGCTGTTACTGCTGATGTGTACACCATTGTTGTATGTGGGAAGTTAGGAAGTTATAGTACCTATATGAAGTTATTTAATTTATACTTTTTCGTGAACAACGATAAACCACTGCTAATGAAGTACGATTCTGAGTGAAGTTCGGTTATACATGTTTTGAAATGCCATAATATTTAAAATTTTCGTCAAAATTCGATCTTACAGCACTTATAAAAAAAAAACTGCAATATAAAATCAATATTTTTTTTGGATCACTAAGTACAACTTATAATCAACCTCGTGTTTAATTTTCAACAATTTTATCCACAAAGTGCATAAAAAATAAATGATTAATATAAATACCTCAAAAATGTTTTTAACATTTTATCGAGTCTAGAAAGTGCTAATACAAGTATTTTGTGAAAATATCATCGCCTGCGATAATTTTTATTCAATTTACCACCAAAATCGAAAATAACAAAACCATTACCTACTGCCGAAAACTTTTGTATTCCCTATGGTTTTTTCAGATTTTCCCAATTATTATGAAAACTGACTAAAAAATCAAAACACGACAGCATATTTATTAACCAATTAGATCTTAAATTCAACAAAAAAGTTATTATTCTTAAATTAAGATTTCTGGTATAAAACATAATTCTGAAAAATTTACTTTACCAACTTTAAATTACATACCTATAAGGTACTTTAAATTTACCACATTTTTAAACAATTAATTTTCTTACTATTCAAATTAACTAAAATGCATTAAAAATAAGTAAACATAAGCATGATAACTATTTAAGCAAATCTTTTGATTAAAAAAAAACTTATAAAATAAAAAATTAACCATCGTTTAAACATTTTGTTCAACTAATAAGTTCAACGACTTTTAAAGTTAGTGAATTTAAAATATAGACAGTGAAGTATTTAAAAATAAATTTACTTATTTACCTTTAGCCATAAATAATAAATATCAAATAAACTAAAAAAAAAAATAAAACAAATTTAGGTAGATAAAATAGAAACAACTATTTCATTCTACTTCTCCTTCGCCTTCATTCCAATCATTTGAGGTCGGCCAACCTCGTTCAAAACACCCACTTGACCCAAACAAATATTTCATTGAACAATTTTCTCTATATGATAGTGTTATTTTCATTGTGAAGTTTGCGGAAAACCGTGCGAAAAGAATATTTTGTATAAATATTGAGTTAGTAATGAAGTATCCATTTGTTGGAAAATATAGAATACATCTTGGATACCTCTTTTTTAGATGACATTCTATTGAAATTATATCGGTTTCCGTTTAAATAATACCAAACTAACTGAAGTGTGGAATTAATGTATGTTTAGGTATGTTAAGAGAACACAAGAAATAAATACAATGTTAAGGATCGGATAAAAATAAATCATCACAGACATTGGGTACCTATACCTAATTTATATCAATTATAATTTTTTTTTTTTTCATTTTTCAAACATACCTACTTAGGTACTTTATGCATACCCAAACTGACAGGCGAACTGCATTCAATGTTTAATTAAAAGAGTTATGAGTTTCTGACGAACCTTTTACCACAGTATTTGTACGTGGAGTGTTATTTTCATATGCTTTATACTTAACACTTTACAGTAGCTACCTGCATAATAGCCTAACCTATATAACCCCGTACATAACAATTCAAAATATCGATTTGGTTACGTGAAAGTTTTCTTTGTCCCCTTCTATTGATATAAGTTTGTATAACTACAATATAAGTAGGCGTTATCGAAATAATTAATTTGAAACGGAGAAATTATGTCTTATTATTTTATAAAATTTATTTCGTTCTCGTTTCACCGCGGTCAATAATTCTTTTCGATTGTTTGTGTATAGAACGATTGATTTACATTAAATTCAAAAATTAATGTTAATATATAAAAAAAAAAAAAATAAATAAAATGCATACATATACAATTACAATTACATTACAGAAAATAAACGTTTCGAAATAAGCAGACCGAGGTATAAGGACTTTCGAGTTTTAATTTTACGCTGATCGTTATGTGTAGCGCCTTGGAAATAATTATATAATAATTAATAAGCGAATATTGGACTGTATAACACGTAAAGTACAACAAAATTAACTTTTTTTTCTAATACAGTCGATGTGATAAAATATTGTAAAACTAATTACTTCTTCGCAACACTAAAAATAGTACCTATGACGGAAAAACTTGGGGTGTATTATTAACATGAGCCGTGGAAATTGACGACCGATTTCGGTTTAAAAAAAATAATCATAATCTGGTTAAAAAAATGCCTGTTATTCCATAGGCTAAGATTTTTCTTCATATTTTCAAATTTTATTTGTAATATATAATATAATATGTAGGTTGCCTAGCATCTCTAAAATATAAAATAACTATACCTACCTATAATATATATAAAATAAGTGGCGTAACTAGCTAAACACAAGGTGGGGTAGAATAATGTATTTACTAAAATCAAAACCACGAGGGGTGGTGTAAATATATTTGTATTCTTCTAAAATAAATTGTAGACAGTATAGATTCCAATATTGTTCGATAATATTAAGTAGGTACATAAGAATACAGGTGAAAAAACTTGTTTGAATATGATTAACTTGTTGAACGGTATCAAAATTGAAATGCTAATTTAATAACTTCAATAAACAAAACTTAAAAAAAAAAATAGACGCGAAAGAATACGTCATAATATGGATTATACTTCGATACTGATGGCATATTTATTTTTACATATAAATAATAAGGTGGAACCACCGGGATATTTTTAATATATTATAATATGAAATTAACCGGATTCAAGGTTTATGATATTTGTATGTGATTAATAACGAGCAAATTCTTATCAATTAGGTTGAGATAAAAAAAAAATATATATTTGTATTGAAATTCCAAATGACTGTTAACTCTACAATTAAAACTAATATGCATGTTATAAAACTTGGTACACATATTTGTAATTCAGCGATCATACTTTGGTTTTCAAGAGACACGCTATTAAGGCCCTACTTTAAACTTGGTTTTGAATATCCGATTAAACATAGATAGGGTCGACAGTAACTTTGTTGATATCTATTTTATACGTGTCACTTATTAATTTGACAGATTATTATCATCATTATTATTATATTTTGAGGTATTTCACTGACATCCACCATAGCTACGTCATAACCACTGTCGCCGATGATACATACTACTTTAAATCGTGATCGTACTTGCGGCAGATAATATAATTGAATTATTTTTATAACCTACATAGTGCGATGACGTTGACAACACCTACGCCAACACAATATTATAAAACAGGAGAATCCTGTAATAAATATAAACTTCTCGAAAAGAAAAAAATATTCGTATCTTATGGTCATGGATGTAAAAAGCGAATTAATTAATTATTGCATTATTTCTTTTTATTTTAGAAGATTCAGAGATTTTTTACTGTTGTCATACCTAGGGTATCTTTGCGCCCGAAAATGCCACGGGGACATGTGTCCCCTTTGCTCTTCCACAATTACGCCATTGTGTAGGTACTTAAATATATTTTATTGTTATATTTTTGAGTATTAAAATCTAAAACGATAAAATATTATACGTGTAGTGGTACTTAAACCTGCCTATTTTGCACGTCGTTTATATCGATCGATTTTTAGCAATAATAGTTTGCAGCCTGCGGGTGGTCTCCCCGGGGATGCGTATAAAATATTAACGGTTTTTTCTTTGTCGTTCGACCGTTACACCTATTATTGGAAATATATTTCGTTCGTGTATAGTTTCACCTATCTATAATTATGACGTAGACAGTCCTGACCAGCGTTATTAATTCAATGGCGGCGGTTCGTGTATTTGTGTCAAGCATACACGTGTACATCATCACGCGAGCCTCTCCCAGGCACGTACACGGAATATAATTTCACGGGGATGGAGTTTCCGGGGACGTTCATAAATAAAAAAATTAAACATTTTAAACTCTAGAACTGGTATATGAAGTGTATTTTAAATTTCGGGAGGGGGAGGGAGTGGACTCATAACCTCCCCTTGCCCCTGTCCTGTGCACGTGCTTTATCTCTCTTAATGGAAAATTAAAAAAAAAACTCAAGAACAAATAATATGTATGGCGCTATACATACTATGTATCTGTCGTCTCCGTTTTTACAAACGCATGATTACACAGTAAATTTGTATTCAGTAGAACCGATTTTGTGCTGTTAGTTTTAATATTAGAATGAATTAACATTTATTATCGAAATTAAAGGGAAGAACATTATCCGTACTTGCGCGTTGGTCATTTTAATTTTCAAGCGAGACATAAGCTTTTTTGAATTATGATATTTTACACTAGGTCGTAAAAAAAAAAAAAAAAAGAAAACCAACACAAATGATGATGTTTTTACCTGCAAGTTTGACAGTGTATCGATTCACTCTAATATTAAAACTAACAGACCAAAATTTGTTCTGCTGAACGCAAGTGTTCTGTGCCGTGGGCTTATAATATAGATATTTATAACAAATGCTCGTGTGTTGGCGTCCTCTTATGAACGTACGCGGATAAAATTATCGGTCGTATGGGTTTTTGATTACATAGGTAAAACGGAGTACCTATACCCATATAAGTATAACAATCAATATTGTATAGTTGATAAACTACAATGGGACCGAGGTAGTATATACCTATCTATATACGAGGGGGTCGTCGTCGGCGCCGGTGGTGGCAGAGTGCAAAACGATCGATGAGGATGATGTGCACGTAGTAAAAAGAAAACACGGCTAAAAACTTTTGGTAAAACTATTTTCGTGTCTGAACAAGTAGCCGACGGCAGCGGCCCCACGGAATTAATTCGCACAGAGTGCCTAAATTCGTTTTTGTGTTGTGCGCCAACCTATATACGACGAACCATTTGGCAGCGGGAGCGGAAGATCAGGGGTTACACCCACATCCGATCGGCTTAAAAATACAACAAACATTATATGGACATTGGTTATTAGTCGTTTCACCTTGAAACTATTATAGATTTCAGCTAATTAGTTACAAGACAAACCGAACAGAATTTTGTAACCGGTCCATTTCGAGCTGGTATGAGGGTGCAATGTCCAGTCAGTTACCCACTAAGATAACACGTGTGAACCGTTTGCGAATATCAATAATTTTTTTAATTTGATCGAACAATCGTGTTGTCGGTTGCAGTTATTTTACTTAAATAGTCGACACTTCGACGGTCATAGTTACATTGAAAAACACTTATGATTTTTCAGGTTTCATCGTGGACCATGATGTTATTGTTAATACCGTGATTATCGGATTCCAATATGTCTATCATCAATCAGCATTCATATGTCAGTGTATCTATTGCCTAATAAGTAATAATAATATTAATGTATTATGAAAAACACGACGAGAATAAAAAAAATATTTATTATTCAGTTTAGAAATTGTATTTTTTTCTCGATTGTGATAGTGCCAGATATCACAGTGATCAAATGTACAAACTGATTCGTTAACTATTAATTTATTGACTTAAACGTAATGGATAGTAATTTTAATTGGAATTTATCACTGAACATGTTTATGTCGGTGTAGAAATAATTAATTATTTTAAACACTTAAAAAAATATTGAAGATATTTTGGAGGGTGTCAGGAGGGGTTCGTAATGTCACAAAGTTCAAATATTTTCAATAAACAAATAAACGAACAAACTAAAACCCATCTAATTTAGGTGTTTATTATTTGTATTATTTATTGCGTGCATTCGAATTGTCACGGGCAAAGTCGCCGCTAACAATAGTAGAAATACATGATAAACAATGATAACAATTAGAAAAAGTTGTATAGACAAATTAACATGATATCGTTTTTAAATTAAATACATTAGTCTAAAATCTACATTCCTCGCGTGTACTTTTCTTTTGGGTTAGAACAATATAATGTACAGTTAGTTAACGGTTATACTAATACTATAATATTCTCGGATGTGATTGGCTTGTGTCCTCTTGAGGGTATTCGCGCCATATTTAATGTTCGGCAGAGTGATTGTTTTACGATCCGATTGTTTGGAATCACGCGGTTATTGAAACGTTTTTTCCACCGTTCAACCGGTAATCGTTAGGTTTTTATTGTTCCCTTTGCGTATTTCTCCTTTACGTTCCGAAACAGCAACCGGTATGAATTCGATAAAACCGGGATTTTTCGAGTTTCTTATGTCGTGTTTCATACTAAAATATAGGTACCCGATGCACAGGCCATGGAAACATACAAACAATATTATTTACACATTATTCAAGGATAAATATAATTTTATATCACTAATAGCTATGCAATATAAAAACGAAACGGATAAAATCAATGGTTTTTTTTTTTTTTTTTGTGTGTCATCTATGACATAATTGTATTGACCGAATAATCGCGTGACACAAGATTTTATACTCACCATGAATTCGTTTGCATGTTGATGAAATCTACTCTTCCCGGAGCCTGTTTTGAGATGACAGTTACACATTCAATCAAGTGAGGCACATTTAACAAAACGTCTCCCTATATTAATAATAAACACGATTTCATCAATATTCCGTTATTATTTAGTATTACTTGGGTACACTAGTGGTGCATAAGAATATCGATATTGATATCGGAAAAATATACTGATATCGACGTGCCTAAATTATCAATATCAGTGCGTATTAGTGCAATATTAGTTGTAATTGAATAATTTCCCCGTTTATTTGTAATTCGAAAGCAAAGCATGCTATGCAGCGGCACGATTAGCTCATATATCTCGGTGGGGGGGATGTTTTGCCCCACTATAATATTAAATAAATATGACCCATTCACTTTTAGGGATTCTATCATCTAATAGCGCCATTGAATTGCTATATGATTTATTGATTTAATCAAATACAAAAATTGGATGAAAATGAAAACGCACGAAGAAAAAATAATTTAATAATAAAAGACAACAAGAATGAATGGACGAATTGTTTTTCAACATTATGTTAATGTGATATAATGTGTTGTTTTTGTTATTAATTTCAATAATTTTGTTATTAATGTGTTATGAATTATACTTACGAATTATAATATAAAAAATAAAAAGTATTAAATATTAAAACGGTTACCATTGTTGCGGGCGTATTAATAACGTAACATTTATTAAGATTATAATAACGTAGATTAATAGGAAAAGTCGGTGCCCGCAACACTATTATTTAAATTAAATTTATTTTCAACATTTATTTGTCAATGTACCGATACCTATATCGCGTGCCATTGCGATTACAATTTAAAATATTATTATATAATATCATTCTTTATGTGATAAATGTTTATGTACGCGACATATACAATAGTAGTGTATTGTTGTTGCAAATTAAAATCTACACCTTTGACGCTTAAAAAATGTAAAACTCACTTTGGATTCTTCGAATTGTTCGGATACTTTGATCAGTAAAAACGTGTCCATTCCAGAGGTCATTTGTAAGCTTGTCACATATTTTAACGGCAAGTTATCTTTTATTTTGTGATGTTTATCGGTTTTCTCGATGATTAAAATAGTTTCAATGGTAACCACTAATATCCTCTCCCTGGGTTTGTATCCTCGGCGATCGAATTTTGTCACTTTTGTCGCGTACTACAACAAATAGGTAATTAAAGACATTGAAACTTCTTATGAAGTTTGTACCATTTTAAACCCACAAGAAATGTTGTTCTTAAGTTTGTGCCATCCAAACTCATATTTGACAACCGTGGAAGAACTTCATCACGATCGTTGTTGAAATCATATTTTAAACTTTTAGGATACATAGACTTTTTTCCTAAAAAAAAAAAATCAAGAATAACTCGATATTTTTGCCACCGAATGCAATGGTGCAATAGATAATTTAATTTTTAACCTTTGAATAGTTCGTAAGTAGCTAATTTAAATTTTAGTCGTTCGTATAATTCGGGCCGTTTAGCTAAATCCGATCGATAAATTCGTGACAACCAGGCACGGTGCAGAGACTTCAGGTATGTGGAAACCTGTTCATACGAAAATGATTATTTTAATATTATTTCGAAAATAGTTTTACTGACAATTTTTTTGAAATAACGAACGATTTTATACTTACTTCAGTACAGCAACTCGGTGGTTCGGGCCAATGATAGTCTAGCAAACTTTTCGGCAATGTTTCAGATAGACGAGTCAAATATCTCGTTTGTTTGTACGCGACGAACCGACAATTATTAACGTTTGGTGGATCATTTCTTGTCATGAATCCCATAATGAAGCTTAAAAAATTGTACAGGGTGATTATTTTATCGTTAAACGTCAATTATTTCATAATGTATTGACTTTTTTCAAAACAAATTCGTTTGAAATTTAAGAAATAAAGCTTTACAATTTTACAGTACCATTATTTTTTGTCACCCTTATTTTTTAGGGTGAAACGACTATCAACTATTGGTTTTCAAATAATAACCCGCATAAAAAGTTCCATAAATAGATGACGTTTTAGTTAAAATAAATTTTTGATTTCCATCACTCCGTCCACGAGATATTCTACATTCAAGTTTGAGTAGAAAGAAAGTATCGAAGTATTATTTGACACGGCGCACGTCGTTTTATAGTGCTCTACTACTCTCTCCCTACTCAAGCTTAAAAGTGAAATATCTTATGAACGGGTGGACGAAAATCAAAAATTTCAATAAAAACATTTATTTAACCTAATATTTATATACTTATATATACATTTTTTAATATATATATATATATATAAATATTTATTTATGACATTTTTAATAAAGGTTACTATTTGAAAATCAAGATTTTGAAGCGATTTCACCCAGAAAATAAGTGTAACAAAAGACAATGGTAATCTAAATTTATTTAGCTTTTTGTTTCTTACATTTTCAAACAAATTTTTTCTGAAAAAATTGAAATAATGAGTGTTCAACAATAAAAGAATCACCCTGTATTAATAAATTCCCCGTTTATATCCTATTTTCCCGACTTACTACCAACATTAGTGGCTGCACCCGTACCCATTATCCTAGGACAGCTTTTTACTTATATTGTTTAATGAGTATAAAAATTAGGTACTTTCGAATAGTTAGGACGGCATTTAACTTTTTTTTGTAGGCTCGCATCGCCAACATCCGCCGGACGTTTTTCTGGATGCAGACAATCCTGCGGGTGACTATCTCGAATTCCCGGAGCTGAAGCAACCGTATGCGCTGCAACCGTAGTCTGTACGTTCTCTGGCACAGTATCACCGACGACCTGACCAGTGCGTATCGTCGACGGGCCACGTATCCACGCCACACCGACTGCAGTTTGACGGCCAACGCGTGTTTCGCCACTTGGAAACGTTTCTCGATCTCGAACACGGTATGCGGGTGTTTCACCATGATTTTCGACCTGTAACGAGCACGGCCGGGGCTGCAGTGGTTAAGTTCGGTTATGTTAGGTCAATCGACCGCGTACTTTCCGATTTTATAGTCCTGGGCGCCCAAGCCCAGGCTCTGAATCAGACGGCACACGGCGGCGACCGCCGTGTACCGTCGGCTCCAGTCGGGCCACGTGTCCGGGCACAAGCATTTGTAACGGGCCAGAAACTGTTGGAATTCGCTGCGATACGCGAAACCGGCTTTCCGTATCCGCAAGATCTCTATCAGGCCCATGTACTTCACCTGGTTTCTGACCACCTCGTCGTCAAATTCGCCTGAAACACGCCGTCGTTTGGATGGTTTGGATTAGTTTTATCGTTACACTGTCGTCGCAGTCGGTCAGGTGTCGTATAGTTTTACGGTAGCCTGCAGGTATACAGTATTTGTACTGAATTACTAACCGGGTTCTTTGAAGTCGTTTGGTTTTATGCATCTAATGTACGACGACTGTTTCGACGTCAACGTCTTCATCAGTTTATTCAAGCTCCTTTTGAACTGATTTATCGTGGTTTCCGGTATTTTATTGCTGGGAGTCTGACAGTTTGAAAAACTCGACTAAAATGTTACGGGGAAAACGTACAACACAGAGTATCCGTTTAATAATATAATACGTATGCTGTTTACTCAAAATATACTTTAATGATATTGTTAGTTGAATTGGACATGATATGACTGAGATTTCCAAATAAAGAGTCGTTGTTTTTCTCCAAAAAACAGGACGCGTCATATGTCACAGTACCAGCGAAATGAACGATTACGAATTCCTTAATAAAAAATTCGTCGATTAACTTATGTGGGGGGATGTGTCTACAACGTCTATATTTATTTTATTTTATCTGCGATACTCACTGTGGGTAAAATAGTTTTGATTTTTTTGTGTGAATCGATCGATTGATAACACGAAAAATGTTTGTGGTCTTTGAAACGTCTCGCCAGCTCGTTTAGCAACACAGCATTATTACACGCATCGGTTTGTTTAAGGGACTCGTCCTCGAGACACGAAATAATCCCTTAGACAAATACACCGTGAGATACATTAAACTTTATGTTTAAAATAACCGCTGCGTACGAATTGCGTCCCGTGGCGACAGTTACTTCCGAATTGCATTCCGGCCATAATTTCGGGTCGTACTAGTTGTATCACTTATTTGTTTGGTGTACAATGTACATGCTAGTTGCGTCCCGTAAATCATAAAAGCTAAACAATATTTCCGAATGAAATCGACATCCGTACAGAGTTATAGAAAGCCAGACTGATCAAATAACCAAATGTATTGCCTTTTATAAATCGACAAAAACACTATACGGAGAAAATATGACATTGATTTTGTTATGTTACAAATTTAAATCGAAATGTTTGTCCTTCAATAATAAATAAATTGCATGGGTTTTCATTGGCCACAATCAAAAATGTGTAACAAAAACTTAAAATTAACACGTGGAGAGTGGTGAAATTGTGAACCCGACTAAAAACTCCGGGCGCAGTTATATCTATAATCACTCGGGACGCAACTAGTATACACAGTGAAATTAACTACCTAATGAGGTCGTTACCTTTGTGTCTTTCTTCGATCATGTCACATATGACACCATTGTCAAAGTACTCGACATTGGTCCATTCGATGCCTTCGTTTAAATATTCTTCTTGTTCCGACTTAAGTGTCAAGTCAAGGAATAACTTTTGCAATTTTTCATTGCAATAATTAATACAAAATTGTTCGAATCTAAAATTTAAAAGAACAGCGTTATTGAATCATATTTGATTTTAAGTACTGGACCATGAAATATTATACATAAATATATATATATAAAAAAAAAAAATATTTTAAATAGTACAAATTTTTAACATTTTAGGAACTATGTTTAGGTAATATGTAGGTAAATTTTTTCATAAAATTTCACAGTTCTCCGTTTAGAAATCGAGATGCTATAACTACAATAAAAAAATTGTTATTGAGATTTTGACCTGCGCTTACCCGTTGTTTTGTAAAATTTCAAAACCGTAAATATCCAATATACCGATTGATTTTATTTTATTTTCGCTACCGGTTTTTTTACCAACTATCGTTTTGAGCGTTTTGTTGATGTGCGTTACCAGCCATTCGAACAGTCTGCTATAAATGGCTTTGGCTAATGCGTCTTTGGCGAAAACTGACATTTCCACGTCTAGGTGTGACCTAATCACTTCCCCGTGAGCTTTTATTGTTTTATTTGTCAGTGCGAATATCAAATCATCTTTTGGGACCCCGAGTAACTAATAAACATACATAATTGTTTTATTTTTATATGCATTTTATAATAATTGATAAATGTATTGTTGAATTATAATTTATGATTTAATTGTGAGGTTTTAAAATATTAATGTAAATTGTAAGTAGTGTTAATACATCACAAACTATTCTAATTGTACTGTTATTCTCAATTTTGCACACTTCTCCACATCGACGAACTTTTATGTTACCCAAGTGCAAAACACTCGCCACAATTTTCAATATATCCATTTTTTCTTCCAAATCGAATTCTAAGACTTGTAGTGCTTGCAAAGTTTCTTTATACTTTTGGGTATCTTCATTCTCTATCTAAAATTAAGGCCTTCTAGTTAACAAGAATACTTATACGAGCATACCTATTTTACTAATTATTATTTAAAATAAGCTTATCTAACTTGATCGTCAAAACTCGTCAAATTATTTTCCGTTCTCAAATATAAATAATCTATATCCTTGTCGATCTCTAGAAGTTGGGCTAGCCATTTGTCTGCTCCATTAACTAGCTGATAGAATATATGATAGTTTCTCTCGTTGTGTGCCTGTTTTACTACTCGAGACTTTTCTAGTAGGTAGTGTAGAATATTACCGCCTATTGGGTAACCCTAAAAAGTACAAATTTCGATTGTTTTTTTTAATTTTCGTAAAAATATAAATTATAAAGCCACTGATTTAATTCTAGTTGATGATATGCTTACCATGGGGTTGAATTGAACATCCATATATTTTCCGAATCTACTAGAATTATCGTTGTTACGCGTTTTTGCATTTCCAAATGCTTCTAATACAGAATTTGCTACAAAGAGTTTGTCTTTTATTATCTGAATGATATGATCTCCGTGTGTTGCTTTAACAATAAATTGCAATACCATTTTAGATGCTTCCGTTTTTCCTGATCCAGACTCTCCTATAATGTAATATATGTAATTATTAACTATATATTATAACCTGAATCTATAATAATATTCGTAAAATCGATTGAAGTATTATTCGTAAAATCAGTGAATTATTGTCGATAGTAGGTACACCGTGTCTAAAGGAAAGCAAATTTTGAATACACATGTAAAATTGTTTGATATTTCATTACGAACAACTGAATAAATGAAAATGGGAAAGAGTTTTTAAACTGAAAATATGTATAATATTTTGATTTTCATGTAGTATGTATTATTATAGTTGATTATTTTATTTATTGTAAAAGTGTAAAATGTTTTTTTTTCTTTGTTCGAAAGCTAAAAATAATTGTATTAAAAAGATAAGTTTTTATGAAAAAAGCACCTGCAAAATATATCGAAATCGTTGTAGATTATTGTTTGATTGCACAAAATAATGTGATTTAAAAATATTATTGACAATGTTTACTAGTTATCTAGATAATAATTTAGATTGAATTTGGGCCTGTGTAAAATTTATAAAATTAAGTTAAATATTTATCGATGTAATTTTTTTATTTATTGGCGGAATAAATATTAAAGAGAGCTTTTTAATAAAGACAATACAATTTTGTTTTTTTTTTTATATTACTCACAGGGATAATGAATAAAAATATTTATATTTTAATTAAACTTTTATGTTTTGATAAAAAAACTAAAAAATAACTTTAGTTTTAATAATTTTTAGAGAGAAAATTTCCTTTAATGAGTTCAGAGAAAATTACCTATAATTATGCAGCAGGCTGTAATCGCATTCGCTAATTGATTATTATTGTTTTTGTGGCTTATTGAATGTATACTTTTTTTTCTAAACTTTAAAAAAGTATTAAAAATCACGAATTCATTGAAGATAAGAAAGTTGGTGCGTTAAAATTTCTAGAAAAATAAACTCTATAAAATCAAGCTATCCAGCTATTTTCAAATTTTTTTTTACCATAACATAGAAAATTAGTTGAAATATTAATATTTGTAGTCCTTAATCCTTGAGAGTACCTAATATATATAAAAAACAGAATTTGATTTATCTTTATTATCTCCGGAGTTATTACAATGGATATATCTTCGTGGGACACCCTGTATAATATATATTGTATACATTGTATATTTACAAGTTTATATACAATTGTACAGAAAAAAAAAAAAAAAAACTAAATCAGTTTTAAACCAAAATTTGCATGTAAACCACATTATATTCTTCGGATTTATTTATTCTGTTTTTTAGTGAGAGTGCGGTCTAACATTTTGAATTTGTTAGTTATTTATTTGTTACGATAATCTAGATGTGATTGAGCGAAAGATTATCGTGCTCATATTTTCAACATTTAACTAGCTTCGTTTACCCGATATTAATATACATTGGTCCCGGCGGTATTCTTTTAATGACTTGAAAACTTTCGCTGAAATTGCAAATCTACAAAATAAAAATAAAATATTAATCGGTTAGAACAATAACAAAAGCGATTTCGTGCGTAAAAGAATGCAAACATAATTAATCGCTGCTCGGATTTAGTTATAGAACTGCCGATACACTATTTAATTTGAATACTATTGCTTATAAACTCACATGTGTGGCATGTCTTCGACATAATTGTTATTATAGTATTTCAGCATTAATTTTTCATTGCATATCGATAGCGTCTTATACGGATTAACACTTATTAACACTTCTCCAATATAAGTCTGTGAAAATAAAAATACATAAAACAATAAAAGTACTTACATGCTTTGCACCCATATTATAGTAGGTATATGTAGCATCAATGTGTAGTAAATGTGACATTTTTTTCAAAATTATTACGTTTTTGAAAAATATTTGATTCCAAGACAAAATATTCGATATAAATACCTATTCTTAGTTAATATATTTTCAATCATTTTAACTGCTATTTGTTGGTTTATAAACAATTGATTAGGTACAAAATCAATTTTATCAATCAAGTTAAAATAATGTATTGTTAGTATTATAAAAAATATATTTAAAATAAAAGATAAAAAGAAATATTTTATAATCATTTTAACTAAATAAATCAGATAAATAATAATTTAATCTTACGTAAATTATGTTTTTTTGTAGTCGTTTTTTTAGATTTTCGATTAATTTTTTATCGTCGCAGTTGTCTAGAAGTATCATATTTGCGACACCGGTCGTCTCTTCAAATGCAGTCATTATGGTAAAAGATTAATAATTGATTATTACGAGTATAAGAAAATTTTCAAACGAGCTTTTCACAAATTTAAATTCGATACGTTTGTGTCTTTTACGAAACATGGACAGAAATGCACGATTACTCGGTGTTTTATAGTAGGTAATGTTCAACAACATATTATTGTGGAAAACTCATAAAATACAATTTATATATTATTTATTAATCAATCAGGTATTATCGATATCCGATTATAGTACTTCACCTATTTATTATGAACAATTATCTAAGGATTAACCTAGTTTTGCATTTGAAATTTTATCACCGTTTATTAAATGCGTCTATTTAGCTATCTGTTTAAATATGTTCTATTGTTTAATATTCTAGGAGATTGTAGTTGTGTGTAAATAAGCAAGTACAATATTGTTACCATAACAGGTCTTCAGTTCACAGTCACATTGAGTAAACTTCAGAGTAATCAAAAACTTAATTTATTATTCTGAGTTGTATAAATTAAAATACAAAATAAATTAATATTTGATTAAAACAAAAAAAAAAAAAAATCGAAGGGCAATAATCCCCCATATCGTAGAAAGGCCACCAAATTGGGAAGGTTTAGGATATTTCGGTAATTTAGTTTTTAATTCGGTAATTAGTTTTTAAAACTAACTATTTCTAAAAAAAAACTACAAAATTTAAGCAGGACCTCTGTAATATAGAAATTGCAATTTATAAATTCCGTTTCTGTTCACTTTTGTTCAAAATTTCAAATCCCTGTGTGCTATATACATTTTTTCCAAATCTGTTGTCAATATTTTAGAAAAATCATCCTGGATTTTAAAAAGCAGTATATTTTTTTATCCGCTCAGCAATAAACAATAATATATATTTTATATTAGATACTTTTCAACTTATTCGGAATATGTACATTGTTTTTACGTGGAGTTTCTGAATTGAATGAAAATTTAATGCGACTTGTACTTTAAACGAGTAATTTTAGGAATTCTCTCGATAGTTTTAAGAGGATTTGTGTTCGATGGACTCCATTTATTGCTTTTCGATGTTTTTCGAAATAAAATAATAATTATTATTTTATGTAGTTGTAAAAGCTTTTTCAATTGATTTATTATAATGTTATTCATTTAGGTTTACTGTAAACTTTTTTTCATTTAACGATTTTAATACTTATATCAATTTGTACTAAAACTTTATAATATGAATACCTATTATACCTGCCATTAAATTGAAAATTAGAAAACAAAGGTGATATTATGAACGGTGAGAATACCAGTATACCCATTGTGATTAAAATATTATTTTTAAACGCTAAGCGTAGCAAAAGAATGTTATGGTTTTACAACGATGTGTATCTATATTTTTTCTTTCTGTGTACACATTTTTACAACAGATATCTTGTTTCAATCAATTAACGATTTGAAACACTTTAAGTGCAGTTCGGATCTATAATCTATGTCAATTTTTCGATTTTCCAAGTGGTTTTTTTAATAATTTGGAAAAACCGGCAAAAAATCCCGTAAAGAAAATCGCATATAATATGTACATTTACGGGGTTAACATTTCATTATTTTACATTTTACATTTTTACTTTTTTTAAATTTTTCCAGTAATATTGTTCAAAATTTCAAGTGAAGCATCTTTTCGAAAGAAAATTTTGTTTAAATGGTAAAAGTCGATTTTTGGTTGTAGTTTTTTGAATAATTTTGGGAAAATAGAGAGAAGTGGACACACTTTGCACATGGGTGCAGCCACATTTGTAGGTGGGGAATTGGAAGGCAGGATACAGACAAGAATTTAATGTATATCTGTAAGCAACGATAAACTATTGCTAACGAAAAAACGATTGTGAGCAGAGTTCAATTTATAGTGTTGCTTTTTTAACAATACATATGTCATATTATGGTAAAATGATTACACTGCGCATTTCCATGACAACAGTAATTGTTTGAAAAATATTAAGATTATAAAAACTTAAAAATAATAAAATTAAACAAAAAATGGTTGCCAATGATAACCTTATTTTTAATCTTTCAATCTTAACCGAAAGAACCAGGTTTTCCTTATTATTTCGAATATTGATGAGAGTTTCATAAAATGATCTCTCTAACGTATCACTCAGAGAATATTTCCTTTCAGAAAAGGTGATATACTTAATATTCAGAGGAAGCTTTCTGGTAGAAAAGTGTTCACAAAAAAAAAAACAAATAAACATCATTGTAAAACCAATACTCTCGTACATAAAAAGCGAAAAATAATTGTAAAGACCTGAAATGTTTACAGAATTGTTTCATAAACCTTTTATAAACGAGACAAAATGTTCAAAAATTTAAGGGGATTTTTGAGCTATTTAAAGGCATTTCAGATTTTCAGTATTTATTTGGTTTAATATTGATAATATAATAGTTAATAGATAATAGTTCGATCGAATAGAAATGCTTAGGAATTCAATACGAAGTTCATTATAATTTGTAATTAGTGGTATAAAAAAAGCAAAGCGTAGTGTAGTAGTTTTTTTCTAAAAAATTATCAAATTTGAACGAAAATCCTAAACATTTCAAAATATTGTATAACTGAATTACTGAATCGTATCTTTTCAACTTCCCACCAAAAATAGTGGCACACCCAACCCCAGTATCAGCTTTTTTTTCACGCTAAAATTGTACAGTTTATAGATAGATATTTAAAATGTACGGTTTCTGATCAAAGATAATTCATTACTCCTGTAACATAGTATAGTTGAAACATTCTGTTTATCATCAATTAAATATGATAGGTATGGGTAGGTGGTTTATTTATATTTGATTTGATAAATTATTAACATTTTTGTTTTTGTAACGAAATTAAAAAAAATATTTGACCTAAATAACATTTTTTCGTAAATGATGTTTTATCGATTGTAAACTTATAACAGTCATAACTCATAACTAAAATAAAAAAATAACACTTCCGCCCTAATATAATGTATATCCGTGTAGCATATGGACTACCTGTATTAATAGCATTTGATCAATACCGTGGTGTGTTCACTTGCAAACATTGCAGTGGCCTATCTAAAATTATACTTTTTTTTTTTTGTTTTTAATTTATATTTAAATAAATTATCTTCAGCAGTGTAGAAGTAGGTAAGTAGGTTGGTAGATAGATAAGTACGCATTTCAGCATTTTTTATAATATTTTCAAGCAACATATTTGAAATATTAATGTATTTATTTGCTTAAATAAAAAAAAAATCTTTTTTCTCGAGAACTATAAAATATCAGGTATATTTTGAAATATTTACAGGAAGATAAATTCATCAATGCTTCAAATAAAAATATATATTTATTAGTATGTTATGATGTGTTTTGTGTTTAAATAATACCATAAATACGGGTATGCCGTCAACATTTTGCGAATAAAATATTTAGCAAAGAAATAATATCACCGGAAAAATATGGCGTGATAAAAACACTACTCATATGTTATTGAAATATATTTATACTGTTAAATAGGCACTCAACAGTATAACGCATCTTATCTAACTATTACTTTCATTTTGATTGTTCATTTAAAATTTAAATTCATCAAAAGCATACTCTGATTATCAAGTTAATATAGCACATTTTCTGAAAGGAAATTCTCTGGGTGGTACTTTAGAGAGGTAATTTTATGAAATTCTTATCAATATTTGAAATAATGAGGAAAACCTGGTTATTTATGTTGAAAAAGATTGAAAGATTAAAAATCTGGTTGTCATTGGCAATTGTTTTTTGTTTAATTTTGTTATTAAGTTTTTATAATTTCAATATTTTTTAAACAATTATTGTTGTCATGGAAACACACAGTGTAATCATTTTATCATAATATGATTTATACCATATATTGTATTGTTGACAAAGCAACATTATTAACTAAACTCCACCCAGAATCGTTTTTTCGTTAGCAATGGTTTATCTTTGCTAACAGATATAAATTAAATTCCCGTCTGTAAATTCCCAGCTTCCCACCTACAACAGTGACTACACCCACGTGCGAAGTAGGTCCGTTCTATTTTGTAGTGCTTTGTATTAGTTTCGGAGTGTAGTGAGGGATATTTTGGTTGAATTTTTTATCTAGTTAATGACCAAGATAATCATTTTTTGATTTTTTCGTAGTTTTTTTAAGAGTTTAACAAAACCGAAAAATATACACTTATATAATATAGAGGTTCATCCAGCTGAGTAGCACCGAAAATAATGATAATTATGTCGTCAAGAAAATGGAGTTATCTGGTTTTTACACGGAGGAGTTTAATGATTTTTACAGCACCGGATAGGGAATGTGTCGGATCACCGAATTTTGGAATTTTCATCGGTCCATAATTGTACATAATAGATACAAAATATACAATAATTATTGACAGAGTATTACATTTAGTGAAAAACAAGTAATGATTTTAAGTGACCCACCAAGATATCCCGATTTATTCCGGACATGAATATTATTATATAATGTTAGATTCAATTTTAACACAAATTATTATTTTTATGTTGGTCAAAAATTCAGCACTCGATAATACTATAACATAATGATCATGCGACGTTTCAAACAAATACGTTTATAAACCTTGGCAACTGATTTTTTGTTTATTACAATTGTCTATATAAAGCGTTTCGTCATTCTCGATTCTAATAAATTGAGTTTCTTTTTGTCGTGAATATTTGACAAACACGTAATACTCTTTTAAATAATTCCGATTTCATATTACATCATATATTACATTAAACTCTCGCTGTTTACTTTTGCTTTTTTCGTACGTACATTTTAGTATCGTATTTATACACGGCTGATGCCGCGTTAAGTATATATTATAACGACTAATAAATGAAGTACCTAAAGACTTATTTTTTTATAAATGTTTGTCTCGACTTCAAATTTTCTTTACATAATTATACAATACTGCAAACGACCACATGCATTGTGATATGTATTGCGATTTATGCAGGAAATCTCGAACCGGATCAAATCCATCGTCCATTATTTGAATTCGTCTAATTGTAACGCTATGTATCTGAAAGCGGTCGTGCTACCTGTGAAGAACCGAAAACAACTGAGCTGTATCGTTAGTGTGATCTACGCCCGAATAAGACGAACAGCTACATATACGATAGAATACGTTTATAATA